AGAAGAGAACCTGATCTTAAAAGAGGAAAGAAGATGTTTCTACTCTACAGAAATATTAAGATAAAATAATCAAGTCAGAAGCTTGACCATTATAAACTAGGACTATTTATTATTAAAAACAAGAAGAGACCGGTTAACTATAAGTTGAGATTGCCAAAATCAATGAGCAAAATTTACCTAGTATTTTATATCTTATTGTTGGAACCCGCACTAAAGAACGCTAGAATTGCAGAAAATATGGAGATTAATGATAACATAGAGGAAAAATATAAAGTTAAAAAGATCCTAAACTATAGAAAGATTAATAACAGATTGCAGTATCTAGTAAAATAGGCAGAATATAATATCTCAGAAAACACATGAGAACCTATCAAGAATTTGATAAGCTGTCATCAGCTTGTGGAGCAGTACCACTGACAGACAGATCGAAGTTCGCCTAGAATAAAGGGAAACCAACCAACTGAGTCAGACTAGGGGCGTCTGATGCAGCGGCAAGTTAAGCAGTGTTATGTTTATCAGCCAGATGCTCTAGCTCTCGGAGATCCTCAGTGCTTAGGAAATCCTCTTTATCCAGCTGCTCCAACACAGTCAAGTCATGATCCAATATCCGCTCGCCATGATCTTTTAGAAACTGCTATTGTTTGAACAAATGAGCTACTTTGGCAGTAATACGGGCCTGTTTAGCAAGGGCCTCAGCAAGTTTGTTTTGTATATCTGATTAATTGTGTTTTAAATCATTCCACTCCCTATTACTGTAAAATCATTTTTCACATTTTCAGCCATGATAAGTACAGACAGCATAATTTCGGCTCTTTAAATCCATAATACAAGAAATGCCTCTCAGGAAACAATGTTCGCAGGAACTTTTAATGATGAAACTATTATCATAAATCTTATTAGATTAATAAATATATTTCTTTATTTAATCGTGATTAGTATAACAATAAGATATGATAGACCATCATAGAAAAAAAGAAATTGAGAAAACTTAACCGACACAGGAAGAATATGTATCTTTATATTTCTTAAGAATAAGAAACCTTGAAGAAGAGAAAGTGATGTTATAGACTCCTGCTAGCTAGGTTACTAGCAGAAGCAGACTCATCAGACAGAAAGGTAATGACCAGGAAGGACTCAGGCAGCCAGTAACTCTTATTAAGTAAGATCCCGGTTAGGATAATACCCGAGGCAACACTGTATCACGTGACTATCTACCATCAGATCTACCATCAAGGATATACAATATAGTATACGGAATCCAGGAACGTGATTAGATCAACCCTCAATCTACCCTGAATAGTATATAAAATAGTATATGAAGGATAGGATATAAGAACACTCTTTCATATACTTAGCTAGTTCTGTTCTTCGTGCTTAATTTACATTATCTTTAAGTAATCTACGTTTTGGTAAAGCTTAGTGACAACACTTATCTGCACTCACTTACAGATAGCTGCGCGGCACTATCTGGCCTTACTTCTCTTCTTCTGTTCAGATCAAGTCATCTTTAGATAATCAACAACCTGACTACCTTTGATTCAGTTCATAAGGTACGTATTGGAACGGGAGCTAAGCTAACAGGAACAGGGAGAAGCGATCCTAGGGTTTGACAATTACTTGCAGATCTTATAAAAATAAAAGAATAAATAATAATAGCTTATTATCTGCAGATAAATGGGTAAACAGAAAGAGTTAACTAAATAATTAAGCAATATCTAAGACACTATATAAATTATTAGTAAAATAATTAGATAAATCTATTACTAATAATACAGTTCTTATATAATAATGCCAGTCACTTAACCATTAGAATCTTACTATTCTATACTAATTACGGATACTACCTGAGATTTCTAGAAATATTATTAAAGAGATAACAAGTTACTGATATAACTAAGAATATTGTTATATTTATAGAAAACATATATTTACAGTTATCTTAAGATATTAAGTTCATGAACTTATATAGTAAGATATACTATGATTACAGATATAAAAGAAAACCTGATCTAAAAAGAGGGAAAAAATATTTCTACTTCACAAAAATATTAAAATAAAATAATTAAATTAGAAGCTTGATCATCATAAACTAGGACTATTTGTTATCAAAGATAAGAAGAGACTGGTTAACTACAAGTTAAGGTTGTCAAAATCGATGAGCAAAATTTATCCAGTATTTTATATCTCATTATTAAAACCTGTATTAAAGAACACTAGAATTACAGAAAATGTGGAGATTGATAATAATATAAAAGAAAAATATAAAGTTAAAAAGATCCTAGACCACAAGAAGATTAGCAGCAGATTAAAGTATTTGGTAAAATAGATAGAATATGATATCTTAAAAAATATATAGAAACTTATCAAGAATTTGATAGATTATCATCAACTTGTGGAGCAGTATCATCAACAAACAGGTCAAAGTTTGCCCAGAAAGAAGGAGAACTAATTAATTAAGTTAGACTAGGGGTGTCTGATGCAGCAGTAAGTTAAGCAGTGTTATATTCATTAGCTAGATGCTCTAGCTCTCGGAGGTCCTCAGCGCTTGGAGGATCCTCATTGTCCAGTTATTCCAACACATTCGAGTCATGATTTAATATCCAACCATTACAATCCTTTAGAAACTGTTGATGCTTTTACAAGCAGATAATCTTTACCATTACTTAATTCATCTTTTCAGAATATTGCAGAAATTGCTGTTAGGCCGCTGCAAGATCAGTCACAACTTTTTACTCATTTTACTTAAGCTTATCTTACTCTCGATCATTATGGAACTGTTTTTCGTATTTACAACCACGCAAGGCACAAGCCGAACATTTCTTGCTTTAAGCAGATGAACTCATAATGCAGACCTTGCCCCGAGAAAAGCAGAAGGCACAAGGAGTGTCAACGGGACGACCGGAATTTTCGATCCTATCAGCCAAATGTTTATTATCAGCGTACTTGTCGCGTTTAGGCATGATGATCTATCTTGGGGAGAAAGAGAACTAAAGAACCCAGCCAACGCGCACAGGGGGGCACTTACCTTTATGTTCTTAGGGACAAGAACCTTAAAGGAAGGGAGGTGGTGTTACGGACCCTGCTAGCTAAAGAGACTAGTAAGGCGGTTACGTTAAGCAGAAGAACTATACTCAGAGAGATGCAACTCTTATCAGGAAGGACCCGAACTGAGCCGCTACGTGTCACAAGTCACGTGACTGCGGGTATATGAAAGGATATATGGTCAGGTATATGGTATATGCCTGTAGTATACAGGATGGTATACAGAATGGTATATGAGGGACGGATATATAAGGACACTCCTTCATATACTTAGTTAGTTCTGTTCTTCGTGCTCAATAATACTGTCTTTAAGTAACCATATGTTTTGGTAAAGCTTAGCGACAACACTCGTCCGCACTTACTTACGGATAGCTGCGCGGCACTATCTGGCCTTACTTCTCTTCTCTTGTTCGGATCAAGTCATCTTTAGATAGTCAATAACCTGACTACCTTTGATTCAGTTCACAAGGTACGCATTGGAACGGGAGCTAAGCTAACAGGAACAGGGAGAAGCGACCCTAGGGTTTGACACTAGTATAGTAATATATAGATTAAAATGAGAAATAAAAAGTAAAAATAGAGAATAAAGTTACAGATAACTAATTATTAGTTATATATTAAAAATACTTGTTTAGTTATGTTTTACTATATTATTAACTTCTTTCTATATATATACAGCTTTAATATTGTTTTATTACAAGATTTAGAATATTAGAATACAGTATTCTAGCTTTGTATTCTTGATTTAACAGGAAGTATCTATATAACTAGTATGACATATAGCAGGCTCCATTAGGCTAATAGAATATGACTTGCCTTGACTTGACTCCCCTCCCGAGATATTGCTACGTTCGTCGAGGAAAGGAAAAGCGACATTGAAAGATTTATCTAGCACAAGGTCAGTGATCTCGGCATGAGTAAAGGGTATCACGATGAATTAAAGGAAAGAGTCCGCGATTTACTGGCGGAAAAGGCCGGCGGCACCTTTTTGTGGATTGGATTGACGTGCGATGAGTTGAAAAATGTCGATCTACCGGACACTTTAACCTTCCTCGAGAACCTGGCCCCTGGTTTAAATGCGCTTTATACGAGCTTGATGGAGAAGGCGATCGAAAATGAACAAAAGTGGGGGAGAAATTTACCCCGCTGTAGAATACTCCGACGCTGCTTCATATACTGTGAATGGAATGCCCTTGTTGTGTAGTCCTATTGCGAGAGCAAGGCCTGCAATCCCAGCGCCTGGAGATGCTCTAGGATGAGTGGGGCAAGGTCAATGAGGGTCCGTGGCGACCTACCAACAATAGCAACATGCATGTCTTTGATTTCATCTTCAGCCATGTCGTGGTTCTGTGCAGGATGTCGTGGCTCGTTGGGCGATTCTCGCGTCAGATTATTTCGGACACAAATCGTGATATATCTAGAAGTGGTTGATGGTACAAGGTTCGGAGATGTTGAGATCGCGGGGAGCCTTGGATCAGGTGACTTTGATAAGGATAGTAACGCCGGTACGGAGTGGGTGGACTCCACCCGCTTGAGTGGCTCCGACGGCAACAGCCGCCGCCATTCTCCACCCTCACCATGGATGGGTCTTTCATCGCTCGGTTCAACGCTACAACCATACACGATCGCACTCTGATCAAGATATTCTATCAGAGATGTGTGATGAATGTTGAAGAAGAACAATCCCCGTGGTGCATCTAATTTACTGGTATAATCACTATTTGATGTAATCCATAGCCAGGTAGGAGTCGAACATTTCCGGTAATATATTTCTCGTCTACCGCACCGAAAAAAGAAAAATAATTTTTTTCCAAGGAATCCTTTGCTGAAGTTCATCCAACAACCTTCTTTTACACCAGAAATTGATATTTATTTATCTATTGCAGGATCTCCAGTGCCTAAATCCTAACTCCGACAAGGAGAAGCATTTGCGGAAGATACTATATACATCTGCCATTGTTGTGCTCTGTGCGGAAGGTGAACAATATAATTGGGCGCATTACCATCTATCAGGGACTCCAGCAGGTGACCGGGTAAGTGTCCCTCTACCACGGGATCTCCGTTCCATCAATCACGTTGAAGAACTTCCCCGAGGTCTTCTCCCGAGTCGCATTAACAATCTATAGCCGTTAATCAGCACCCCCCCGGGAGACAGTGAAGCATCACATACCAATCCCAGAATGCCATCCACACACTGGCGCTGAGAGTTAGGAGCCTGAGGAAGGCCCATCGCGCGGGCACTCTTGTTGCCGCTCTCTGTTTGCACAAGCCTATTCATCAGCTTTCTTCCTAATAATACATTGGGTGTCTTACCCAGGATGCACGGCAAACGCAATAAACTCCTTATTGGCACTGTGAATAGCACTACACATCCACCAGTTAACCAACCCTCCCCCACCCAAATAGACCAAGCCAAAGATATCTTACGTCGTAATCCAATTCAACCCCGCCTTCGCAATCCCATACGCCGGGGCAATATACGCCTTATGAAGCTCAAGTCGACCAATCGACCCCGCAGCACTGGTAACAGACACCCACTTAGGGGAAGAGGACTTCTCCAACAAAGGCTTCACGGCCTGGTACAAGGCCAACGGACCGAGCGCATTCACGGTAAATACCTCCGTTACGACCTCGGGGCTCACCACGTCCAAGAGGATGATGCCTTTCTCGCCGGCTCCGCCCGCGTTGGCTATCACCACGTCGATGTGGTCTATGTCCACGAGGTCATTGATAGCTGTTGCTGGGTCGGTGGAGTTGCTGCTTTCGATTTTGATGAGCTGTAGACGTGAGCCATCGACCTTGGGCAGGGATTCGACATCTTTGACGTAGTCGGCGGCTGTGTTGCGCACGGTGCCGATGACAATGTGGTTTGGTCGGAGGAGAAAGGTTTCGACTAGGGTTCGTCCGATTCCTTGGTCTGTTAGTTAGAATATTGATGAGGATCTAGGGGGACTTGCCTCGGCTGGCGCCGGTAATGAGGACGACAGTGGGGTTGGAAAGAGTCATGGTGGTGGGAGAAGGACGGCGTTGTGATTGAGTCGATAATTGAGGAATTGAATGGGCTGGGAATGGAGAGATGTCTTCTTGTTTGTAGTGCTGTATAAATGTTATCCATGTATCGCAGTGTTGTGGGCTTCAGAGAGGGTTGTTGACAATTATTAATGCTTATGTGAGGATCCGACCGGAGTAGGGCTCTTACACGGGTGCTTTGAAATAGGTCGCTGATGATGACAGAGCATGCCAGTCAAAGGAAACATGGAACAGACCCCTGTATCGAGCACTACAATTGGAGGGAGCTATGGAAGACTAGCCTCGGATTAGCTACCTCGGAGGCTATCCTTTTCCCAGGCGAGGGGCAATGCGACATCCGAGAATGCATATGCAGGGCTAATGAAAACAGCAGTGGCTAGTCATCATTCTTACACAGTAGTCCCTAAAAATGATGGGTAATTCCAGAAGGCAGCAATTGCATTGAAGATATTTATCTCTCATCGTGGGCACATAACGTGGAATTCCAATGGAATTGAATGTCAAACAGAAACAAGTTCATGAAGTATCTGAATACCATTCACCTCAACGAGCAGGCCAAGGGGGGAACTCGACCGGGCTACCACTGAGGATGAACTTAGTGCCCTCTCCCTGTTTATGAGTCAAGTACATTGCATTAGATGCATCGGTAGAACAGTCGGTATCATACAGGCGCAGGAGGTATGGTCGAGGGATCCCCACGCTTCTGAAAGCCGATTCGATCTGCTCCAGATGGTGTTGCAATACTGGCTGCTCAAAGAGTCTTGCAGCGAACACTGCCACCGTAGTGTCAGTTCTAAACTGAACCATGTGTTCGTGATAAAGTCTGAGGAAGTCCGCCATTTGCCGATCTATACGCTGTAGCTCGATGGTTGGCATTCCTACAAGAGGCGGTAGGGGAGCAACATTGGCCACAATAGCTCCGTGTGGGGAAGATATTGTAAGAACCGTCAGTCCAACAAGAGGTTGGACTTGGATGGCAGCTATGTTGGTTGTAAAGGGCAAAAAAGAAGCTTTGTTCATGGGAGCAGCAACATGGCCTCCGATGCTAGGTATCTGTTCGTCGTTGCTCATGTTGCTGAAGTGTTTGATGGGATTGTGTGGTGTAATTCCAGGTAGATAAAAGATAGAATATGTGTGAATGAGTTCAATGATGATTGCTGTGAAAGGTGACTGCAGCTCATGCCAACATTCTCTGGAGAGCAGAGAGCAGCTCTTTATATAACCTGCCATTTTTATTGGTTGGAGCCGTTGTGTATACCCTTACGGTTAAATGTGCTGATGGTACATACCTATGAGAGTGAGTGAGTAGGTTGGGAAGTACCTCAACTAGTTAATATTCTCGACAAATACAGCTGGATGCTCGGGAGAAATGGTGTACCTTCCTTTTATTTGACATGGCGGGTAGGATCATTCCTTCTCCTTCTTTTCTGGGGGAGGGGGGGGGTGCATACTAAAGACAATAGCCTATTTTGAGCTCTCTACTCTCCTGACCTTGACATCTGTTAGAATATTCTATTGCATTTCCAACCAGAGAGCGGTGTGTCAATAACGAGATAAGCTCATCGTTGTCTCCTTTTAGTGCTCTGAACAGTGTCTGGTGATTTGCCAGACTCTTTCAATCGTCACAGTGGGGTTGTTATTGTGTTGGCCCACCGACTCCACAGTATGAAAAAATTGAGCAGGAAAATTATCGATAATTAATTTGATCAGCTAACCGACACACCTGTTACCTCGTTTAATTTGCTCTAGTAGGACATTTTATATCCAGGCTTCCGCATGCCTATGATTCCTACTCATTACATATGGTCATTTACATTTAATGAATAAAAAGGGTACTCTGAAACGAGCATATTCCAATTGCGAAGCCATACGATTACAGTAACATTGGCATGACGGATTAAGTCTGCTCGCCACTGGCCACAAAATTGTTCGTCAGATATTGAAAATTTCCTTCGCATAAGTCCGCTTTCTGCCTACGAATTCGGTTCTTGGATCATGTCGCACGGTTAGCCCAATACTCTATACGACTCTGGATGCGACATACTGGTAATAGTAGGTCCATGTAGCATCGATTCTCCCGATCTTGGCATCTTCCGCCTATACGATTAGTACATCAAGAACCGAATACCATGCAGGTAGAATTACGAGGCCCTTAGTAAAATCATCCACTAAATGCATCTCAATCTCCACCCAGTCCACGTGAATCTGTTTTCTTTCGTGAGCGAGTAATGTTTGGGCACAATCAAAATCAAACCCTAGAACTCGGTCCGATGTTGTCTGGACCATCATGTTGCGCGGAAACAGATCACTATGAAAGACTCCTGCTTGATAGATTTCGCGTAGAATTTGCTGCAGTTTGCCAACCCGCTCCCTTGATTATAAAGATGGAGTGATAAACTGCATATCTGGTATATACTCCATCAAAACAGCATTAGGAGGCAAGGCATCTTCCAGGAAATCTTTCATATACGGTGGAACTGGCTTGATATTTTCGATGATACCGTAGAAATCCGGAATGGAGCCTCGGGCGCATAAGCCGAACTCTTGTAGTCGTACGAAGGCAGTACTTTCACATTTAAAGGGATTGATTTCGCGGTTGGGAGGATCGGCAGGTGAAGGTTTAGTTGCATGGTACTAGGATTAAATTCTGGTGGTTAGTAATGATTTCAAAGGCACTCTCAAGATACTTACGACTTTCAGGATACAGTCTTTTTCGTGCCAGATAGTCCGAAGGATACTGGAGGTAGATGACTTCCTGAGCTGGCAAACAAAGATTATCTCAGAGAGTGGAATATTCATCATGGCTGCAGCCTTGAATCAATGCAGAGAAAAGATGAATGTTGTATTGAGGCAAGTAACCACACTACATTCTACGCTATACCTAATCTGGATGATTCACAGTCACGGGTATTCCATGAATATATCCTAACATCATCATATTTTTTGGACTCTGAACTAAATTCTCATCATCGCACAAACTGCAAAATATGGCCATATTCACTATCTTCACATTACGTTCGCAACAAAATGCCAATGCTCTATCAATCAAGTATGAGATTGGCTATCCGTGTTGATTTCATCATACAGTGAAAAATGCCGCTCAAGCTTCTACGGCATGCAAAAAATCTCGCCAAGAAGAAGATACACCCCGTTTCCCACAGAGAAAGCATGGGCAGGTAAAAGAAATAAATGAAAAGAGCTATAGCCCTGGGGGAATCATTACAAACACTGAGTCAATCAGTTCGTCAATTACCAGTCCTGGTCATTTGCCGCCAACATCCCCAAGTACCATAAAGCGAGTAATACTGTGAGCCGTGGTTGATCTTCACTTCCATGGATATCCCAGGGTATTGAACCAGACAGTTCTAACTTGCCCTGTCCGTCAAGGCGTTTAACAGCAACAAGCTCGCGGTCGGTAAGAAGAAAGCCGTACTTTGCTTGATGCTGCTTCATATACCAGTTCAGTTGGGATAATACCTGCTTGAACTCAAACTTCCTGCCTGGACCCAGGATGTTCAGTGCAGTAGACCATGTATAAGATGGCTTTATCTCTCCTGGAAGGCGGTTCGGTCGGTTCAGTAGGTTTGCAACCGTGTCATAAAATGAAGTATCTGGTTTATAATCCTCGATTACTTGAGCAAGTTCGCCTTCTTCGAAGTCCAAGATAGTGTACCCTTCGAGTCTGTCGCTTTTTCTCGGTTGATTAAAGATGCTTTGAAGAGAACATTGAACAAGTCTCTCAAGATATATAATGATACGGCGTCTTAAGCCCATCCCCGAGTTGTTTGGCCTTGGAGAGGATAGTGGCATAGGATTGTTGTTGATTGGAGTAGTTCGAAGCAGCACATTGTACTGCTCCAAAATCGTATTCAAGTTGAACTGAACCGAGTGACCAAGATGAGTGATATCAAAGGCACTGTATTGGCGATTTCGCGTACTTGTGGTGATCTGGGGTGGGTTGGGGATGATAGGAACTTGCGGTGGGTGATGCTGCAGATAATGTAGTAAGCTAACAAGGTGAGCGCATAATGAGCAATAAGATGAGGTCAGAGACCGGTGTGGGAATTATAAAAATTATGCTGATAGTGAAAGGTATGCTACACATGGGACCCTGTCCCATAGCCTTTTGTGTAGGTTCACTGCCTATGCCCCTTCACCGCCTTTTTCGCCTTCACTTCCTACGATAGCAACACCTAGATTACTGCATGGATGTCTATGGGGGAATGCCTATGCGGTCATAGTCACCTCTCCGCCCAGCCTTGCGGATTGAGGTCAGCCATGACTCTGTTATAGGGGTATTTTGGGCACTGAACCTGGATGGTGGTGAGAAGCAGATCAAAGGCCCGAGGAGGTCTTTCTTGCCCGTGAAAGCATCCGGTACACCAGCCTGGCACCTGTTTCTCCACTGTGCAGTTAGTCTGGCCTCCCGTGTTGTCAGTAGTGACTGGGTAACCTGTCACCACCGACTGGCAGTGCTAGACTAACACTTGTAACCTGTAGCGACGTGAATCCTTGAGCGGGTAAACAGACTATCATATCAAAAGACTATGGCTGAGTATAATACAAATATTCTAATATTGTTTCCCAATGTTCTTGAGCACGGGCTTCCCTTTATGGAACACACTGATTCACCATGACATTCTATACAGGAGTGATATGATATATAGCATCACTGTGATCATGTCCAGGGAGGCAGATTTTACCAAGGAGGAGAATGTCATATTCAATGCTCCCGGGGCTCTGGATCGGAATGTGCGCCAGCCATCAGTGTTTTACTAAAACATGAGTGTGCCGGGAAAGGTTGAATATAGGGTTAGATGTTCGAAGCTAGGGACCTTCTTCGGCGCTGATCAGTGTTGCTCTTCTAAGAAGTTTCCCTATTCCTTGCTACTCCTATGCTGGAAAGACACTATATCCATCAGCAGTCAGCTGAGAAGTAGTAGAGGGCTGCAGGTATGCTTCCCGGAGGGTTCTTTTCGTTCCATAAACCCTTAGTGGAATGACTTACACCATCACACTTGGTCAGCAGGCCTATGCTGCCGTACAGCTCTTCACTTCTCCATTTTTTATTCCCTCCCATTTGACGGGTTGGCATGTGTTAGTGTTCGGCGAAAAACACCGCTCCGGCTTGGGAATCCCGGCTATCCCCGGGATTCCCCGCAGGTCAGGTGACCGCAGCACGTGGGCCTCCCTTGCGCGATAAGCAATTTCACCTCGTCGACTCATCTCCGGCAGGTCCTAACGTCATCACAGCGCCTATCCTAGTAGCTGGGCGCTGCATCGGCATGCATACAAACGCTCCTCTATCTGATGAGGGCGGCGGCAGGACATCGGAGAGCCATCCTCCGTATAAACGCGTTCGCACCCAGGTTTCGCGCGCCTGCGAACGGTGCCGCATCCGCAGAATCAAATGCGACAGTGAGCGACCTTGTAAACCATGTCTTCAAAGGAGCGATCCCTGTGACCCAGGCGGAGAAGATGAGCTGAAGACCTTCCCACAAGCACTGAGGTACGAGTCTGACGACCATATGACTCATATTAGTGCCTGGCTGATACCTGGTTGATCCAGAGAGGTTGACCGATTGAGGCAGCGAGTAAAGGAACTTGAAGCGGAATTGTCTCTTCATAAAGATCGTCTGGCGCTAAATACACCCATTGTCTCCACAGCCAGCTCATCGCCAGGTCCGTCCGCTTTTGAACCAAGGTCTACACCCGCTACCATGCTTGAGGGTCGCGAAGGGGGTCATCTGGGTCCAGTTCAAGAACAACCACAGCAATCTATACCAAATACTCAGCCTCATAAATCGTGGGGCGGTATTAATGTGGTCGCCGCTAACCCTGCCAACCAGGCATGGTACGGACCCTCGTCGCTATTCTACTTTATTGATCGTATGGCGAGGTTCCTGAGCATCAACCTCCATCAGAACCACTCAGCAGAGCAAATGTCCCTTTATGGCTCCACAAGAGCACTTCTTGGAGACCCCCCTGGGAACTCTAAATTACAGCCCGGTGACAATACCCAGGCATCAACCACCATAGCATCACCGCAGAAGTTTTTGAGTCTAACTCAAGAAGAGTACTTTCTCGACCTGTACTGGAGCTCGTATCACACAGCCCTCGCCCCGATCTTGAACGAAGCCGAATTCAGACAGCATTATCGATCGTTGTGGATCGCATCGGGTAACACGCGGCAGCCATCAGCGCTTGCTGACATCGTGGTGGCTGTTAGCATGCAGCTTGGCATGTCAATGCTACCGCCTGCAAAGCAAAAGGAAATGGGTCCAGTCGATGCCAGCATGGCAGGACAATGGTATTTCCAGCGCTGTCGAACGCTTCTTGCATATGAACTCGAGAGCCCTACCCTGGCCACCGTACAAGCCCTCCTGCTGTCTGCCATCTATCTCTGCTCCGCTGCCTTTCATAATATGTCAGACAATGTGGCTGGTCAGGCTGCTCGAGCGGCTTGCGCCCTCGGTCTTCATCATGACCCGCCCGACACGTTGCCACAGCCAGAGCGGGAACTCCGGCGGCGCCTGTGGTGGGCGCTCGTCATTCTGGATACAAAGATTGGATTGAAGCTCGGCCGCCCACTTCAGTTCTATCATACCGAGAGCAGCCCGGCGTTACCAGACGACCAGCTCCTGAGTGCGATGGGGGCAGGATCGGATTATTCGCCCCTGGGAGACACAGTGACCTGGCTGAGCTTCAATCTCCATAATACAAAGTTATTTCTCGTTGCGCGATCAGCCCAGACAACATTCTACGGCAAGGGATTAGCGCTGCATGATGGTCAGTCTGCGTGGGATAATCAACTGGTCCTAGAGTCACTTGCAGAATCCTTACACCCCTTCGTACAGTCTTTGCAACAATGGGTCTCCGAGATTCCGGATGCTCTCAAACTGAACCGGGAGAATGACGGATCAGCCTTTTCTACAGACGGATCTAAACTGGAAATAGAGCTATTCGCACCTGCATGGGTACAACGCCAACGCTTCCACTTGGAACTGACATACCATTACATATGCTTTTGCCTCTTTCGTCCATTGATCTCGTACAGTTCTGTTTCTGCTCCGACCGCGGTTTATCTTGCAGAGAAAAGCGCTCTCCATGGCATCGCTTTAACCAATATCACGCATCAAGCTCTTACCACCACATCTGTACTAGCTGGCTGGCATGAGGCATTCCAATGGCAATGGAGCGCAGCCATAACCCTTGTCGGATTTGTGCTCGCATATCCACATGCTGCGTGTATTACGGCAGCCAAACAAGCTATTGATACATCGATAGCCGTGTTTGAGATATTTGGCGAGAGTTTCGTCATTGGAACCAAGGCTGCTAACACTATGCGCTCTCTTGTTGCTGCAATTGACCTGCTACGGCGCCGTCAAGCAACGGCTGGCGTCCACATGCCCAATGATATTCAACCCCTGGTACCCGACGAACTGGGGTCTGGCATTGACGGTTTTATGTCTAGCGAGACTTTCGACTTTGATGCAATATCTTCAGAGCAAATGCAAGACATCTTCCAGGTAGCCTTGTCGATTGATCAGTGGAGTTACTTTGATGCTCTATGGGCTTCAGGAAATGGATTACCGGCATCTTGAAGGCAATACATGTCAATACCTCTTTGACTGGCCCAGTAGCCAATCCGAAAAAACACAGGAGCCGTTCTCATTCGCGTGGGGGCTTTTTGCATGCCTCCGTGCAGTCGCATACCGTGTATATCGATACATATGAGAGCGCCATGCAGCGCAACCGATCGCATTATGTGTCGTCTGTCTAAAACTTCAAGAGCATTCATTGCCGCCGCCTCGGTCGGGGCCTATCGGTGATGCCATCCGCAGCATGAAATCTATTATTGGACCTATGCGCCCTCAGGCCAATACGAGGGCGCGTACCACATGAGCGATATCAACCATGCGTTCAACACCCTGTACTCCAGACAAGCCCAGGCAGTCCGATGACTACTCCAATCCCAACCGGCTATCAGGGTCTTGGGTAAATTTCATCGGCTCTGGGGATCGTAATGCCCCGGGATTGCCCAACTGGCGAGCTAATGCGGCTGCCAATTTAGTGATCATGGGGCGAGGTGATGTACTGGTCGCCTCCTCCGAGACATGCCACTTCATGAACAAGTCTTTTTCCAAATAGTCGGTATTCAAAGAGCGAAATCTCACCATGCAAGTCGCATTCTCGCTGGTGATACTTGGCTGCGGTTTCCACAAGCGAAAAACAAAATCAAATCATTCTAGAGCGTATTCCACTCGGGATGACTGCTAATATATTAAATCCTCGCATTCTGTGACCTGTTGGCCTGGATAAATGGCTATCTTTTCATCTAGCACTATTTCCGATCCAGTCTTCAGTGTAGTTGTTCTGATGCTCACTGGACTCCAAACGATGGTTTCCAGCGCCCAGAGAAAATGCAGTGAGATCTGCGATGTCCGATGACCATTGAAATTGAGTCATCATAGGCAACACATTCGATGCGGGGCGATTTGAGTTTCTGATCTGTGACAGCATTTTCTGACCCCCGTCGGAACTGAGATCCTAAGCCTGACCCCGCTTTGAGCTGGTTTTCTTTCCTCAACTACTCTACACTTCTGCTGCACTTTGTGAGATGCGAAAAGCAAACATATTCTAGTCCCAGAGTACTTGTACAACATTCGAGTCATCGTTACAGTCTGTGCAGCAAGAGTCTTCAGCCAAGTCACCCTGATGAACATGCCACTCCGGTTCGTTTATATGAATTTCTTTTCTGCTGGAATCATAAGAACCGTTCACTTGATCAAATACTAACCTGTTTTCTATAATAATCAGCGCAACTATGCCTGATTTCTCCAACATGAACGGGCCAAGACAACGCACACAACGAGTCCCCGAAGCGACTACCCTCCCTGCGAATCAAATCGCAGAAGAACTCGCAGAAGAAGCTCGACTACTCGACGAAGACGAAGACGACGGCCCAAAAGACGACTTCGACAGAGCGTGGGACCTAATAAGTGAAGATCTGAAGCTCTTGGCATCTGCAGCTATTGACGTGGCTGTATATTATTTTAGGCCTCTTGTGGACATTATTGGCAGGCTGTTGGGGCTAAATAGGGTGCAAATCATGCTATTGATGGAAAGAGCGAGGATCGCTGTTTACTCGGCTCAAATGGCTTTCATTGCGGTCTTTGATATGTGGAAGGAGACGTATGGCGTTATAGCTGATGGGATTGCGGTTTTGGCGTGGGGGTGAGGTCGTTTTCTGATGGGGGTAAGGAGGTCGTGGGAGATCTGCTGTGGAACTGGTTTTTCGGGGGTGGAGGAATGGGGTGTTTGGTGTGAATGGGCTGGTGTTAGCTTTTATGTTAGTGTTATGGATTGAGTTAGGAATTAGTTTATTTTGCCTTCTACTAGTATGTGGCCCTTAAGGAAAACACGTGCCTTCTATGCAGGGCTGTAGATCGATTCTGATCTTATTCTAGATAGTTTTTGAGTCCTGTAAGTCTACGTCATGCTTTTGTCTCCGGCAGATAAGATATTAAGGTAGACGTTTCCAAACAGGGCTTTGAAATGATGATATATGTGAGATTTATTTAGCGCCTCGATCGGAATAGTGCTTCTACATGATGGGGGCGGGGGTATGGTCGTTGGAAGATCAATAACGGGTTAGAGGAGGGAAGACGATGCGGTCATGGAGGTTTTTTCGGCCGACTTTGAGGGACTGGAAGAGTCTGCCTTCGGATGAGGGGGGATTGAGATAGAGGAAGGCCATGATGAATAGTTGTATAGAAAGGTGAATGTACTAGGTAACCGGGGGCTTGCTCATTCTTGGATGTCTACCGGTAAATATAGTACGCCTGCCTGGTCGGATTGATCAAGGGTCATAGTACTCTATGAAAGGGGTGTGATCTTTCTCATGACAATCCCAAAGTAGCAATAAATACTAGTTCCTGTGTATTATCAAACTCAAGGTTATTTGTCATGAATGACTGTGCTCTCGGAATCACGGAGTCGTGGAGATGCGGGAATCCGGAGTCTCGGAGTTTCTTCGCGAATGGATCAGGCACCAGCTTCAGCCCGGCCGCCGCCGGGAGACAGTTGCAGATCTTGGATTACTCCTACTTAGTACCATGGCTTATCGCCCCAATTGTGTCTAAATTAATGGTTCGGTTTCAAGAGGTTCCAGACTGCCAATCCGGAACGGCAATTGCGTCATAATCTGACACCGTTCAGCCCTCCAAGGTAGCACTCACCGGTCGCATTTGATGCCCCGCAGAGGTTGCACCTATACGAGTCGACCTGTTACTATTGGCCAGATAGCGTGCGGGTGTCAGAACAGCGGGTGCCATCTTAGCCATGCCAAGCCATCGTGATCTCGAGAGGGGCTTTGATATCACGCTGAGCCCAACAGGGTAGATCAATTCATCGAATACTGTTAGGACACGAAGCCGAAGAAAATGAGTGATATTGGTATGACTAGCTAGGAGGCTTCTGCCTACGCGGGATGAAAAGGACAATAACACGGTGGCCAACGTGACAAGGCACGTGACGCGCTCGCCTACCGACCAACCGGCTGTCCAGACAAATACCATCTTCGAGCCACCCGTAGCCAGGAAAATAAATTGGTTCCATTACTTCGTCGTCTGCGAGCAACTAGTTTTGTCAATATGTTGAGTTTCAATCGACGTTTTCAGCTTCACTTGGATGCTGCGCTGGTCACCTGACCCTTTGTTTGTATTCCTCTTTGTCTGTCTCAGCCACCTACGCAGACGTGTTACATCCAGTAGCTTGATGGTGATTACCCCGCGCGGTCTGTTCTAGATCTGACAGGACACAACACCTTCCTCATCAGATGGACTCTTCTTCTACCTTTTCTTATAGTCCTAGCGATTCTTATCCAGCTTCCCTCCATAATTCCAGTCACTAGCACTCATCTGCAAATAATTACCTCAAGATGCCTCTTCCGACTGATTCAGCGGTTGTTGAAACCAGCCAAGGACTGGTTGATGTCCTCCATGGAATTTTTGGTGCCCACCCAGGCCAGAGGCCTGGTAAGTTAACCCTCCCAAACTAATCACCTCTTATTCATTCCAACACCCCTCTGTAGCCCACGCAAAAGGAATCCTCCTCCAAGGAACATTCCAACCCACCCCCGAGGCCGCATTGCTATCTGCAGCGCCGCACTTTCACCAGTCCTCCACACCCATCCTTGCCCGCTTCTCCAGCAGCACCGGAATCCCCAACCTGCCAGATACAGATCCCAATGGCAATCCCCGTGGCCTGGCCCTGAGATTCATATTGGAAGAGTCCCCTCGTCATGTCCACACAGACATCATCTCCCACTCAACCCCTTTCTTCCCAGCCAAAGATGGCCCGGAAGTACTGGCATTCTTCCGTGCCCTCGCATCTGGTACCATTGAATCCTTCCTCTCTACCCACCCCGCAGCCCAAGCCTTCATTCAGGCCGAGAAACCCTTCCCGGCGAGCTTCAGCACAGAGAAGTACTTCGGGGTCAATGCCTTCAAATTCATTGCCAACGATGGGAGCGAGACCTTCATTCGGTACCGCATTATTCCGGTTGCTGGGGCGTCGTATCTGGATGATGAGCAGATCAAGGCGAAGAGTGATACATACCTGTATGATGAGCTATCTGCGCGTCTGAGCACCGGCCCCGTGGCTTTTGATCTTGTCGCTCAGTTGGCGGAGGATGGTGATGTCACGGATGATTGTACTGTGCATTGGCCTGATGATCGGATTCTGGTCAAGCTGGGGAGGGTTCTGTTGGAGTCGATTATGGAGGATAATGCTGCTGAGCAGAAGAGAATTATTTTTGATCCGGTGCCCAGGGTCAAGGGGATTGAGCCATCAGAAGATCAGTTGATTGAAACTCGTGCGGGAGTGTATTTGATTAGTGGGAGGGAGAGGCGGGCTGCTTGACTATAGCTATTCATGTTGATGAGCTCTATGTCTTAGGAACCGTAATTTCATAAATATTGTGTAATGCTATCGTGTGGAATCACTCGGCTTCCTTGTAGTCATTATCCTCCGATGCAGAAACTTTGATTTTATGCACATATCCATATGAATTACTCAACGAGATCGTGAATTTCATCTAGCTGCTGAGTAGAACTGCAAGATGGAGCACCGGAGCTGACAGCCGCGGCAGGCCGGATAAGCCGATAAGGGATCTGCGGGGCGGCTCAGACCAATTGGAGTCACTCCGGGACGGCAGTTAATACGAGGAGCTCCGAATCTCCAACCAATAGGAGCAACTCCAGCAACGGTGCACGCCAGCTCCGGCATTCCGTGACCGGGTCCGCATCCTCACGAACTAGATTGCATGCAATCTATGCTCTGCTTACCACTGCATCGAACAGTCTAGACGAGCACCGCCAACTCCGTTTTCCCGGAGGGATGACGAGCATTCCGTGTCATCATAGAGTATAGAAGACATCCCACTCCTATAAATATGTGTTGAGATCCCATCCAAAAATCCATCTCATCCCAACATAACACAACCATCCAAACATCCAATCCTATCTTAAATCATTTCAAACCCCTGCAAACCCAGCACCACCCCAACCAATCAACAACCAAAATGTCCCTCCCCCGCCGCGCCCTCATCGCCATAACCTCCGCCCAGGCGACCCTCTTCTCAGGCAAAGAAACCACCGGCCTCTTCATCACCGAAGCCCTGCACCCATACCTCGTCCTCACCGCCGCAGGCTTCACCGTCGACCTAGCCTCCGAAACAGGCACCTACACCCCCGACTGGCTCTCCCAGCAACCCGATTTCCTGAACGGTGAAGACCTCGAAATCTGGAACAATCCCAACAGTGACTTCCGCAGAAAGCTCGACAACATGACTAAAGCCTCTGAGCTAGATCCCTCCCAGTACGGAGTCTTCTATGCCTCTGCCGGCCACGCAGCTTTGATTGATTATCCAACCGCCACTGGTCTGCAGAACATCGCCGCCCAGGTCTGGGCTAACGGGGGCGTTGTGGCGTCTGTGTGTCATGGGCCGGCCATTTTCGCTAATGTACTGGATCTGGAGACGAATGAGCCGGTGATTAAGGGGAGGAAGATTACGGGGTTTACGACCGAGGCGGAACATACCATGGGGATTGCGGGAGAGTTGGAGGGGTGGAAGGCGGAGTTGGTGGAGGAGTTGGCGGGGAGGTTGGGGGCGGAGTGTAAGTTCAATCCTTGTTTTGGTTAGGTTTTTGGTTACTGTGGGTTGTGATACTAATGAGATTTGGTTTAGATGTGAGAGCCCCTGGTATCTGGGATGATTATCATGTTGTTGATGGGCGGTTGGTAACGGGACAGAATCCGGCGAGTGCGAGTTCGACGGCCAGAGCGGTGGTGGAGGTTTTTGAGAAATTGTAATCATTTTTTGTTCTATCATCATCAGTTTGTCAATCGATGTCTCAATCAGCTGTTTAATATGGTCTGATGCAAGAATCAAATATGCTATCTGACGAAATCCTTCAAATCCTGACCGGAATGTCCGACTTAGGAAATCGTCCCGCTCTTGCGGCGGCAGCGACCAAAAGGGTAATTACCAGGCAACCCCCTCATTCATGAATATAAAGTGCATATACCTCAGACCGCCGTCTCTCGTCATTCCCTCCGCAGGCTACTGCACATCCCTCACAATGATATCCAGTCTCTTCCGACCAGCATCACCATCACAGAATGCCCCGACATACTTCGATATCAGGTACCACGATTCCACCAATGCAGCTGGCATTTATACTAACCAGTAAAGACTCGACACCAATGTGATATGGCTCCCAGGAGACGACATACCAACCGGGTACTGCCATCTAACAAGCAAGGTCATATTATGTCTCAACCAGCCCCTCTGCATCAAAGATCTGAAACTCCACTTTGAGGGGTGGCGCTACCTCAAGTACGGATTTCCCATACATACCACAAGAAGCCTCCTAACTATTCTCTGAACTATAGATGGAATCCCCATTTCTCATACTTCGAAACCCATCACCAGAAATCAACCCTCTGGGAACGACTTTTCATGCGTCAAACATGGAACTTTCTCCAATGCTCAAAGACATCTACATCCACTACCCTCCCACCCGGTAATCACGAATTCCCATTCCACTTCTGCCTTTCAAGCAAGACATCAGACTCCGTTCAAGGCCTAAACGACTGCTCCATCAGATACAACCTGAAAGCGCAAATCCGCACCCTCAAAGACAGTACCTTCGACACTGCGAAGCATATCACCGTATGCAGAATCCACAGATCACTGCTATTCCCTGAACCAAAAGTAAGCATCCCCTATACAATCCCAACCAAACATCTCTGACATCATACAAAGATCCTTCAAAACATCTGGCCCGATAAAATCATCTACCGCGCCCAATCACCCTCCACGACATATACATTCAACGGCACCATCCCTCTCACCTTCCACTTCGTGCCCCTCCGTAAAGGTCTCAAGATAGCAAGTATCCACACCCAGGTCATTGAAACACACAAAGCCATTCAACCATCTCTCAGCACCCGATCGCGCATCATCATACAGGACGACTTCAACGTTCCATCTTGTGATGAACTTGAAACAACATCCGACGACGAAGGCTACTGGCACCATCTCAACCGTCTACTTCGGCTCCCGAAAGGATTGAGAAAATGCGTGCAAAGTACAGCGAATAGTTTCCTGCGTGTTGATCACGAGCTGGAGATTCAGATCCGATTGGTGAATCCTGATGGACATGAGTCTTCGGTATGCATTTGTTCTCTTTCCCGGTTTGATGACAATGCTGATGATGGAAAGATTAACTTAACATGGCCGATATTCATTTATTTCCCGTTACCCCAGGAGCTGGGGGACGGGTATGCATCATCACTTATCAAAGCTTTGCGAATGGTGGATGAGACGCTGGATCTTTCGCTTCCGAATTATAATGATCATGTTTTGGACCGTATGCCGGATGATGTACCTGATGGATTGGGTTGTCGTGAGGATGGGGATGGGGATCAGCAACCGCCGGATTATTTGGAGTGTGGTGGGAGTTTAGTCAAGGTTCCGAGTTATTGGACTGCCGTGGGGTCGGGATGTTCCAGTCCGGTGTACTTTCATGATGAGTAGTGATATTTTGCTTTGGATTTGGTTAGGTGGTTATGGTTTGTGAGTGTCTGATATTTTGTTGAAAAGCTTGATGGTTATGGTGGATTACTATTGCGTTCATATTCTTTTCCTTCCTTTTCTTTCCTTTTTTATTTTTTTATTTTATTTTTATCTAATACGGAGCAAAAATCATGAATTTCCTGAACAATGGGCAAGAGAAGAATCTCATCAGTGACAGTATATATGTTGTTGGAGTGGCTACTAAGGCGATTCAACCGTGTAGAATGAGATGGATGATGATGTAGCTAGGGGCCTCGTAGGCCATCTATATGGACTAACTAGCGGTGTAGGGAGGAGCGTCACGTGACCCTACGTTGCCTACCGGCGTGGGAGCCCATCGGGGATCCCAACATATGTTAACAGTGTAGAACCCCGCTTTCTTAATAGCATTACACTCTTGCAGGGCTTGGAAATAGATCCCAGAAGCTTCATCTATACGCCAAATTAAGAAAAAGAAAAAAAAGAAGCAAAGAAAACAACCAGATTCTTATTCTACCGCCTGGGAAGTTAATTCTCTTGATATCCAGTCAGCTGGCCCGACCATCCCGATCACATGATTGGTCGCTGAGCCGGTCGGGCAAGCGGAAAACTTCCCCTTCGGGTAATCCCGCAGCCCGGCGGTGTCCTTCCTTTTTGACATCTGCACCAACCTCACATCGTCCTACCTTCCATGTGGGAACCATGTGGACTCGCCAATCCTCCTCTTTCAGCATTTTTCTGACAATCAAACTGCTTGGGAGGCGGAACTTCCGAGGTCTGTGTCTCACTCCCGATTAATCCCGATAATTCCAGCTCTCCGCGTTGGCAACATGGAGCTTGCGTGGTTGGCGGAGACCCCGCATTCTAATCATCGAAGGAGGGTTTTACGCGCATGTCCCCGGTGTCAGATACGGAAGGTATGCAGTCATGCGGGGTGTCATTCCGGAGATTAATAACTCATCTAATCGTTGGTTAGAAACGGTGTCGCCATGTTGAACCGGTGCCAAGCCCCAGTCGTGCTCGGGTTCTCAACCGTCAAGCCAAGCCGACAGTATCAGAGGTCACCCATCCATCCGGGGAGACTTCAGCTTCCGATACTACCGTCAGTCCTAAGACTCCCCGTGCTCAAGACGAAAGCACCCGACCAGAGAGATTTCTAGGAGCCATGAACCCTGAATCACTGATCCGAGAGAAACTGGATCCAGCTACCGATGTTAACCCACGTCGGGATCGAATTGGTCTTTGGATCACATCGCCTGTCGCGGAACGACGCCAGAGGGGTTTTCAGGATGGCGCTATTCCCTCATCACCCTACCCGGTTGAATTGCAGACCATTGCGGATCAACTGCGCCAGAAACATGAATCTGCTATGACTGCTTGCATGAGGTTACCGTTATCTACACAGCAACATTTAATCCCGATCTATCTTTCGAACGTCAACCATATCCTGCCCATCGTTGACCAAGAGGCCTTTCACACAGCCCAGTCGGAGGGAACTGTGTCGCCGTTCTTGGAAAGGGCCATTTGTCTTGTCGCCGCAAAGGACAAAGCCGCTGCTCCATACCTTCGGCTTTATGATAACGTCCCGGTTGTCTCGCCGGCAGAGTTTTGCACTGATATCTATCGAGGTCTCTCCGTTGTTATCAACGAGGGCCTGGAACCTGACAGAATCACTCGAATCAGGGTATTGGCATTGATGGCTCTACATTGCGAAGACTCTGAAGGAACAGAGACCGCCTCAATGCACCTCTACCGGGCCATTCATCAAGCACAAGCGGTAGGATTGCATTTGATTCGACCAGGCAATACGGAGCACCCGCTGTCTGGGCTGTTCTGGTGTCTTTGGACTCTGGACAAAACCCATGCCTGCATGGGCGGGCGTGCAGTGCTATTGGCGGATCAGGATATTAGTATCAGGAAGCCTGCGGCTATAAGGAACACTTTGTCGCGACCGCGGACTGCGTTCGAGGTCTGGTTTGCCATCTCGGATTTGTTGTCGGATGTGATCTATCTGTATAGACCAGGCGCGGACCGCAACTCTCGAGCGGCCCGGTGGGAAAGGGGATTTCCTAGTTTCGACGAGATTATAGGCAGTGGGGTGGAGGAGGATGTTGACATCGGTACTCTTGGTATGTCTCATTACTGTTGATTTTCTCCTGTTTTCTTAACATACGCCGTCTCACTTCTGGTTGCCTGCTCACATTATGGAAATAGGTTTCCTGGAATTGTTCTATCATGCTGTAGGAATTCTGTTTGCCAGAAACCATAGCCCAGAACACATCGAGAGTCCCAGCCCATTTCATATCCGACAGGACCATGCCGCCATTCGGATCCAGTCCATCGCAGCGAAAGAATGCATACACGATCTGCCACCTCTGCCAATAGTGCCCTATGCCTTGTCGCTATCTATGGGAGTGTCCTACCAACAGTACCGATCGAGCAATCTAATCACACACCTCAGCCGCTCCAAAGCCGATCTGGAAGCTCGTTGTAGCTTGCTGGAGATTCTCAGTCCATACTGGTATTCGGCCGATAAAATGGCGCAGTTGGGGCGCAAAGCCGTGAACCAGATCCACGAACGCCCTGACAACCAGCCGGGTTTGACTATGACTGGGAATACAACGCAGCCTCCTGTTGGTATGAGTGGTCACGGAAACCGCATCACTTGGGTGAATTCAACTTCGATCGATTCAACTAGAGAGCATTCGGCCAACGCCGAATCTTCACACAATGAGCTACAAGATCTGGCCCTAGATGGTTTCGCAGATATTGACGTCATATTTGGTGACTTCTTGGATCTTTCACTACCCAATGGTTATTGGGACCCTGCTTTCCCTATGACCGCGCTGGATACCAATGGGATGCAATAATATTTCAGGGAGCAGTGCCAGAACTGTCAAATCGTATGTGCTAGACTATGGCTAGGAAGATAGGCTGTAATTATGCAAACCTACCCTGACCCCCGGCAAGCACATAGGCAAAAGCCTCATCCAATATACGCAACCCCTCCTCGATCTCCTCTGCCGAGACCGTCACTGGCGGCGCAAGACGAAACACCCCTCCCATACCAGGCAAATTGACCACATTGCACGACAGTCCGCACTCCATGGCGCGGTCTGATACTGCCTGGCCGAGTTCCGGGCCAGGAGCCTTGGTCTCTCGATCCGAGATGATCTCAATACCCTGCAACAGACCCCGACCTCGCACATCTCCAATACACCAATATTTCTCTTGAAGCTCAAGCAGGCCATGCCTCAACTGTGCACCCCGCTCCACCGCCCGTTGGCAGACATGATCTCTCTCAACAATCTCAAGCACTTTATTCCCCACCGACGCAGTAAGTGGATCATTAAGATGAGTGGTCAACCAAAGGAACCCCGCCTCCGCACATCCACGCGCGATTTCAGCCGTCGTACTCACCGACGCCAAGGGAAGCCCACATCCAAGTGTCTTGGACAAAGCAAGAATATCCGGAACAATTCCCGCTTCCTCGAACGCAAACATTCGGCCCGTCCTACCCACTCCCGTTTGCGCCTCGTCCATGATCAGCAGAATACCCCGCTTCTTACACTCCAACGCCATCCGTTGCAGGTACCCATCCGGTAAATCAAGGACCCCACCGCTCGAGAGAATAGGTTCCATAATAAAGGCCGCCAGAGACCCCACGCTTTGCTGATCGATCAGTGACCATCCAAACTCCAACTCCGTTTCCCAATCATAAGACCCATCGGTCTTGCGAAAGGGAGAGCGGTACGCGTAGGGAGCCGGAAATGCCAGTTGGCCCGGCATACACGGACCGCCGTTCTTCCGACCAGCAGAGTAGGTGGCTGATCCTGCCCCTTGAGTAAGCCCGTGGTAACTGGCAGCAAAGGCAATGATTTCGAATTTTCCGGTGTAGGCTTTGGCGATTTTGATGGCTGCTTCGGTGGATTCGGAGCCGGTGTTGAGAAAGAAGGACTTCTCTAGAGGGGCGGGGAGAAGATGGGCTAGACGCTCAGCTAGGTTGACCACCGGCTGGGTGATCATGTTGCTGAGGAGGTGGTCCAGTTCGGCAGCATAGTGCTGGATGACGGATACGATTTCGGGGTGGGAGTGGCCGAGCAGAGCGCTCATTTGGCCGGAGGTGAAGTCCAGGATTTGTCGGTTGTTGGTGTCATATAGACGGGTACCTTTGGCTTTGGTGATGATGAGTGGGGAGATGGGAACCCCGGTGGGCATGAGGTATTGGTTGGCTTTGGCGAAAAAGGTGGTGGGATCGGGGGCTGACATGGTGCGTTAACAACGAGTTGTAGGAGAAGTGGATATGTAATAGAACCTGCAATGTACTGTCTTCATATACTGTTGAGTGATACTTATGGCATGAAGTTGGGGTTATATAAACCCTGGGTCATTGCCCGCGGGACGGCCGGTGTTCTTCCTGGCTTTCGGATTGGTCAAGCTAGCCGCGGAGAACTCCGCCCGCGGCCATCACCTCGCGGTTTTGCTCTTGCATCCACTCACAACCAGCTTGCCATGGAGTCAATTACTGATACTTCCCTAGAAGGCCTCAGCAGCTCAGGCAGACCGTATCGGTCGCATACACATCCCGCATGTCTGCCCTGCAGGAAACGCAAGTCCGCCTGCAGAACCCGAGACGCCTCCGCCACATGTATCCTGTGTCTGGTGCATGGTACGAATTGCATTTTCCCTCAGGCAGACAGTCGCTCGCAGCGAAGACATGTAGACTCTCCGCGGAGACTGGCCCCTAAGGAGAGACATGCTCGGATTGTGCAGCATCGGGAAAATCGACGGCCTCTCCCTACACCCCAGGTCGTTCTTCCGCCCACGGATACTGGACCTGACAGGACGGATTCCCAGACGAAGAATGCCGACGATGGCTTACCGAGCCTGATGGGTGTCACCGACACTGGAGACGATGGTTCTCATATTGTCAGCCCAGCTATTGCTGATGACACGGAGGTCCTGGAAAGCTATCTGTCGACTGTTCCGGACGCACGAAAGAGGTGCTTTCGCACAAGTTCGAGCTCCAGTCGACCTATACGGCCGGTTTTGTTTAGTACCATCCCCAGACGGCCGTTGGGGGTTTATTCCCATCAGTCTCTTCCGGCGATGAAGCTTGAGGTTATCGAAAAGTACCTCGAGCCTGTTACTAGAGACGTTGTTAATCTGTAAGTCATCACATCCAGAGACTTCACTTATATACTAACTGGCATCAGCTTCTTCCGATACGCCAATATCTGCTTCCCAATATTCGACGAAGCGTCCTTCCTCACCATCTACACCACCCACAAGGAGAAAATCTCCCCAGCCCTCCTCTGCACCCTCTACGCCATCTCCCTCATCTACTGGAACAACTCGTCAAAACTACGTTCCCTCCGCCCTCCAGACATCCGCTATATCTGGAACCAGGCCATCGAGGCCATTCACTCCGAACTCTTCCTATCCCCGGGTATATCCACCGTCATGGCAATGCTACTCAACATAAGCGGCCGACCCAGCACCTCCATCTTCGGCAATGGCGGCATGGTCGGCACAGCCGTCGCTTTAGCCAACGCCCTAGGCCTAAACCGAGACCCTTCACAGTGGACTATCTCTCCTGTAGAGAAACGCTTCCGCATACGTATCTGGTGGTTAATCGTCATTCATGATCGCTGGTAGGTACCCTCCCTTACCCCCCACCACCACCATATCCCCCTCTAAGAAAACACCCAGGTGCAGCCTCGCCTACGGAACCCCCCCTCCAAATCCACCGCGCCCAATACGACGTCCCCATCCCAACTATCTCCGACATATGTCCACCGAACAGTTCCTCTGTGCAGCTATCCGCCGCCTACATCTTCATCGCCCTAACAACCCTAACTGAAACCCTAACCCTCTACCTCGAACACATCTACCACGTCTCTCAAACCCTCACCCCCCCTCCCCTAGCACTATCCTCCCTCTTGACAAACTGGGAATCTTCCCTCCCACCCCAAACCCGCCATATTATTCTCCGCGGAACAGATCTCACCGCTCCTGGGGCTGCGAATCTCCGTCTTGCTTATCTAGCAGTGAAACTTCTCCGAGGACGGATAGAATTAGACCACACCCACCCCCATCCCCACTCTCCTATAAGTAATGAAGATGGAAATACCCACCGCGCAGCAGAATCCATAATCCATTTCATCCAAGAACTTGACTCCTCTCATCTAGCCGGGTTCTGGTTACCGGGGTTGGCGTATTCGATTACGTCGGCGGTGATGTTTTTGGTACGTTCTGCGGTGAGGGAGAAGATTGATGGGTATGGGTCTGGTGGTGTTAAATGGGAGGATGCGTTAAACCTCGCTAGGGATGCAATAACCACATTACGATCTCATCGAGAGAAATCAAATTGGGACCTCGCAGATGATTGTCTAGCAAAATGTAGCGAGGTTGTTGAGCGGGTGGGGATGGTACATGACGGAGGAGAAGAGGATGATTCTTCGTTCGGGCCGGGTATAGATCTAGATATTGATTCCGTGGTATGGGATGATTTGTTCTTAGGGGGTGGGTTTTTCGGGGGGATGGAGTGAGTAATTAATCAGCTCATTACAACCAATCACTACTACTACTACTACTACCACCAGTCTTAAGAGATAAACAGCACCTTCCATAACAAAACAATCTTCATCCTAATTACATATAAACCCATCTATCTATTACTCTATTCTATCCCTTATATATGTATATATAAGAAATCACCCCTTAAACGGCGCAAACCTCGACATCTTCCTCAACCTGACCCCATAAACCATAAACAAAAACGGGACCGGGATCGCCGCAGCCGCAATACCCCCCAGTATCGACATCGCCGGCCCAACACCCAGATTCTTGAACATCGGCTGCGCGAACAACGGAAACGCAGCCGCAAGGACACTTCTCAGAAAGGTATTCGACGCCGTGGCCGACGCCGCGTACGGACCGTACGTATCAACCAGGAAATTAATACACTGGCCGAAGATAATACAGAAGCCGCAGCCGAAGACCATTGCCGCGACGACAGGTAATCCCCACGAGTAAGAGGGGTTGGCGGTCCATCCGAACCAGAAGAGGCCTCCGGCGAAAAGAAACCCGCCGATGGCCATGGGCATGAGGCGGGCCTCGGGGACGGGTTTGCCGCCGCCGGCTTCCCATTTGCGGATGTAGTAGGGTTGGCCGATGAGGATGATGAAGAGGGAGGAGAAGAGGACGCCGATGAAGAGGCCGATGAAGGGGAGGGTGGCGAGGAGGGGTTTCCAGTGGCGGAGGTCGTCGAAGACGATGGGGAAGACTTCGAGGGTGAGGTAGAGGAGGGCGTAGGTGAAGGAGGCGTAGAGGGCGATGACGGTGACCATTGGTTCGGTGACGAGCATGACTAGGGGGCGGGAGAAGTGTTTGGTGATGATGCTGTGGACGGTGATGTTGAGGTGTTCGTGGGGGTGGTAGAGGTCTTGGTTGGAGGTTTCTTTGCGGAGACGGATGGCTTTTTTGTGGAGGAGCACTGGGCCGTAGACTTCGGGGAGGCAGAAGAAGGTGATGGTGAAGACGAAGAAGACGAATATGGCTTCGATGTATTCCGTCCAGCGCCAGCCGAGGTTGGGGTGGGATACTAGGGCTGCGCCGATGATGGGCCCCATGGTTGGGCCGCCGACGACGCAGATGGCGTAGGATGTGCTGGCGATTCCGCGCGCTTTCATGTGGAAGATGTCGCCTAGGGCTGCGGAGACGTTGCTGACTGGGGCGGAGCCGAAGAGGCCTGCGAAGTATCGGGTGATGAGGACGGAGGCAGTGTTTTTGCTTGTCGCTGTGCCGATGCTGAAGAGGCCCATGATGAAGACGGCGGGGAGCATGGACCACCGTCGGCCCCAGATTTCTGAAATAGGCGCCCAGCATAAAGGTCCGAAGGCGAAGCCGAGACTGCATCTATTAGTGACTGTCAAAGCTTATTTCCATGAGCTCGCCACTTACATGTAAAGAGATACCGGAAGGATGCTGACTTCGCTCCCAATGTGTAAGTATGCTTTGAGGCTTGTTTCCGCTGGGGAGATGATACTCGAGCCCATACTGGCGCTCAAGGCCAGCAAGCCGAGTTGAAATGTGATCCAGCATTTGTATGCGGTGGAAAAGTTATGCGGGTTTTCGGGATCATTGTCGTCCCAGGTGACCAGATTCGGGTCGGGACCTACATGCTGCATGGCCTTTTCCGTATCGGCAGGCCGGGAGGGCTGATTCTCAGGCACGGTGGTCATGCTGAGAAATTCGGTCGCCTTTCTGCACTTTTGTGCAGCGTGAGTCAGGGTGACGATGGGGTTTTATTTGCTCTCGGGAATATCGGAGCGGGCTGCGGTTACCCGAACGTGGTGGCGTCGGACATTCCGACGCGGAGGTCCGAGCATTTTGCCATCTAAACGGTGGATGATTGGTGTTCTCCTCCACTCAATGATCTTCCTGCGGCGGCAAGTGGAGAGCTGAAACCTAGAGTTATAGAGCTTTAGAGGACTTATCCGAACCTGCAGCTGCAGCCCCTTTGCTAAGGCAGGTAGCCCCACAGCCTTCGGGCTTTATCCCCTTTCGGTATGCTCGGGGTTTTCGCGTCGTTGCTGGGCAGCTGCAGGTCTCATATTCCTTGCTCTTCAGCATGATCGTTCCAGTATGCGGATAATTGTTGGGTTGGAGTTTAGGGAATCTCCGCACAGGCTTTGATCTGTGCCAAGCGTATTTCACCCTTGCGCTAGCTCTTTTTCAGTGGTCTTTGGCCCCATGGAACCTTCCTGCCGCTAGCTTTACCACTGTCCAATCGGCAATGTTGGCGGGCAGGCTGTAGCCTGTGGAGATGAACACACCAGCACGATCTGGTGAAGTGCGTTGAAATTGTAAAGAAATGACCACACTGCAGTTGATGTAACCCCAGGTTCATTTATCTATGTCTGAGTAACTTGTTGTTTGCCCATACCTTGCGGTTGGATCCGCTCAAGAAGAATTGCAAAGAATCGGCATTGCTTAGGTCGAGAGAGAGCAGCTCCATCGAAGACAAAACTCCAATTGTCACGCTTCTCCCTTGTTTTCCTCAGTCTTCCCTTTCTTCACACTCCGCCATCCAACCCCCCACACAAATCCAAACTGCACTACTGACAACGCGGCACTGAGATAAAACACCTCTCCCACGCTTTTCGCATACGCCACCAACACCCCGGGGAGCTCCTGGGCCGGCACCAGCTCCCGGAACCCCGTCGCGCCCGCAGCAATCACCGCTGCAGCATCCACCGACGGCGCGCACTGCGGAATGTTTGTCTTCAGGGCCTGCGCGAAAATCACCTCCGCAACGGCGAGGAAGATCGCGCCGCCGAAGGTCTGGGCGCAGGTCATCAGGGCCATGGCGGTGGAGACGTCGGTGTCGGTTACCGTGTTTTGGATGGCGACCATGGGCTATTTTGTTGTTAGAGTGTTGGGCTGACGCTGGGGAAGAACTCACCACTTGGGAAATAGCCCCTCGACCGAATCCAACGAGAGCTTCGTAGCCGGCCCAGGTAGCCACCAAAGTATGGACGGATAGGGTGGAGAGGAGGCCGTTGCCGATGGCATTGAGAATGGCGCCTAGGACGCCCCAAGGAAGATAGTAGCCCACTTTCGAGGCTATCGGCATTCTTATTAGTTCACTTCCAAATCGATAGACGGCAGAAGAAAACTCACTTAATACCCCCGACACCACTGCCATCACCAGCTGGCACAAAATATTCGGCAACAAATCTACCCCACTAGTCAACGCCGATTTCCCCCGCGCGGCTTGGAAATATATTGGCAGGTAATATGACAGCGTCATGGTGAAACCAAAGATCGACATGGCCAATAGACTGCTAGATAGCACGATCCGGTCGCGCACCAAGTGCCCCGGGATCATCGCCTCGCTGCCCATGTGTCGTTCCCACACGGCAAATACTAGGAATGTGGCCACTGACCCGCAAAACAGCCCAATGACTGTAGCGCTGTCCCATGCGTAGCTATTTCCACCGTATTGCAGGGCGAGTAGGAGCATGATAGATGCGGGCGCAAACAGCACAAAGCCTAGTAGATCAAATTTCCGCAGGAAGAGGGATTGCAGGACGTGCCGAACAGGGGGCTTGGGCTTTTGGTCCGGGATGCGCGTGAAGAGGAGGAGGGCGGCGACGACGGCACCGATCGGGAGGTTCATATAGAAGCCTGATAGAGGGTCAGCTATCCCATTGTTTCAAGGATGGATCCGATCTCTGACATACACCATCGCCAGGTTGAGTAGGTCGTCAAAGCACCTCCCACAAGGGGTCCGCCCACTAAACCTAGTTGTCCCACTGAATACGTCAGTCCGCCAGTATAGTCCAGGATTGATTCGTAGGGAAGATCATACCTCCCATTATTACTCCGATCATGGCCGGTCGCTTCTGAATCGGCACCGCTCCGGCCAGGATATTCAACGCCCCGTTCAGCATCCCCGAAGACCCCATGCCCGCCACCGCGCGTCCGACAATCAGCATCTTGGACGAGGTGGCCACTCCACATAGCAGGGATCCCAGTTCAAACACCCCGAAAAAGGCGAGGAAGGTCCATTTCGAGGAGAAATACGTGTAGAACTTTCCGGTGAGGGGTTGGAGGGCAGCACTGTAGTCGCGGTTGTTAGCATCGCCCATCCCAATTCATATACTCGTTCATCTAATAGCCCGCTGCATCGCATACCATACCTCGAGATTGTATATGCACTGCCATACCACGCCACATCATCCAGCGAGTGGAATTGGTTTGTGATTGTGGGAATAGCCTGGCGATCGTCAGTCGGGTCTTGGAGTGGGATTCGGTCATACAGTCGAGACAATCGAAATATCCAACAGCATCAAGAACACTACCAGCGTGATTCCCGCAATCACCATCACCAGTGCTAGTCCCTCCACCCACTCAGGCTCGTGCGTGTTGTCGCTGGTTCTGTCGGCGGGTTCATTCGACTCCCACAATGTGGGTTCCGATTTCAGCAGACGGGGTTGCTGGTTGTCTTCGCCCATATTCGCGTGCTAGGTAAATTATCAAGCGAGAGGTTTATAAGCTTGATTGACCTGGAATTGGCATTGCATCAGGCACAGCAGCGGAGAGATCTGTTAAGTATTCGAGGGTATCCGGCATTGGGATTGGCCCGCGCCCGAACGCCGTTCCGGCCCCTGCCAACTCGCCGGTCGGACATCTTGCGCTAAGGAAGGAATTATTCTACTATTCCAGCGGATACTAGATTCAATGGATGAATGAGGGCAGTTTCAAGGTGATGGCGTCGTGGTAGAAAGTCTAAGCGTGCCAAATAGACCACAAACCAGAGCTGGGTGCTGGTGAGTCTCCGTATGTCAACTGAAAAGAGCGGACGGTCGCGCACACATTCCATGATGAGGCCATTAGCCAGGCGTGCTGTTGGACACGCTCCACTGCTGTTCCTTGCTCCGTTAAGATGTCTCGAAGGTTTCAAGGTGACTTATCCCTGGCAAGATCATCGACAAATGTGATGATCTTCATCAAAACTAGATTTGTGGTCGCTTATACCAAATGGGCGGGAAATATATGTTGTCAGGACCTACTGCGTGCCAGCAACTGACATCTGCACACAGACTGTATAGTAGTACCCAGATCTATCCAGTCTCAAGGATTACGCAATTCCCTCGGTTGACCACGCCAGGTCCGACCAGCTCAGGAGGTTTTCCAGTTCCCCCAACTCCATGTTGGACAGAAACGGTTCCCAGTCGACGGCCTCTTGGAGTCGTAACTCCCACTCACTCCGCAGCTTTTGCATTATCATTCCCAGCTTGCCAAAGGGATCATCGCACGCACCCTCGCTTTGAATCCCGACCGCGTCCGCGACCTGGCCCATACGCGTGGCGATCTGCTCCGCCACAGCCAGGATGTCCACTGAGCGTCTGACTGCGGCCTTGTCCCAGCCCGGGTAGTCCAGAGTGGAGAGGCGCAAGAGGGTCACCAGGCAGTGTGACACCTGGGTCAAATTCGGCAGTGCCAGGGAGGTGTATCCCGCCGGAGCGATCGTTAAAAAAAGATCGAAAAACCGCTTCACCACCTGGAGAGCAGCGTAGAGGTGATCGAGTCGCTGGGTGCTCATTTCCTCGTCTGCAGGGGGTTTCGCGATGGCAACCTCATAGAGAGTGATCTCGGTGTCGTAAAAATGGAAAAGAATTGGTTCTTGAAGGATCAGTAGCTGCAAACTGGGCTCAGGATATCAACATACTGTTTTCGGCTAGTGAAACGGGGATCTCGGCCTTGATCGCCTCCAACCGCGATTGCAGCGCCTTGAGATGGAAGGCGGCGACGGCTTGCGCTGGATGGAGCCCATACAGGCCTTCGCTCCAGGGGCCTTGCAGGATCTGGTCCGCGAGCAGTCGCGTGCGTGTGAGCTGAACAAGAACCCCATCGCCCGGCGACTCTTCGCTCCCTGCGAGGACCTCGAGAGATTCCTGCATGTGCGAGGTCCATCGTAAGGGATCCATTCGACCAAGAAACTGTGCGATTCTGGACCAGTCAGTCACTCAGTCGGTTAACCCATTCAAGGGATGACCTCTTACATCGAAGTCATCACAAAGCAGCTCAAGACGGCACGGCGTTCGTTCATCGTGCGCCGGGTCGAAATAGAGGCTTTCAGCCCTGGCAGGTGACCCACGGCATTGTTGTTGGAGACGATCATACTCAGATCCGGAGGCGGGGGCTTATTGAGGCCCAGCTCGAAGACCAGTCCGATCGCCATTTGGGCATAGATACAGAGTGAGGACTTTTGCGGCTGGCTATGAAATGTGACCCTGGTCGAGCGTCAGCAGGACGTGATTAAAGGTCAGGAATCATACCAGGCGAGATAGACCAACACCCCCTGCAAGAGATCCAAGGATTTCTCGCAGTCCACCAGCAGTCGCCGCCCTGCTAACTCCCGGATGCCTACACATAATGCAGCTTGCGAAGCTGCATGCTTCTTTTCCACCGCTGCAATACAACGCCAAAGAAAGGGGGACTGTCGTGTCAAATCCCGCGCGGTTGTGGTGGCAGGGATGTGGATCAGGGGAAGGAACTGCAGCCGGTTCCGAAAAGAATGTAGCGCCTCTTCTTCCCCAACTTCGGTTTCTTCATCCTCTCTTTCTTCTCTGACAGGTTCGTTCGCAGGTTGTTCGCGCCCCGGCACGTCGGCTGGCTCCCGGACCGGGGTTGGCAGGTCGGTGCGACCGGCGGAAGAGGTCAGCAGCTTCATCAAACCGTCCATTTTCCGCTCCAGCTGAACCGCCTTGGACAAGGGTCGGGCCTTTCGACGGCTTGGCAAGGTACGACAGTCTTTGTTCAAACGATGACATCTGGATCCGGTTAGATTTGAAGCTGACAGCGGGGGTCACCCACCTTTCACAACGGCCGCCACCGCGGGGGACGCAACGACATTTGGCACGAGCACAGGTGGCACAGGCATTTCCATAGGGCAGAGGGGAGCGCCCCGGAGGTTCCATGACGGCGATATGTTGAGTACTCCGGTTGGTTGGAAGAGGTAAAGGTAAGGGAAAGGGGAAGGAAATGGAGGAAACGGAGCGGGAGTGGAAGCGGCATTCAATCAACGCCGGTCGCATGTGATCATTTCTCCGAAGGATCCAGGCCGCTATTGGTGGGGAGTTCGAAGGATTCGTAGGATGATAGGAAGACACCGTTTTCTCATATTAAACAAAGTGGACGGACTAATAAATAATGGTTTCAGATCGACTTTCAGTTGATGAAAGCACACTTGATTCAACAACACTCGGAGCATCAAGGACCGCCAGATATAGACCATTTCCAGATCATCTAGACATGTTTGGTTCGAGCTTTCCACTAACGACACCTAAAGTCTTACACCGACTCATTATTTCATACAAAAACTGCATCTGCCCCTGTCCAGGCAGCGTGGGCACAGTAATCATTCAGCAGCTTGACGACCTTTTTCCAGCTCTTCCTTTAGAACATAATGATATTACCGGAGGGAAAGACTACGGTAGAGGTTGTAAGAGATTTTTCAACGCAAGTCTATAACCATATCACGAAGGCAATTAGAAAGCCAATTCGGAGGAGACCCTACATGTTACGCCTATTAAGTTCTGGTTGACCATTCCGGCCATTTAGTCTGACCAAGCCCAGGCGGCAACTCGCGAAGCTGCCGAGCAACCTAGAGCGGCGAGGAGATAAAGTTTACATGATCAGTGAGCCTGAAGCCGCAGCCATCACGGCATTGCAAAAACTACACCCGGAACATTGCCGAAAGATCAGTCAAGGTGAGTTTCTATTCCATTTTTATCTCGGAATTGGCCATTGACGGTCTCTCGCAGCACGGCGATGGAGTCTTAGTCTGTGATTGTGGTGGTGGAACGGTTGTAAGTCTGATGTTCTCTTCAATGTTTATGAGCTCATGCCGTAGGAGATCACAACCTACCTTGTGTTCCAAATGGAGCATGTTCTCAAGTTTGAAGGACTCTGCACGGGAAACGGTAAAAGCGCGGCACTCTTCTCGTAATGCCCATTGCTTTACTGATTGAGATCACTTGCCGTGGCAAGGTTGTTGGACAGGCTATTATCGACTTCCACAATCATATCCAAGTGCAGTGATGGTCACAGTGGAGTCTATTTGTGTAACATGTTATTGAAATACCGTGTGCTGGATTCATTTTTTATTCGAATACTTCCACATGTCGCTAGCAAAATCGATGGGATCTGTACTATGGCAGGCAGGCAGGCATACACTAATGAAGAATTGACCCACTGTACCCAACAGTTTGGATGAACGAATGGAGTACCGTGCCACGTGTTAATGTCATCTGAGATAAGCATACACGAGACACTTCAGTAGGCTGGTGTAACCGAGCAGACAAATCTCCGCCTAGCATTTCTTCATCCTCAAATATATGCCGAGATCCACCTATTTACCAGTAGCGACTCACGACCCGACAACGGAAGCTAAGAACTAGCACGTCTTGCCATAGCGAACCGACCAATCCGCACCATCGGAAATAGCACTGGCCCACGCGAGCTTACAACAACACGAGCATCTGAAGACACTGTCCCCACCACCACCACCACACTACCACATGGACAACTGGACATATGTATAAAACCAGCACTCTCATCCCACCCCACCCAACCAACCCTCTCAGATCCAAACCACATCACATCACACGCACTACCCATACAAGACACCATGCCCGAAATCCTCCACGCCTCCAACACCCCCTACATCCCCCTCTCATTAACCCACCGCGGCCCCGGCCTCAGCTTCAAACACCTCTTCCTGGGCACCGAGCAAACCTCCGAAAACTACCTCTTCAGTCTCGCCCACCAATCCACATTCTACTCCCCCCGCCACAAGCACAACTTCGACCAGTTTCGATTCGCGTACCGAAACTCCGTCTCCATCTCCCCTGATATTCTCCTCCAAGAAGGCGAATTGTGTTATCATCCCGAGGGGGTGGAGTATGGGCCTCAGGATGATCCGGAGGGTGGGAGAGAGGTCTTGGTGTTGCAGTTTGGGGGGGCGAGTGGGCAGGGGTATTTGTCTTTTGGGGAGATAGAGAGAGCGCAGGGGATTTTGAAGAGGAGGGGGGTGTTTGTGGGGGGGAGGTTTTTTGAGGGGGATAGTGTGGAGGGATTGGAGGGGGAGGGGAAGGGGAAGGGGAAGGATGGGTATGAGGCGCTTTGGGAGGAGATGATGGGGAGGGAGTTGGTGTATCCGGTTCCCAGGTATGGGGGGCCCGTGGTGGTGAAGCCGGAGGGGTTTGCGTGGGTGGGTGTTGCGGAAGGGGAGGGGACAGCGGCGTGGAGGAAGTGTTTGGGGGTTTTTTCGGAGAGGGAGACGAGGGTCGAGATGGTGAAGTTGGATGAGGGGGGGGAGGTGGTGGTCGAGGGGAGGGATGCGATTCAGTTGTTTTTTGTGTTGAAGGGGGAGGGGAGGGTTGATGGGGAGGAGGTCAGACAGGAGTCTGCGGTCAGGTTGCAGCCGGGAGATGGGGCCGAGTTTGCGTCGGAGAAGGGAATGGAGTTTTTGAGGTTTGTGTTGCCCATGTTGAGGTGATGCAGTGTCTGGGAGGTTTGGAGTGATGGTGATGTCGGACGGATAGATTTGTTGACTGGGGTGGTCCTGACCCCGGGTATTGCATTTCTTCTCTGGTCATTTTTAGGCTTTAGATCTCAGTTTCCCGATGATATCCGCTTGGTAGATAGAATCCAGTATTTTTCTATATCCTGGTTAGGTGACATACATTGTCTCGGAAGGAAGTCAACAGCTATTGGAGAGAGCACCATCGTTATAAAATCTGCATCATACACCCGCCTCTGCTCGCATCTGCACACTGTTGATGAACTCACACCGATCAAACAGCTTCTCCCATAGTACCGCTTGCTCTGCCGCCGTGGCATCGCTGGCATCCTTCCGGACCGTGACTGGTCCCGGCACCGGGCCGCCAAACACCTGAATCGACACCCGACCGGGAGACTCCTTCGGCAACTCCTCACTACCTCCCAAGAATGCAGCCGGCCATTCCTCACCAGGTCTTCCATCATGCGCAAATCCAATCACCCTCCTACTCACCAGCTGCGACAGCTCCATCTGCTCCGGTGAGTTATCCGCCCCACCTCCTACATTACCGTTGTTCATCACGTACGGAATATCGCTCAGATGCGCAACACGCCACATCGGAACCCCCATCATCTCAAACACCGGAGCGTATCTCGTTGCATTATGCTCATACAACCATACCTTGGATGCGTCGACACCTCCCTTCTGAACATACTGCCATGTGAAGTCCAAGACGGGACAGGAAAACCAGATGTCGCGATTTAGCTGCGCCGCACGGTAGTACTGCGGTGAGATCGGCCCTTCACCGGCCATGTGCTCGAACGCTGCCACGGGATACAAGTCCAAGAGTTTTTCTTTCGTCAAAGGGGAGAGCTTGGATAGCCATAACCCAAAACTACCCAGCACCTCTTCATCTGTGGATGTGGGTGGCGGGGCATACCAGGCGCCATCATTGGTTACCCAGGAGGCAATAATGGGGACATCTTTGACAAATTTACCGGCGCGGAGGAGTTCAGTCGGTCGGCCAGGCAGAATGTCGCCGTCAATGGTGGGGTAGAAGAATCCTTCGCCGAATGGAGGACGGGCTGCGCGGGATGCCGTCACGGAGATGTTGGTGAGGGTCTCAAAAGGGATGCGTCGGATACAGTCAAGGGTCTCCAGGGACTGTGCGTCTTTGGTGACGCATCCTACTTCTTTCGCTACACTGGCGGTATTGTCCGCTACTAGCGCAGGGTCACTGTTGAAGTTGAGACCTGGAGCGCCGGACATCATGCTGAAAGAGTCAGTTGATTGTCTGCTAATGGAATGACCTGACTCACATAGCTTGTTGGAAAGGAACCCCTTTGGTCCCGCTCCAAGATGTCAAGTGCAGGCCGATGTCGCTGGCTCCAACACTTTGGCCAATGGCAGTCACTGTGGTGCATCAGCGTCTGTCTCTGCTCGAATCTTATAGTGTGTTACCTCTGTCGGGATCCCCTCCGAAAGCTTCGATATTGTCGCGCACCCCTGATCACGATTAGCGACTTCGAGAAGTTCTGCAGGCTACATACATTCCAAAGCAGCTCGCTGGTCACGCAAACCGGCATTCGTCTGCTTATTCTCGACCATGGCCTCGCTGGTCGCGAATCCAAATACTGCTGACTGTCAGCAAGCACTACATCCCCAGGTGAATAGGATGGTACTTACATCCCAATCGATAGTTGATCGCAACATAGATCAGAGGCTTTCCAGCGACAACTGCCTCCTTCACCAACCCTTCCGGGTTGTAGAGAACCTCCGACGCGGAACCCAGCGCATGGCCACCTAACAGTGTCAGAGTCTGCTATAGAAACAAAACAGGCACATACCTCCATGCAACCACACCACAACCGGCAACCTTTCATCCTTCAGCCCGGTCGGCCGAGCAATTCGCAAGCTGAGACAGTTCTCACTAATGTTGGACACCCTACTAGTGAAGGGCAAGATATCCCCCGTTCCCTGGGGACACCACGCCCCTGGACTAGTGGCATCAATTACGGTTCCTGCTGGTGGCTGAACAGGAACGGGAGGCGCGAAGCGGCGGGAGCCAGTTGGCTCCTCCGCGTAGAAGATGTTCTGGAAGTGTTCGACCTCATTGGACAGGCTACCGATATATTTGATATCGCGACCGGTGTCATGAACAATGGGTGGAGGCACAAATCCCTTTGGTAAAGTGACTCCCAACTCGACAGCCTTTTCCAAAAAGATGTCGGTAAAGGGGACAAGATACGTTGCGAGAAAGGCTACGGCCACAGTGATTGCGCCTATCACGAGGCCATTCTTAGGGAAGGTCATGGTTGGCTCGGAGAGAAATGGACACTTTCAGCCGCGACCGCCGATTGGAATATGAGCCGGAGGATCGATTGATAAAGCTTGAGATGGTGCAAGTCAGAAGAAATAAGCGCTGGTGATGCTGACTGCTGAAGCCTGAGAGCCTTGGGGCCTGACAGGGATGGCCATCCTTGGCCACCCTCCGATTGGTGGAGCCTCCCGAGGCCAGCCGGCACTGCCGCCCCATCCGAGTCCTGGCTTCAGCATCTCCGTCACCTCCCCACCCCGCCGATCAGGCCAAATCATCCGGAATACGAGTCAATCCACTACCCTCGCCACTTTCCTATTCAAGCTACTCAAACGTATTGCTTATCTTTGTGCGAACCACAATTCCGCCCCGCGTCTCCAACGGCCCTTCCGCGTCGATCTCATCCATCGGCTCCCGACTGGCTATCGTCGTCCGATAGGCTCCCATCTCATACGAGGACGACTTGTCCCCAAAATAGGGATTGTCCGACCGATCAGTCAGATATTCCTTCGACCCCTTTCCCCGCCGATGAGATAGGTTGTTGGTGGTCTTGCTCCCAAGACGTGTGACCACACAGTCCCGAAATTTGCCCACCACAGGAGCACACACGGGCATGCAGCACACAATCATCCCCACGTTGACTTCGATCTCCGACCATAGAATGAAGAGCGTGAAGTCGGCGATAAAATCCGGGTTATCGCTTTTGTCGTATGAGGTCACGAGGTAGATGTACATCCGCGCGATTCCAGCTCCGATCGTGCTGAATCCAGGTTAGTCCTCGCCAATATTGGCTGAAAGGGGGACGAACAAGAGACCCATCATGAACAGACCTGTCAGTCCAACCTTTTTTGCTGTGGGGAGATGCAGCTGCCAGATGATCGGCACCGGCATGGCAATAATAATCACATCCGTAACAATGTCTGTGGCCGTGAAGACGGTGAGCATGTTCAGCGTGTTGGTGCATTGCGTGAGGAAGAACGAGATTGGCGCCCAGTTCCATGCCCACTGGGTGTAACATTGGAAGACAGTGGCGAAGAAGAAGGCGATCATCCACGCGGTCACAATCCCAATCATGACCCAGCAGCAGATTTGGAACGAGCGAATGGGGCTGATCATGCGCTTCCACAGGAACAGGATGGAAAGCTTGATCAGCCCAAAGGCAATTTTTTCAGTAGTCTGAAAACCATATTTGTACTTCTGCGCCAAGTGCTCGAGAGGACTGGTGACAGGCCAGTCGTCGATGACCTGGGAATGGCCCGTAATCGCTCCTTGAACAGTGCCTGCCAGGAAGATACCGTTGAGGCCGAGAACAAAAACCTATGCTGGTTGGTATCAACGGCCCACAACATCGCAGGCTGGGATACTCACGACAGCCACTATGGCGAGCCAATCGTCAGTGCCATAGCGCATCCTTCGGAGTCTTCTCGCATAAATTCTGGATGTGATGACCAGTAACTGAATCAGACAGAACAGAGAAGCCATGACAATCAAGCCGGTCCGGTTGTCGACCAGAGCCAATTTGCGGTGGTAAGCCATGGTGGCCTACGGGTCTGCGGGGCCGGCTACAAGCCACACACGAAGTCTCGTCCAGCGTTCAGGAGTGAATGTTGGGATGCCAGAACATGTCAGGTCCTGTGCTGGGAGCTGCTTCGTGTAGGAAATATACCAAGAGTCCGACTGCAGCATCGTCTGGCCCCCGTTGCTCCTTGGGGGCGAGCTGACGCCTGCGCACGTGGACGGGTTGCATCTGTCTCTAACTATACTAGGTTCGTTTGTCAAGCCGTGTGAGAACAGGGATTTGTCTGCAGCGCTGCCACGACTACGGGAATATTCTCTGCCCTGCCTGATGACATTTTGCATGGGGTTCCACCAAAGAGAGCATGCATCAGTGGCAACATGCGGCCTGTGTCAGCACTAGTGCACAGGCTAGGTTAAATTTGGTATTAGGTGAGGCTGTTCAACCTGAATTCTGTTCTGGGTGGCTTAATTCGTCCTCTCACGCCAACCGCTCTACTGGTCTGTTGCTATATATTGTAAAAGAAAGAACAGGTCATATATTTGACATCCGGATAATAAACTTCTTGCATTGCTCATATGAAGGTTGCAGCTGATGGCATCGGTGTTATGTGGTCGCTCGTGTTAATAACTGTCGAACAGAACTTAAATCTCACCTGCAGAATCCGCCCCATCTGGCAGCTCGGCCCAACCCCGTTTCCTGCCACCAATAAGGGTGAAGTGGAGCAACCGGTAAGATGATTTCTGTTAATGCACAGTTTGCTTGATGTGATTGATGTGATCCCGCTGTTTGTCTCCACTTCCAGAGGTGATGGCAATCATGGCACTCCTTGGGCGGCCCGCCCGCTTTTCGAATGTAACCCCAACAAGGCTTATCCCGTCAAGCCAATCCTTCGCCGGAAGCACGTCCGTTTTATCACTCTTTCTGATCTCGTATGTCCATCAACAAATTCATACCAGCTCGACACTATGGGTGCGTCCTCGGAGAACGACGAGAGCGCCGGGCTTCTCGAGGCTGCCGATTATGCCGACCGCAATCAGGCGCCAGAGAGACAACCAGCCACATCCAGATATCGACCCTCTTTATGCGGATTCCTGCTCATTCTCTCGATTGTCAGTAACCTCTGCACACTGGTGATTCTCCTCCCGAGCCGGCTATCCACCGCCGAACCACCCTCCAAATTTGCAGGCCTGCAGCGAACCCGCGAGGAGCCTTACGTGTTAGTAACAAAGTATGCATCGGAGAATGATACACTCCGCAATCAATTGTGGTACGATATCAACATTGACGATGGAATGGTGGCTCTTTCCGATGAATGGGCCGCGCAACACGATCTTCGCACCGCACAGCGGTTTCCTTGGGATCAAAGCAAGGGCATTTATCTCCTACAAGGTTTTCATAATCTCCATTGTATGAAGATTATCTACATCTCGATGAACGAGTACCGGACCGGGCAACCCCAAACGCGCTCCTGGCACCACATCTCGCATTGCATGGATGCGCTGCGCCGACAAATTCTGTGCGATGCGGACGATACCCCGCGAGCGACCGAGAGACGTGCAGAAGTGGTGACTGGAGTCGGTCAGCATCGAATGTGTCGTAACTGGGATGAACTGGTGGATTTTGCAAAGCAGCACACGGCGTGCTATAAGCGTCCGGATCCGCCAGATGAAAGTCCAATTTTGGACAAGTTCAAGCACTGTCCTCCGGGGAGCGGATATGTGGTGACGGACAACTATGTTCCGACTGATGAGTTCGTGATGGGGTTGCCGGAGGAGTCTATCGAGTTGGACTAATTACTTTGGATCAGATTTTGCTGTCATCTTCTTTGGTAGACTTGACATAACTAGATATCAATGACTAGGTCTTGGTTTTGCTCCGATCGTCTAAAATCCTTCACTCTGACCCAATCTGACGACTGCATAGACAGCTACACTAGAAGGACACAGAGCAATCATACACAGGAAGGATTTTCGGAACAAGACTTTAATTCATCACTACTATTCATCAAAGCATAAAGAGAGGACCCCGTCGACAACATTACACAAAACCCTTCAAGACCATATCGTCAATCAAGAGATCTCCAGCTGGCGGCGAAGCTTAAAAGCCATCCGCAATGTCAACCTTTGCTGCACCGTCCTCCTCACGGCGAACCTTCTTGAAGCCGTCGGCAATGTCAACGTTCGCAGCAGAGTCCTCCTCGCGACGGATTTTGAAACCGTCAGCGAGATCGACCTTGGGAGCATCCTCCTCACGGCGGACCTTGAAGCCATCGGCGATGTCAACCTTTGGCGCAGAATCGTCCTCGCGACGGACTTTGAAGCCATCAGCGAGGTCGACCTTCGTAGTATCATCCTCGCGACGGATCTTGAAGCCATCGGCAATGTCGACGGTAGCTGCACCATCCTCATCACGGCGGATCTTGAATCCGTCGGCCAGATCGACCTTGGCAGGCTCTTCAGTGCCGCGTCTAATCTTGAAACCATCGGCGATGTCAACGGTATCAACCGACTCGGTGTCTTCAAAATTAGCCCGTCTCTTTTAAGAAAGGTAGTCACTCACTGTCAGTTGTGGGGGCAGCCATGGCCGCAACCCCGAGGAGGGTAGCAAACAGGAAAGAGGCGCGCATTGTGGGAAGTATTCTGGTGGCTGGTAGGCTGGTTGTCCACTTGGGTACTCAGAGCCGTGCCTATGAGGGGTTTTAAGCATAAGAAGACCAACTTCCCCCTCACGGCTTCAGCCGCACGATTCCCCTCACCAGCGGATAATCCATCCGATTCCTACGTTAGACGGGTGATAGCCCGTGCAGGTAGCTGCGACCATGTGGGGCAGGCGTCACTTGGATGGCGAGTCTGGCATGATCATCTCGACACGAGGTGGAATTCACGCAGTACGGGAGATATCCGGAGCCATGTCGCATACGTACTCTGACCTGCAATGTCACCCACCATCAGCATGTGGCGAGCTGTGGTGTAGTCAGATGTGATAGCGCTAATGCAGCTATGGTGGTATATCCTGGCTAGGGCTAACAAGGCAGATTACTGGGAAGACTTGTGATATCAGGTCGGGACATTGTGTAAATTCAGAGTTTGACATGCCCACCCAATCAAGAGTTTGATAGTCTCGGCGGCCGACGACTGAACCCGTCAGCCGCACTCGTCCGAACTAGCGTCCGGTGGTGATTCCCACCCGGGAAAGGATGGACCGTTGATCAAAGAATCCAGCCCAGCTTCCCCTCTCTCCTGCATCGTCATTTATGCATGCTGCCGGCTTAGCCCCCACGACACACTCAATTAATTTGTCACTCACATCCTACTCCGTAGGCATCGAGCCTTTGATCCCGAAGTCCGGGAAATTCTCGGGTCAGTAATTCCGCCCTCATCATTGCATGACACTGGATGCCAGGTACCCAAATCGAGTGTCCCATACTGTCCTCATGTCCATGATGGTTATCCCCTCCTAAGCAACCATGTTTCTACCCACGAAAAGTGAAGACCATGGGAAATACGAGCCTTTGGCAGCATTACCAGACACAGAACACAATGGCCACACTCACAGCCCTATACGCTCAACCAGGCTTTGGGTCATCCTCTGTGTGACTCTAGGCCTGCTTGCATCCTTCATAGCCGGTGCATCCACTACCTACTTTACCATGAGGCATCAAAGCAGTCTACCCTCTCTAAACAACGTCGCCCCTCGAATCCCCATTCCTTCCATCGCACGCGAATTCGTCCCTTGGTCGAATTTCTCCAACGAACCTCCTCAATCTGGAGACATTCCCGAACCCATCTGGGACTCTCTAATCCCTAGTCCGTTCTTCCCTAAGCCCTACTACTCCCTCTCCGCCCCAACTAACAAAACGCCAGATGGCCTCGGATACTTCCAAGACGCCTCCCTAACCAATAAACCCTCCATCCCAACAGTCTTTCACCAACTCCACTGCCTCTACATCCTCCGTCGCGCCTACTACGCCCGCTCTGATGAGAACGACCTCGAAGGCTTCGACTTTGGGAAGAACCGCTCCATCCACGTTCCACACTGCTTCGACTACCTCCGTCAGGGTATTACCTGCTCGGCGGATACAACAGTGGAGCCAGCAGTAGACGAGGAAAATGGGTTCTTGGGTAGTGGGTTTCCTCGTCAGTGTGTGGATTTCGAGGCCTTGAAGGAGTATGTTGAGGAGAGAAGGATCTTTAACGCGACCGGGTTTTTGGCGGTGGGATATCATCATCATTAGGATAGTAGTCTTATCACATCAAACGCTCTAATAAATTGACCTAGATGAACATAGGACTTCTTCCCAGTGCCTTGCTTTTGCTGGATCCCTTATCGCTTATCTCTTATCGGCTCCTGTGAAAGTTGTTTTTGTTTGCCATATTTGCATTCTACACTCTCCCTGGTTTTCATCTCGACGCCACTCCAAATTCTGACACGTTGCTACCAAAAACCAGGAGACACTGCATTTTAACATGCACTACTACATACATATGCCTTTTTGCTTTCAGGCATACACAAGCCCTCTGACTGATGAGAATCACTTATTGAGGTTGGGATTTATTGAAGGATTATGCGGCCTCGCCTTTTCAGTGTTAGGACACCTTGCCAAGCCCTCGACCAAGTATGCATAAGCTTTATGCTCAGATCTACTTTCGGATTCACTTATGCTGCATACAGGCTTTTTTAAAGATCCACTTCCCCGGGATTATTGGGCCCTGATTAAATTGGGTCATGACCATAGATAGGTACGGGAGGATTCTATCCCATTCCTTCGGGATGATTTGACCTAGATTGTGAAATATAGGTCGATCCTAGGTCATCTACGGACTCTTGCGCAGGCCATTATCTCATGCGCCACATCCGCCTCAGCCACGCCCATCTTCCCGCGACCGTGCCTGGAGGGCCCACAGGCCTGCATTGGCCCGGCACAGATCCTGCACACTTCATGCCATGTGGCTGGCAAGCTGGCAGCACTCAGATCACGCCGATCTTCGCGATAATTCGCAATCAACGGAATGAATATCATTGAAAACAAAATGACTAAACCCCGAGAGCAATCACGCTACGGGGCCCCTCATTGGCGACTAAACTAGTTCGAATCTCGTCATCGCGAGTCTCTCTTGCGACAAGTCAATTTTGACTCATTATCAGCGGAGTATTCCGCCGCCAGTCTTCTTTGTCCGCATCACGATATTTCTATGACCTAATATGCTCCATGCAGCAGGTTATTTGCCTCGTCTGGATAAATTTTCCACGGAAAATGAATAGCTTAGTTGCATATAAGATGGGGTTCCCGTCCTACCAATTCAGCCTCACAGCAAGCGCCGCCAGAGTACAATCTCAGCATGACGAACCCTGAGATTGAGAGCGGTGCAAACCCGCCTCTCAAACGCATCTGGTACCGTACTTCTCTCTTCAATGCCTGCGTGATCGGTGCAGTAGGCTTCCTCGCCCCCGGCCTATGGAACGCCATGAACTCCCTTGGTGCCGGTGGCGAGGAGAAACCTTTTCTCGTCAACGCAGCCAATGCTCTTGTCTTTGGCCTCATGGGCTTTTTCTGTATCTTCGGCGCACCCATCGCCAACCGCATCGGTCTTAAATGGACCCTGCTCCTCGGCGCAGCAGGATACCCCGTCTACGCCGCTGGCCTCTACACAAACGACCGCTTCGGCAACGTCTGGCTAGTCCTCGTCGGCGCTGTCGCATGCGGCATCTCCGCCGGACTGTTCTGGGCCAGCGAAGGCGCCATTGCCATCGGATACCCAGAACCCTCCAAGCGCGCCCGATACCTCAACATCTGGGTGTGGTGGCGCACTCTCGGTCCCATCATCGGCAACTCGATCGTCCTGGCTCTGAACATCAAAAACAAAGGCGCCGGTAGCGTCGGCTATAACACATACATCGTGTTCATCGTTCTTCAATGTCTCGCCGTCCCGGTAGCCCTCCTCCTCACTCCCCCGGACAAGGTGCAACGCGCAGACGGCTCCCGGGTCATCATCCGCGTGGAACCCACCTGGACCGCCGAATTTAAGGCCCTCTGGAAGACATGCAAAAACCGGACCGTCATCCTACTCCTTCCTGTCTTCTGGGCCGTCTACTTCAACGAATACTCGGGCAACTTTGAAACCTACTACTTCGGAGTGCGCGCTCGGTCCCTCATCGCCTTTCTCTCCGACTGGGTTACGATTCTAGCGTCGCAAATCATCTCCCACTGGCTGGACTGTAAAAAGATCCCTGCCAAGACCCGTCTTACCTATGGCTGGTATTATGTCATCCTCGTGCACGTCATCGCATGGATCCTCGCCTGGGTCGTTCAAGAACAATATACCTCGTCTTCTGATCCCCCGATGATGGATTACACGACTCCGGGGTTTGTCAAAGGGGCGTTTGTTCTCTTCATGTGGAGTTTCGCTCAACAGACGGCCCAGAACTGGTTGTATTATTTGGTTGGATCGATGACGGAGAATATCGCCGAGTTGACTCGTTTGACGGGGATTTTGCGGGGACAGGAGAGTTTCGGGGAGGCGGTGTCGTATGGGTTGAATACGAAGGAGTGGTTTGGGGGGAGGGTGCCTATGGCGGTGAATACGATTTTATTGGGGTTGTGTGTGATTCCGACGTGGATTGTGGTGAGCAATCATGAGATGGAGTCTGCTGCAGACGGGGAGAGTGAGCAGAGGGATGTTGTGGATGAAAAGGGAATTCCTAGTCTGGAAGTAAAAGAGACGGGGGGGTTTGCTGTGGGGGATGAGTGATAGCAGTATACTACTGATGTTATGATAAAACAATGATAAATCTTTATTCTTTGTTGGCCACATAATGGGCATGTAACAGTGACCTCAAATCTGAGGAAAGCAATACCTATAAACAGCAACATATAATGAAATAGGGCATCTTCGATGCCCATCCCCACCATCACTCCCACACCCCCCTCCCCCCACTTACAAACCAGGTATACACCCACTAAAAACCCAAAAAACCTCATCCCTCACCAACTCCGGCGCGACATAATGCACACAATGCGTCTCCGCCACCCCAGTAGCCCTGACAAACCTGCTCTGACTCGACAACCCCAAATGCACCCTCTGCCCCTCCTCATCCACCCTCTCCATCCCCTCCAACCTCTTCTCCAAAGCCAATCTAGCCTCTACACTCCCAAACCCATTCTCAATCCCAAAATCCAACACCTTTTTAAAATCCACCGACCGATTCCCAAACACCACACTTAATCGTCCCTCACCAAGTGCTTGATCGGTTATAGGTACTTGGGCATTGAGTATCTCCATACTCTCCTTGACAAGGCTCTCTTCGATCCAGAATGTATTCTCATTCTGTATCTCATCCCGTTTCACAATCTCATATTCCTCCTCCGTGTATGCATGGTTAGTATCCAACCCAATTACACTCCCCAATCTATACCCCCCTAATAATTCCCACCATCCCTTCGATAACGGATTAACTTCTCTCCCTGAATCAATAATCACCATTCCCATGACTTTTTCTTTCCCATAGACTCGTAGGAATTCTCGAATGAGAACGCCCCCGTATGACTGGCCTACTAGAATATATGGTGGTTGTATCCCCGCTACATCCAATAATCTCCCTAACTCCAATACCCTATTCTGAGCCGTCGGCGGTAACGGAGACACCTCGCTCTGACCATACCCCGCTCGATCGTAGGAATAGACTCTTGCGAAGTGGGATATAAGCCGTTGAGTTACGGTCCATTCGCTGGAGGAGCTGCCGAGGCCGGATTCGAGGATTATGGCTGGTGGTAGTTTTCCGTTTTCGAGGGGGAGACGGGGGGGCCCGGAGGTGGAGAGGTAGAGTTTGTGGTTGGTGGTGGGAATTGTGATATACCCGGTTTGGGTGGTTGTTTGCGAGGGGGATTGGGTGGACATTCTGGTTCGGGGCTTTGGGGGTGAGTGAGGGTTGGTTTGGTTTGGTTTGGTTTGGGGAGAAAGGGGGAGGGGGTTGGTGAGAGATGGCAGGATTAAGTATACTAGTAGTAGTAAGGGAGGTGGCAGCGAGAGGACCAATGGGATTAATTGTAGGTAGGTTAGATAACGAGGTTGGATCTGATTGGGTCGTGGAGGGGATGGAGTATGTTCAGCCACGAGGCCGGGGTTCTGAGTTATCTACTGTCAGCTTAGCCGACGGGGTACCGTAGGTATCTACCAAGCTAGATTCCTTATTAAGTGTCAGCCTATAGAATAACTTTCTATGTAAGGGGCTTGGTATCAAATCAGTGCTCGGAGTAATTATATGAGATGATATCTCGATCAGTCATGAATTCATCTTAGCAGTGTGGCTGCTAAGCTAGCAGATCTTACTCTGATTCCTTCATTCTGACTGGTAACAACTAGCATCGGTGGATGCATAGAAATACTACATACTCATCCAACCCATACCGCAGGCACATTGACGAGTCATCAAGTCCTCTTCAATCATCACCGCCAAACAATACCCTCTGTATGTCCAACCGTTGACTCGGAAGAACCCTAACTCTCCGATCAGCCATCAACACCCTAACCACCCCTTTATGACCCTTGTCCAAAGCCACCGCCAACGGTGTATCAACATTCCAACGCCCCGAATTCGGGTCAATATCCGAACAATCAAGAAGCATGTAGACGATCGAGACCCATCCCTCATGCGCAGCGATATAAAGCGGTGACCTATCCAGCGTTCCACTACAAATATACCTATTCCACCGAAAAGGCAGCAAGGCCGTGACGCTTTGCGACAAGCCCGCCGCGGCCGCCGCACTAAGCGGACATGCGAACACCCCCCGACTACTCATATCCGTAATATTATAATACTGCTTCGTTTCCAAGAAAAGCTCTAGCACTCTCTGCGACCCCCGATGGGCTGCTACCTTGAACGCATCACCAAAGTACCCCTCGACGCGCATGACATTCGCCCCGCGTCTAATCAGAAGCTGCATCAGTTCAATATCATCGTTGTATGCGGCCGCGTACACCAAACTCCCGAGGATCGGGTGACGGGCGTGCGCAGAATGCCCAGCCCAGAGCCATTGTTCGACGACATCGGTTTGTTGAAGCCAGGCGGCCATGACGACGGTGAAGAACTCGTTGTCGGCTTTGTACCAGACTAGGTTTTCGGTGAGGGATGATTCGGCCCACGGGCGTCCCTTGTAGGTCATTATGGCTGTGGTGGCGGCGTCGAGGAACATGTCTCGGGTGCAGGATCTGATGGTCAGGAGTGGATGGGTGTAGAGGTCCATGAATTTCATCGCGTCTTTGACATGTTCGTTGAAAAATGGGTCGCGGTCTAGTTTGTGACGCAGAAGGCCATTCCCCGGTTGGATTGGTCGCGTGATGAGGTTTCTTTTTCCGTAGAGATAGTCGAAAATGGCGTAGTCGAGGGCCCCTGGCTGGTTAGATAGAGTGGTGGTGGTGGAGGCGTTGCTTACTGCAGACGAGTCGGTATTTGAGAACACATTCTAAAGGTAGGCTGTCTAATAAGTATTTGAATGTGGGAGGATCGAGTAGATAGCGAGGGACTGCCATGATGTATGAATATGTGTATTGCTGATAGTAGTAGTGGAAGACAAGTGTAGTCATGATGGATTCAGGGAAGTGTAGCTGGTTGGCTGCCGCGGCAGGTGCTATGCGCTGCGCCCATTCCTAAACTTCAATCAGTCTTGTACCATGCTTTACATGCATTGAATCCTTGTTTTTGGCGATAAGAAGATGAAATTGTTCATATGTAACTGAATGATGCGTTTGCTAATAAATCCAACCCGCTTGGAATGAATATATATCTCCCCTAGAGTGAGGATCAATATGACTGCTGCAACTTCTACACTTCCGAAAGCCAACAGACGTAGAAAAATATAGTATGACCTGTTAACAATATTGGTAGTTACTCCACATTAAACAATACCAGTAATCATACCTAGCATGAAATAACACAATGCAGACATCCATAATATTGAACCTCAAGTAGCTGCGGGTGGGTGTGGGTCCTCAATTCCCCAAAGTCCACCGGATTGGATGTAGAAGGACCCACCGCCTATCTGATCAATTCTTCCAAAGTTCCATGCTTCTATAGCAGAATACCCACCCACCGCCTTGATATTCTCGCTTTTCAGATAGCATTCACTTACTAGTGTGTCTAGGCTTACTTACTAATAATGGCTGCTGAATATACATCAATTGGCCTGCTGGCCCAATGGTAAGGCGCTTGACTACGGATCAAGAGATTGCAGGTTCGAATCCTGCGTAGGTCATTCTTTTTGTTTTTGCTCGGAGTAGAGGTGATGGAGGTGGAACGGGAGTAGTTGTCTGTATAGGACAGTTGGAGGGACTACCAACAACCTATATGTCAGTACTACTGGAGGTTCACATACAGTATGTAGAGGTTGGTTGCTAATGTGTCGGGGATTGACTCCGGGAGACGGTGGCTCTTCGGTCATGGGACGATTAGTTTCAGTTGTCGAATCGTCATGTACTCTTGACGCTATTGCTGGATTATATACAATTGCTGTAACTGGGTAGAAGACAGTCCCATGTACAATTCCTCACCATGTATGAAAAGTATCCTGACCCCCAAATAAATAATTATCAAAATCAAACCCCACTTCCTGAAAGATATCATCAAAGAACGAGCCAGCAATTCCCTTTTGGGACGGAACATCAGCATCCAAGACCCTTCTTGACAACGATTCAAAAGTCCAGACGCATTGTTGAACATATGTACTCAAATGTTCATGCGCTCGGAGAGCAAACATGACTTGATCCCAGGATTGGGATACGGCTGTCGTGAACAGGTCTGATCCGAACATGGCTGCGAGGAAGATGGTTCCTGCGATGTGAAGGTAGTATATTCGGTACCACCATGGTAGAAGGCCTATGGGTTCGTTTGGGTCGTGGGTTTCAAGGATAAGTGAGGTGATGCTTCGTGCGGTTTCGATGCATATAGTAGCGCTGTCTTGGAGGAGGCGATCGCTTAGGCTGGGTGGGGTGGTACAGACTGGTGCTGGGTGGGATTTAACCGTGTAGTGGCGTGCGAGCATCGGTCGGTGGAGGTAGATTCGGGTGTGGAGGAGACTGGTTCAGTTAGCAGGTAGTTGGACAGGTGAGGTCGGTATGTTTCTATTGTTCCTATTCTCTCTTTGGGTGTACTAAATTTGGAAAATGGAGAACGTTGGCGTACCGAAGGTGCAGCAAATATCCCTCTGCTCGAGACTTTCTGTCTGTAAGGGTTCGCAGAGTTTGCAGCTGCAAGTCGATGGGAAGACTCTGCTCCCATCTATTGAGGCAAGTGTCTAACTGCACCGCCACCGTATGGTATTCGTCTTGTTGATACAGCCGTGGCAGCCCTAACCTGGCAGCGAGACTATTTCGAGTCTGTGTCTCTGCCAACTGAATATGATTTCCAATTTCGTGCAGCTCGAATGCCAGTCGTAGATGCTCAGAATGCTTACTGCCCGGTTGGAAACCCAACATCTTTGTATCAAATCTATTCGGCAAAGGAATCAATGGCGCGGATGTCCTACCGAGTGACCAAGAAACGCATCTATCTAGATTAGCAATACCCTGCCGAGCATTATCCCTTGAAATTTTACCGATCCATGCCAATACAACTAGCCCACACCCGCTCCTTCAATTCCTTGTCAGAATCCGAACACATGTTCTGGGCTATTCGCATAGCCAATCCCGCTGTTATCCACGTCTTCTGCTGGTTATTGGTGCAGTGGAGGTATCGATTCATAAGCATCAAACACTGTACCAGTTCGATTGATCCAGGGCTCCAAAGGATGGTTTCTGGGCGGACAAGTCCCCACGCATGCTGAAAGTAGCCGTTTCCCTCTTCGTTGCGCTGTTGCTGAGGAGTAGATTCTTGTCTTTGTACTGCTAGTGCGAAGACAGTATACAGTATACTGAGTCGGACGTCTTCGTTTGCTTGCTGGGGTGAATCAGAGCCAGAGTACGCTTTCTCATAGCTGTGGAAGAAGCGTTCTTGACACAACACGGGCTCCACAGGATCAATGTGTTGCCAATATATATTGACAAGGTTGTCGGCATACTGTCGCGGAGGCAATGCACAGCCATTAGTAAAGGGGTTGGGTTCCAAATCCAGCTCCCCAAACAAGGGCGCATCCACGAATGGGACAAGGTTCGAAGTGGTGGCCGGAATCATTCCCGTTCTCGCGTCGATGGCAGCTGCAACGTCGCCAGCAAACTGACCGTGAGCGGTATACACATGGCCTTGATCCGGCCCCACCTCCTGAGTCTCGTTCAAGTGTTCAAGTCCGACGGGTTTCACACTTGCTTGTCGATCAAGCGAATGAGCTCGCGAAGTTGGAGGCGATACCGGAACCGGAGTATGAGTGTCGACCGCTGCCTCGTGCTGGACTTGGCCGGCATAAACAGGGCTTCTGCTGTACGTGCATGTTGTTCTCTTTCGCAGACATCTAGAGCAAGCTGCCGAGGTCAGATTCATACCATGAGAAGGTTGGGGTGGGGGTGCATACCCGGGCGGTCACCGTCACACTTCACCTTTCCCAACCGACAGGCTTGACAGGCGGTGGTGATTTTCAGTCGCTGTCTGCGGAGTGGCGTATGGCTTGCTGGTTGACGTTCCGCATATCCCCGAGTGGGAGCCATGATTGCTACAATCCAATGATGAATGTGGTGGAATGAATGAGTGATGGGGCGGCACGTGCCGGACAGGCGGTAAGCCAATCAGAAAGTGGTCCGTTGTTGTCTACCCCGCAACGGATAGATTTTCAATTGGTCAGGGATCCAAAGTAAGGACCAGTCATATTGAGGAGCGGCAGCCAACTCGGTCCTTCAGAGCCAATCAAATACAGGTCCGGTACTTCTCCGGTTGGCATCACGATGCTACTCGTATAAATAATGCCTCAATGATTGCGAGGAAAGACATCAATAACATTGTATACAAATCCAAGTATGTTTTCACAATTCAAATCCATCGGTCCTGAGGAGGGGAGCTCTCTCTATGATGGCCAAGGTACCGAGAAAGACCCTTTCGTGGTGGAATTCCATCGACAAGATCGAGAAAACCCTATGAACTGGTCTCCAATTCGGAAATGGCTCATCACAACCATCGTGACATTTTCTGTATTCGCTGTTACGTTTGCATCTTCAGCATACTCCGACTCCGCCGACGAGGTCATTCGAGACTTTAATATCAGCACGGAGGTGTTTACACTTGGTATTACTTTGTTTGTGTTGGGGTTTGCAATTGGGCCCGCAGTATGGGGTCCTTTGGTATGCTTCACCATATACTTTAATGATTCAGGCTGATAATGATCTAGTAAGCTTTACTCTGCATCCACCATTCCCAGGGCACTAACCTAACGATCTAGATCTGAACTTTACGGAAGAAAAGTCCTCTGGATCACCTCCCACATCGCCATGGTGGCATTCATCGGAGGTACCGCCGGGAGCCGGAACACCGCTACGCTACTCATCCTGCGATTCCTCGGTGGTATATTTGGGGGATCACCGTTGGTCAATTCAGGGGGCACGATTGCCGATCTCTTTCCGCCAGCTCAAAGAGGACTGGCTATGACAATTTACTGTGTTGCGCCTTTTCTTGGCCCTATCCTTGGTCCTGTAGTTGGTGGGTTTGTGTCTGAAAACGTCGGATGGAGATGGGTGCAGGGGGTGTGCTGCATTTTCATCGGCGTGATCGGTATTCTTGGTGTGGTGCTCGTCCCGGAGACATATGGGCCCGTGCTACTTATTCGAAAGGCGGAACAACTGTCCAGGTCCAATGGTAAAGTATACATCACTGTACTCGAAAAAAGCCAAGGGAAAAAGAAACCATCTCAAGTCTTCCAGAAAGCTCTGGTGCGGCCTTGGGTGCTACTCTTCCAGGAGCCCATCGTGCTAATAGCCTCACTATACATGGCACTCGTCTATGGCACGGTGTACATGTTCATGGGAGCCTTGCCAATCGTGTACAACGAAGACCGGGGCTGGAACGAAGGCATCGGAGGACTTTCCTTTATGGGCATTACCGTGGGCATCATCCTCGGATTGGTCTACGCCATCTACGACAACAGGCGATATATGAAGTTGTTTATTTCCCAAACCGCCACGGCGGAGTCCCGATTACCACCGGCCATTGTGGGGGGTGTTGCCTTGCCGATCGGCATGTTTGCATTTGCGTGGACCAATTACCCGAGTATTCACTGGTCGGTCAGCATAATCCTCTCGGCACCGTTCGGTTTCGGTTGTGTCCTTGTCATCTTGCCACTGGTTAACTATCTGATTGACTCCTACACTATCTATGCGGCGTCGGTTCTTGCAGCCGCAGCTATTTTCCGCTCCGTTGTGGGTGCTGTGTTTCCGTTGTTCACGACCCAGATGTATCATACTCTCGGGATTCATTGGGCGTCCTCTATCCCGGCGTTTCTGACGTTGGCTTGTATGCCGTTTCCTGTTCTTATGTATCGGTATGGTGAAAAGGCGAGGATGAAGTGCAAGTATGCGTTTGAGGCAGCTGAGATGATGCGACGGATGCAGATGCAGCAGGCCCCTGCGATGGAAAGGGGGGATACTTCTGTAGAGTGAAAGCGCGTGATTAGTGCCTCTGTCATTAGAGACCGGTGTGGCAGATATATGACAGACAGGGGTATTGCATATGAGGGAGGGTGACTAGATCTAAAGAGATTCTGCCGGGCAGGAGTGGCTAGAATGGTAGATAGACCCTAGCACAATATTACTGGTCAGGCTCCTGCTCTCGGCAGTTTTTTCTCCGTTTCTTATTGCCGACCGTTTCTAGAAGACATTCAGTGGAACATTCTAGACGTTTGTCAGCACTTTACTCCGTACAACGTGCTTGTTCAGTCATGTACCAACATTGAACCCGTCAATCCAAATATAGGGGCTGTGTGCCCAGTCTCCCGACTGGAAACTTTAGCCGAGCCGTACTGGCCTGGACCCTGTCGGATGTACCCACGGAATCCGGTTCACCGGTGCTCGAGAGAAGGAATGGATAATATCAGACAATAAGAGCGATATTACTCCGTAATTATGCAGTGATCTGCAAAATGGCAGGAACAGTGGGACCGATCAGGGACACACGCTCTGACAAAGAGTTCGGCGTGACGGCAAAACCACTTATCCTGAAACCGGAGGCTTAAAGAGGACAAGCTTCGGCGGTTGTGAGCCGCCCGGGAAATTGCTGTGCTTATTTCCGGCAAGCTTTCGGCTCTGATTAGCGGGCTCGGCGCGCTAGACCCGATCCTGCAAACTATATTCCGGCTGAATATGTTCCAGGCTAACTCATCTGGGCCAGCCCATATTAGTTCATTTCGAGTCATTGGCTGGAGTTTCCCGTAGGAATGATCGTCCGAGACCCTGCCTTTGCAGCCTTGATCCCTTCTCTCAGGGTCTTCATCGATCCTCTAGTTGGGTGTCGACTGTATCCCGTCCCGTCTTAACGGCCACGCCCTTGACAGGTAGAACTATCCTGCCCGTGTGTGAGTCAATGTGGCTCTATCTCATAATTCCACCACTCTCATCGTCCAGCGATATGAATCTCCCTCGTATTCGGGTATTTCACCGGCTCAACACCGAATTCCCGCTTACATAAATTAACTCACCACGCTTGCCAGACTAAGGGTTTACGCTAATGGTCAAGTCGTTTTCAACTGAAACTAGTCAGGATCATCCATCCCGGCGGTATCATCCGACATATCTATCCTCACTCCTCCTCAGTAAAGATATCCCCAGGCCAAAAGTATAAGAACCACCCCATCCCGACCCCATCATCCATCCCATCATCACATTCATTTCATCTTCAACCCAACCTTCCATTCTTTACCTCTTTCCTTCATCTCAACAATGCACTCCTTTTCTTCCCTCCTCGCCTACGGCCTGGCTGCCGGGGCCACCCTAACCGCCGCCTCCCCCATTGAAGCCCGCGGCACCTGCACCTTCACCTCCGCCGCGGCCGCCAAGTCCGGCAAGACCGGCTGCTCGACCATCGTCCTCGACAACATCGAAGTCCCCGCCGGAACCACCCTGGACCTGACGGGCCTGAACAGCGGCACCAAGGTCATCTTCGAAGGCACCACCACCTTCGGCTACGAGGAATGGGCCGGTCCCCTGATCTCCATGAGTGGAAACGACATCACCGTCACCGGTGCCTCGGGCCACCTGATCAACTGCGACGGTGCTCGCTGGTGGGACGGAAAGGGCGAGAACGGCAAGAAGAAGCCCAAGTTCTTCTACGCCCACAAGCTCGATGACTCCTCTATCACTGGTCTCAACGTCAAGAACACCCCTCTTATGGCTTTCAGTGTCGAGGCCAACGGTATCACCTTCACTGATATCACTATCAACAACGCCGACGGCGATACCCAGGGTGGTCACAACACCGACGGGTTTGATGTCGGTAACTCCGTCGGCGTCAACATCATCAACCCCACCGTCCACAACCAGGACGATTGTCTGGCTATTAACTCCGGTGAGAACATCTGGTTCACCGGGGGTACTTGTATCGGTGGACACGGGCTGTCGATTGGTTCCGTTGGTGGTCGTTCCGATAACATCGTCAAGAACGTCACTATTGAGCACTCCACCGTTAGCGACTCCGAGAATGGTGTCCGGATTAAGACCATCGCCGGTGACACTGGATCCGTGTCCGAGGTTACTTTCTCGAACATTCAGCTGTCGACTATCTCCGATTACGGTGTTGTTATTCAGCAGGATTACGAGGACGGAAAGCCCACTGGAAAGCCTACCAACGGTATCAAGATCACCGATATCAAGCTCGAGGGTGTCACCGGTAGTGTGGATAGCAAGGCCACGGAGATTTACCTTCTTTGTGGCTCCGGTAGCTGCACGGACTGGACTTGGGATGATGTTAAGATCACTGGTGGTAAGAAGTCTTCTGCTTGCAAGAACTATCCTTCCGTGGCTTCTTGCTAGATTACTTCTATCCCAGTGCTGCGCTTGTCGCGGTCTTAACTGATTGACTTGTTGGACCTTTGGTCTAGTTGTATTATATTCATCCTTGGTCTTAGTTGGTTTTAGTCTTAGTCTTAGCTTTAATCGTATACAGTTGCATACATTGCAAATATTCTATTTTAGATACGTTAATCCCTTACAGAAGTTAAACTTATCAATCTATACTCTGACCAAAACCATAAACCTAACCAAACTCACTACTAAAGCCTTACACATGACAATTCTCCCTGACCCTCCAGGTAACCCCCAAATCACATCCCCACGGCACATTAATCCTTTTTATCTCTCTGTTTCTCGTACTTTCTCGATTTGTTCCGGATGAGCTCCCTTGGCTTAGATGCTGGCTGAGCTTTACTTGTAGTGACAATGCAATTTTCATGAGATGTATCTATAACCAGGTGGGCATGTGTGGCTCATATGGAATAAGTCTATTACTATTACTAGTCAAAGCCATACTCTGCAAACTAGCTACTTCGCATTCTGTATCCAAATCATCCCACTCAAGCCCATCCCACCGATTTAAATATCCGGAATCGACAACTTGGCCGTCTCCGACATCATTCTATAAATAATCCCCAACACCCATCTCTGCGTCGCATCCGACCCATCCCAACCGATCTGCAGATGACGGACCTGTCCCCATTAGCCACATCACGCCACCGTCGAGATCACTTACCGTTTTATCAGGATCCAAGCGATAAAAATGATACGCCGACCCATCCGTCATAATTCCATATATGATGCCGCGCTTGCGAGTCTTCAAACGCTGTTGATCACGTTGCAACAGGCCTATCAACGTCAGACCTACCCATTCGCAGTCACATCCCTAAGGGGATAATGATGCACTCACCCATATACAACAACACCTCCGACGAAAGATGATTCGTCCCAATCTTGACCAACAAATTCGTCTCCGCATTATCCAAATCCCCAAACCAAAGACTAAAATCAATGGTGCCATGTACGTGACGAATACGAAACCCATGCTGCAGGGTTCGTTTCATACGTCTCGTTTCCACAAACCGGAGGTTATCCGCCCCATGCGTCTCCTTAACAGTCTCATACATTTCATGTAACACGATAGAAACCTTCCGTCGGGTGACTCCCTCATGAGGCCATCTTCCCGCCGTCTCTGCAATTCTCTCATCTATACACCCACCCACCCACCCACCCACCACAATTAGCAAACCACCCCCAAATCCCCACCAGGAGAAAGAAAGAAGAAAACCTACTCAACCCCTCAGGCCTATACCCAATCTCATCATTCCAAATCTCGCCCACGCGGGAAGTAAACCCAAACATCTCGACAATATCCCCGTAATCATAACCCGTGCCGCGCAGGGGCTTGTAAATGCCGATTCCGTACAGGAAGAGTTCCAGCCAAAAGGCGATCTTCTGGGCTGTTTCGGGGAGGTTGGAGGGGCGGAGGGCTCGGATGATGGTGTGGATTATGTTGACGTACCATTGGATTTTCTCGATGATTTGGGCCGTCTTGTCGGCTACGGGGTCGGTGTCGATGACTAGGTGGTCGTGCGGGTGGGGGGACGTGAGGCATGGGTGTGGTGGGGTCGGCGCCGGGGCGGGGAACTTCCATTTTGTTAAGGATAGGGGTTGGTGGTAATGAGTGGTGGTGTGGTTTGGGTATTTGAGATGATGAGGGTGGTGGGAATGGGGATGGGGGTGAGGATGGGGATGAGGATGGGGGATGAGGGTGACTGCTATGTGTGGCTTTTCGCTCTTGCCTTGGGGGGTGGATTGGGGTCATGGTTGCAGGTGCATCACTTCGATGATAGTGGGCTCGGGGTGGGAAAGTACTAGTACTACTATGTAGCACAAGGACTCGTTCCTGAGACCAGCCAATGTCCGGCACTCCAAACGCTTCACTGCCCACCAGTCATGTCTACCCAGGCAAAACAATGGGATTACTGTGTATGTTGATCAGAATCAAGCTTTTCGACACGGCGTCTTGGCATGACGTTGAGATGACGATGACCCGGATCAAGGGGTCAACACCACGTTCTATGGCTTTCCCCATGTTTGTATGTGCATGAATACCCTCATCAACATAACCGGCTATATCAATCTACCACCACCACCAAATCTACCTCTGCGAGCGATACAACTCCCAAAACACCCCCTCCCTTTCCAAAAGCTCCTCCGGTTTCCCCATCTCACAAACCCTCCCCTCATCCATAACAACAACAACATCCGAGTCCATTATAGTTCTAATCCGATGCGCAACCGAAATAACCGTACGTCCTCTGAGCCCCTCACTCAAAACATCCTGGACCATCTTCTCCGTCTGCTCATCAAAACCACTCGTAGGCTCATCCAGAACAACCAGGCTCCCCGGTAAAAGAAGCGCCCGGGAAATGCACAATAGCTGCTGTTGACGATTGGACATGTGGATGGACTGGATGTCAGCGTCTAGACCACCGTGCTCGAGGATTTGGGTCCAGAGGTGAACAGTTGAGAGGGCGGATATCATTGCTTCGTCGGTGGTGGTGATGGTACCAAGGGAGAGGTTCTCGCGGACAGAGCCGGGGATGATGAGCGGGTGTTGCGGGATGGGGACTATGGCGGAGTGCAGCCTGTCTTTGGGGAGGGTGAAGATGTCGATGTTGTCGATGTAGATTTCTCCGGAGGTGAGTGTCACGAGGGAGAAGAGGCAGCTGAGGAGGGTGCTTTTTCCGCTGTTGGGGTTAGGTGTTAGGGTTGGGTTGGGGTTGAGGAATAGGGGCTGTGACTGACCTTCCGGTGCGGCCGCAGATGCTTAGTTTGTGGCCGGGTTCGAGGGTGAATGAGATGTTTTTGATGATGGGGGGAGAAACCTCACTGATCCCGCTTAGTATCAACTCGAGTAAAGCTTTGAGAGGCAACTTACGAATAAGAAGCAGTAACTCCCCGAAACTCCAATCTCCCCATTGACGGCCAGTCCTCTACCGCCATTTCATTCCTCACCACCGGTCGAACCTGAGGATCATTGACAAACTGCTTAACCCTTGCAATCGCACCCAATGACGTCTCAAGCTGCGTCCAATTAGTGATCAGCAACGTCAGAGTCGAATTAAACGACAGCAGATTCACAAGAGCCATACCAACGCCCCTAGAACTCGTCTTGCGAGTCACAAACACAGCCAGGGCCGTGAGGACAGTTGCTAGCGCTGCCACAAGTAGGTCCAACACGACCTGAAGCCATTGCTGGATGCAATACATGGTATAGAATGGTTTCTGAAACGTGTTCAAAAGCCGGGCATTGCGATCGGAGAATCGCTGCTGCCACTGAAATGCACGCACGATTATCAGTCCCTCGGTGGTTTCGAGGAAGTGGGCGTAAAGCGGAGCTTTGGCCTCGAGATCAAGAAGTCGGATTTGTCGTGATGTTCGCAGATAAAAGGCCTGGATTGTCCATACGGCACCGATGCAGAAGGAAATGACGATGGACATGTATCCGGCGCCGGTGGCGATCAAGGCGGCTTGGGCGAGACAGGTCAGGAAGTCTGGTATGTTGTTAGTTGTGGTTCAAGAATGGGAGCTGAGATCTACTTTGAAGGGTTATGCCAAAGGCCACGGGGAGTTGCATGTCGAGAAGAGACATGTCTTGGCTGAATCTGCAGTGCATGAGTAGCGATACAAATACTCGGAAAGAAGAGGGCTTACCGGTTTATCAAACTTCCTGTATCCATCCGGGCTATACTCGGCCATGGTGCTCTGAGTGGTGTTATTCAGACGGCCATCTTCTTGGAGATGGTCTTTACGCACCTCATAACAGCCCCGAGCAGGACTTTGTGGAGATTGATAGCCGATCTTGGTACAGTCCAAACAAAGAAGAACCTATATGCATGAGACACTGTAGGAAAATCGGGCTAGCGGGCACATACCCAATGAATACCCCGATGGCAGGAATGGCGACGGTCGAAACAGCCATATAAGACCCAAGGTAGACGTAATTGTGTCCAGGGGTGGAGTCAGCCCACCAGGTGAGCATGAGTTCTGTGATAGTGAGCTCTTTGAATTCATTTCTGGGCAAAGTACTCACGTGAAAGCGCAACACACAACACGTATATGGTAGCAAAAGTCAGAGTGAAGCAGAATGCCCACCACCCAAAGGAGTTGATATAGTAGGCATAGAGTGAAAGGTCTCCTGTGCCGCGAGTGTTTGGCGTTGGTTCCTGGGCAACTCTTGGTCCATGGTTGTCTGCCTGTGTCTCTGTTTCCTCGGACGGAGCATCAGCATCCTCAACTTCGTTTTCATCTTGTTTTGAACCTGTTCGACACATTAGCTCTCGAATGTATTCGTTCTTCACCGATAGATCTTCGAGCGACCCCTGGTCCACTATGCGGCCATTACTGGAAAGAACAATTACATTTTCCGCTTCCTGGAAACACTCCGCTATACAAGAGAGACAGTAAGCTATGCAATCTAAATCAACGAGAGGAACTAACCAGCAGCAGTCACCAGAACAGTCGCTATCCCAAGCCTCCTAATTAGCCCCGAGCGACCGAATATTCGCTCAACAACACGCTTGCATGTCACCGAATCTAGTGCACTGATAACATCATCCAGGAGAAGAAGATCAGGTTTCGCGTAGATCGCTCTAGCCAAAGCCTGCGAATGTTAGCATCTAGGTGACCAAGGTCAAAAGCAACTTACCACTCGCTGCTTCTGTCCTCCACTTAGCTGGGACCCTGAGGTTCCTACTACCGTATCAATGCCGTGGGAGAGGCGTGCAACATCAACGTCGAGGTTACATGCGTATACTACCTCCTTTAACCACTTTACGTCGATTGGTGATTCCCCGACGATATTGGTTTGCAGTGTGCCGTTGAAGATCCACGGGCATTGTTGACAGTATGCTTTTCGGACGGGAGCGATGAATATCCTGCCTTGGGTTGTAGTCAAATCACCCAATATGGCCTTGAGTAAAGAGTATTTGCCAGAGCCGAGAGGCCCGGTCACTACCGAAAACGAGGAATGCTGGATTTTGAGGTCGATGGCGTCGAGGAGTTAGAGGAACCAGTGGGTAGACTGAAACATGCACCATTCATGCTGACGAGTTCCTGAGTGTCAAGTCGCATCGTATTCATTTCAATTCCAGAAACAATCCCCGTTATCAGTGGCCGATCAGCAACTTGGGGTCGCTTTCCCTCTTCAGACAGAAAGTCCTGGATCCGATCAAAACACCCAATGGCAGACGTGGGTCTAGTCAAAGAGACAGATATAAGCACCACGGGATTTGTCAGGAGCGAGATCAGCGACAAGGATGTGAACACCACATTTGTCTTGGGGGTCTCGAATCCCAAATTCAGCTGCATCCCAGCATACACCGCGATAGTGACAGCAGGAGCTAGGGCTGTTGAAACTGCACCTAGGACATTGACCCACACGATCAATGACCGGTATGGCTTCGACGATTCTAATTCCACCTCACGAAGACGGTTTATCTTTGTTTCCACGGTTGGCTCGATCCCGAACATTTTGATCTGGCGCATGCCCTTGAGTATGGCCGAGGTGAAGCTGACTCTTTCTTGAACGGCGTGTACCCAGGATCACTGCCGTCGGCGCATCTGAGGCGCTATGTAAGAGCTTGCTCCCACGCTTACTGTATGGATTAGTGATGTTGTTGACAATCTTGCTCGCCCATGCCAGGAACTTGGGGGTTCTTACATAAGGCAAAGGCCAGAGCTGCCACTGAAGGATACCCAATAGTCCTACACAGAAGCGCCAGAGCAATGACAATCTCCGTCGCAGATGCCCACAGCTCATGTATGTTCAGTACCCCAGTGGTGATTCGATCCGCATCGGTACTCATCAATGTGACCGAGGAAGACTCATGACTAGATTTCGACACCTGGTGCAGAGTCTCTGCATATATCATCCCCACGAATCGGGCCCGTATCATTGTGATTACGCGAATAGCTTGACGTTTATACAAACCGTTACTAACCTACGTCATGCCCATCAGCAACGAAGCCAGGATTAGAGAAAGGAGCTAATTTAGAGAGAAAATTATGTTAGTAAGGGAAGTAATGTATGATAAACACTATAGAAGAAAAAGGAACAAACCGTCTTCCATCGCCCGGAGGATCGCTGGTTAACTCTCCTCAGCCGAGCATGAATCTGATACCATCGCAGAGGACATAAGACCAGAAACAAAAGGTCCGGGCCCAGACCAAGAATGGTCTGTTCGAAAAGCAACGTAAGGTCAAATTCTCGACGACAGGGAAGTACTCGGGGACCAAAGTGGTCGTCAGTAGGAAACCCGCACCTCATGCCTAGTTCGCCCATTTTAGAGGTGAATGTGCTGTGCTAGTGGTTGAAGAGTGGAGGATGAGAGAGCATTATGAACAAGGCCGAACAGTCACCCCCTCGATAACCCCTCACCATGAGTGAGCACGCCACTTATCATCTAGGCTGGGCCGTTTCTTTGTTCGATAGCTGTAGCCTGACGGTACAGGGGACCCCTGTTCAATCCGTTGGCTGAGAGGTTTGCGATAAGATGCGACGGAAGAACCAGCCAGTCAGCCACGCTTTTGCCATGGACAGGGCGACATGACAGCCTTGGTAATTAAACAAGCTTTCCCTTGGCATGGGGGCTGTTCATGCCATGATATCCTGGGCACTCGAAGGGCTACTTTTACTGGTGGTCTTTGTTTTCATCCCAGTGACAGTGGCCCCTGCTTTAATTCAGTTGCAATATCACGCAGCTATTCTCTCTATTTCTGAAATCATTTTACCACCAAATCTCTCACCATTACAAGCACATGTCCTCGGACAAGAATACGCTGACCGCCACTCCAACCTGCATACCCCCCATCACACAGCCGACAACCGCAAGGGATAATCCTCGCCATTCACAAACAACCCCATACCGACACACGCCGACTAAAGCTTTCCCCCAAACTCCCTCTCCACAAACTCCCTCACAGACATCAACCCCTCCCTCCCCCTGCCCCCCTTCGCCCTAAACGCCGCCCTCTTTAACCCCCTCGCCGTCTCCACCTCCGTAGGTCCATTACAAAAATACTCTCCGTCCCTAGACTGCGCGAAAAGAAAAACATCTCGTTCTTGTTCCCGCCAAAACTCCCCTTGCGTTTTCATTTCCGCTGCATCTGCAAGTGGTACATACCGCGCTTTCTTTCCAGTGACTATCATAAATATTAGCAGATATCCTCCCACCCCCAAAAAGAAAAAGAAATGGAATGAAACTCACCACTAACAAAAACCTCAACCAATCCCCCCGAGCTCACAACATCACTAACCCCCTGCACCACCCTCCGATTCCAGCGTTTCGGATTGAGGAAAATTCCATGCACCAGATCCCCGAAATCATCTGCCATGCTTATCCACGGAAAATCTTCTTTCCCACCCCATAGGGGCGTTTTGTATGTCAGGTAGTTTTCGGAGTCCGGGGTGAGGGGAAATCCCCCGAAGAGGTCGGCGTAGGATGGTTCCAGCCAGTTTTCCATGAACCAGGCTGCGATTATGGGTGTGATGGTTTGGAAGAGTTGGGATTTGGCGTGGTTTTCGACGCGGGATTTAACTGTTGCGTTTTTAGAAGGTGGGGAGGGGGGGGTTGGGTTGTGGGGGATGGTGAGGGAGAGGATGTACGATCTAACCCAGGAATTGATATCTCTCCATTTGTCAACTCGGACACTGGAACGCCCGAACTATACACCATATGTTGTACGCCTGCTGCTGCGGCGCTGGAGATTATGTTCTTGCCGAGGTCTTCGTCGGTGAGGTTTTTGGATAATAATTCCTATATTTAGTGGCTTTGTTAGATATCACCAGGATTGGATGGAAGGTGGGAATGGAGTGCATACCGGATCCTCAGAGTTAGTATTCACAAATGCACCCCAACTTCCCGCAAATGCGAGGAGTAATTCTTCTCGGTTGAAGCCATCTGCTTTGACGATCTCGGCCCCGATGGAGGCGAGTTCTTTTGCTTTGGGTGACTCTGGGGTGCGGGTTATAGCGCGGACGCGGAAGTCGGGGTTTTGGACAAGGGAGCGCACGACGGAGGAGCCTTGGCGGCCTGATATAGTTTACTTCGTTAGCTGGGTTGTGTTGTGAAGGGGGAAGGGGAAGGAAGGGTACCAGTTGCACCGAAGACGGTGATGAGTTTGGTGGTTATAGTCATTGGTGTGTTTGATTATTGGTGATGTGTGACTGAGTGGGATGGGGGTGATGGGTCAGATTGGGGAGAAGAGGAGTATATATGGGGAATGGGTACCCCTCATCAAGGTATGTACTGCCAGTGATGCATGTCTGATGTTGGCATATACCCCTAGCTTGCACAGTTAGTTCACTGATGTGTGATGCAGCATTGATTTGGTCCAGACCCATTCAGACCCACACATCAGGCTGCGGAATGTATGTTGCGTGGCGAGCATGTCCCTTGCATGATTGACTTGTCAATTTACTACTAGAGAGTATTATATGAGTAATTATTTTGTTTTCTTTTCTCGGGAAAAGAAATAAACAGAGTTTATGCTGTCGTCAGCACCGGCATAATGTCGCTTGACGGATCACCACTGGGATCACCGGTAGATCTTATGATGAGTCGAATCTGTGTCGGAAAACTATTGTAGCACCGATAGATACCTCACGTCAATTGCTGGATCTCTACTCACTGTACCCAGGGTAGTGTCTTACTCCGTAGTGTACATTGCTCTATGGTCGAATACACCAGCTTATCTATATACAATAGACGATAATTAAAGAATAGACCACGCAGAAATCGCTCAATGTGTCCAAATGTAAATAATAATGCAACCGTTCTCTGATAGCACTCCTGCGTTGGCAGCGCATCCTGGAGAACGGTTTGAGCCCATATGGGCTCGAGAAGTAGCAAGTAAAAAAAGATGGTTCACCCTCGTAAACGTCGATAAATCCTGGACAATCATTAGCTTCACTCGCATGGAGTACATCACCCACCACTTACACTATTGGCCAACAGCTTGGTAGCCGCGACGCGTCGTCCAGTCACTTTGTCTCCATTGCTTCTTGTATGCTTCCATCTCAGTAGGATCCGTTGAGCCGGCTGGCCCCTCGCCCAAAGCGCGCTCGAGGCGACCCTTGCGGCGTTGGCGCAGGCAGTAAAGCACGAATCCTGCAATCGCAATGGCGGCAAAAGCTGCAGCACCAACGTACACGCCAATGTGTGCTGCCGTGCCGAGATCGGCCCATTTCTCTGCCAGCGTCTTCGAAGGCGTCTTCTGGATTTCAGTCTTGGCGGTCGAGTTTCCCCTAGGTCCATTAATCAATAGCACGGCTAACAGTGACGGGGAAAATTACTTGACCACTTCGATGCTCTCATATGAGCCACTGGTTCCGTTGTAGACGTACTCCTTCCCCGTGTGGAAATCCTGAACGCGGATCTTCGCCACCGTCATGGTAAACGGAAGTTCGGTCCAGTTGACCAAACCACCACCCCATTCAATGTTTCCTATCGATTCGGATGCAATTCCCACCGGCCAGTTGCTGACTTTGACCTGGCACGGCGTTTGGGGATAGTTCTTGCCATAGACCGTGAGCGCCTCGGAGTAGTTGACGGTGCGCACCAATTCCTGATCGATCCACCATTCCAGGCGATCTTTGTCCCAGTAAGAGGTGTAGTTGTGAAACTCGGTATCTGCGTTCGAGACTGCATGGAATCCACCGCGATCACTCGTTGTCGTGTTGCCCTTTCCGAAAAAGTCGGACTGCACCTCGCTGGTGTTGTATCCCACCCACTCCCAGTCAATCTCGTCCTCGTCATCGGATTGCAGAATCACACTGCTGATGATACCTGCGCCCTTGGCCATCTTGACATGTGCCTCCATGATGCCGAAGAAAATGTAAAAGTTGGAAACCAACAAAGTGGATGAATTTTCCGTGCTAATGGTGAAGTCTGCGCCTTCTGAAGTATAGTCCAAAGTCCCCGTTTGCATATCCCAGAGTTTGCTGTCGAGCGTCGAATTGAACAGCCATGTGTGTTCCGTTCCTAGAGCCGGGTCGGCGGGGCATGTGGTTGTGGTGTTGAGGGGGTTGCAAGTGGCACTGGCGATGCCTACTAGGGCACCCAAAAGCCCGACATGGCGAAAGCTAAGCATGACGGCTTGTGGTGATGGCCGTCTGACGACCGACACGGACGGTGGTGGGTGGTTTTTTTAGGGAGGGCGGAGGGATTCTGGGGATGGTCGTGGCTCGTGGCAGGCAGGAGTCCATGACGGAGTTATAGCGCTGGAGATAAAAAAGCTGTTCTAGCGAGCAGCTATCGATAGCACAGAAGCAAAGAGAGCGGCCACCAATCACAGGGCCGGTCGGGAGTTAGTCTCCGAGCCATAAGCGGGGGCTAATCCCACTCTAGGCAGCCTTCAGGGGCAGGGTCATTCCATCCAGTTAAAAATAGGGGCAACCCGACAGCTGAGCCGGTGTGCTGAACTTGTCCCTGGCAAGGAGGGCCCCGAAAAACTCAATTGTCAGGTTGCCATCCATGCCGGACTCCACTCCATCTGAAAATCTCAGGAAACAATTATCCCTCGTGAGGGGATGGACCGTTCGAAGTAGGTAGACACCATGAACTCCCGTGGCATCCGCCTCCAGATTGCACGGTGGCCCCGGAACAGGCTGATCCAATTAAACCAGTGTGCCTCGTCTGAGCCAGATTGCAGGAGTTCGTAATTCCAGTGGTCTGGGGCGAATAAAACTGGCCACCGAGGGCTCAACGGGGTTGGTTGCCGTTTGAAGCAAGCGAGTCCCGCCCACACACGCTTTCGGTCTAGTCGGACCAGCTTTTCGCCGCCTTACTAGAAGAGGCAACGGATGTGACCTATTAGTCATCGGATTAATGCGCGACTTACCAGAACAGGCTAGTGGATCTGCCTGTCACCTTCGATATTTGGATAGAGTCTATCTAATTTTGCGCTGCTGCAGTCGCTATGAGTTGGCAGAAGGGGCTAGAAGTTTGAAACCTTCCCGAATGCTTGTTTCTCTCAAACTTTGGTGTCCGTATCGATAGTGCTGACAGCTTACACGACTGCCACATGATTTGTTCTACTGTGTCAATAATGAAACACCAACATAAGATCTGGATGTTGGCCCCAGACCTACGATCTCTCACTGGCTGAACAGAGTTCACTCGACAAAGTCATGTCGGGTCATTCGCCTCTGTGATGTTTCAGTTGACAGCCAATCGGATAGATCGATAACAGTCTGCGGAGTAGTCTTTGTCCGTAAATCACCCCCCAATTATCGGTGATACATCAATGGCATAAAGCCTGCTTAGTTTCGGGGATAACAACGCTGCCAACTTGGAGTAATATTATTATGCGGCCATGGCAGCACATGGACAGTTTAATATAGCAACATCGGTCCTAATCACCAACTGAAGGCATCAGACCCGATAACACAGCGAACATACATACTGAATAGAGCGTCATAGAAAACCTAACTAGTGTGCCAAAAATGGAACGTCAACGATAGCAGTCATACCGACAAATGAAACGTTTCCTCTCCCACTCTCACCTGTCGCTTATTGTCCCAAGCAATATTGGTGCCGGGTCCGAAAATAAGACAATGCGTGCTTCCTCCAAAATGGAACATACCCAGCTTCTCGCCCTTACTAACGTAATCTCCAGCCTTTACAGTCGTCTCGCACGAACCTCGTTCCAACAGCCCCGCATATAGGCAGCAGACGAGTCCCAGTTCTGCTGTTTCAATGAAGATCAGATTCCGAGTAGCCGTGTGCACCGCGTACCCCTGGGATGCCGCAACCCAATCATCCGAGCTCATGCTATCCCGCTGTGCGGGACAGAACGTCCCGGGAATCTCGATGACCCTGGCGACCGTCCCCGAGACGGGCGCATGCCAGCGATGGTAGCTGGTTGGCTTGATATAGGCCTGATAGACGGTGCCTCCAATAAAGTCCGTGACAGTTGGATCGCCGTCAAACATATGCTTCAGGGAGTACGGCTGGTCCTTGATCCAGAACGAATCCTCCTCTTTGATATCAGAAGCTACCTTGTAGGTTGTTCCCTCAACACTGGCGACGACGATAGCTGGATTGTTCGGCTCGCTGATCGGTCGTGCGCCTTCGCGAAGCTTCCGGTTGAAAAAGTCGTTCCACGATGAGAAGCCCCAGTGGGGCTTTTCTCGGTCGCAGATGAAGGTTTCCTCAAAGTCGGGCATTTCGGACAGAGCTTCGGGGCTAAACCAACCATTCCGCTTATCTGTCAGGACAGCCGCCGAATCCGAGGACCACAGATAGTCACTCCAATCTTTGAGAATGCTGTGGAAAACGTCGTTGACCTTTGCGTGGACGAAGAAATTGTATCCAGACGGTGTGCGGACGTATGGCTCAATGAACTTGGTCAAGGGACTGCTGGCCCAACGCTGGGTGGAGAATGCAGGCGCGCTTCGAACAAGAGTGTTCAATTGTACAATAAAGGTAGCGAGATTGTTAGGGATAGTCGGATTTCCAGGAGCGACTTCCCTAAACATCCGTGTGCAAAGCGCATAGAGCTCAGGGTCGCCCTCGACCAAGGATTTAAGGTCGTTGACGCTTTTGCTGACGCCTGTGGACATGACAGAGGGCAGAAGATTCTTTATGAAATCCATTTCGAAGATGTCGAAAGTAATCTTTCTGGAACTTGAGGTTAAAGATAACCAGTGCAGGATCCTTGAACACGAGCAGGATGGCGTGGCCATTTATGCCAGGAGCTGGGCATATACTCGCGTACTTTGAATTGAGGGGATAACCAACGTAGCACGCCACCAAAGCTTCCCCTCTCGACCCCTCCATCCTTCCATGGATGGTCGAGGATTAGGGTAACACAATGGTATGATATCGAAGCTTTGAATGCCGATCGTCCCAAGCCTATCGTGGATGTTAGATTAGCTTTTGTCAGACGATTGTCTTCCACTCGGTTAGTTAACACCGCTCTAGACCCATAATCGACATAATGGGCCTCACTGTGATGTAAGTCGTCCCCGCATCGAAGAATCGAGCGGGGAACCACCACTCATCGTCAAGTCGAACGCGGCTAGAATATCGCAGCTGAACTCGTGCTGACACCAGAGCCAACTTGACTGACTAAATGCACATGAGTCGATGTGATACAGTCACGTAGTTAGTCAGATGATCCACATGCTTCTACGTCAGTCATATATCAGAAGAACGCCTTGTGTATGATGACCCCAGTTCAAAAGTGATATTTTTCTTGATGAGCGCGAAGGAGTAGATCCGATGCAAGGAAGTTGACAAGGATGAAGGAGGAAGTAGGAATAGTATGTTCAATCTTAGTGGGCCAGTCAAACACGTAAACGGGTCACCTGACACGCTGCACTTTGACCTGCTGCGCCACACCCACCACAGCCACATTGCCACATTGCCAATAAGAGGAACATAACCATCACAGTTGTAGGAGCTACAGTAGTTGTAACTGTTTTAAATCAACTCTTGAACATCTCCGTATAAGCCTAAGAGATTGTGTGTATATTTCATCAGGTAGCGGATATGCAGGAAGCGGAAGGGGGAAATTTGATGAGGAAGCCGTTATTATATATCGTACCACATTATGGCACTGCGCGGAGAAGTATGTCCTCTTCATCGTTGATCCAGTAAATACGTCTTATGAAGTCTGCTCTGTTCATTATGGACAGCTCTTCACTTGTTTCAGAATAAGCCATCTTCATTCACTCCCTAAACCATTTGTTGATTGGCCTCCGCGATCGAATTGATGTCTAAGGCATCAATTAGATACCTTACACAGTAGCTGCCTCAACTCGAAACCCAACAGACAAACATCTTCATCCTTTCATTCGGTGCTTCTGTCCATCAACTTTCTGATGAAGTAGCGCAGAATTGAAAACTTCACTAGTTAGTCTTTAAACTCTGGACCCATTTGCCCTCCGATTGATATTCTTTCTCCACACTCTCAACTGCTCAGGGTGTCACCCCGCATTTCAAGCTCGGCAACGCGTGACCGTGAGTCGGACTGATGCTCGTTTCCATTGAGAGAGGCTCCAATAAAAACCAGGATTCTGCAAGATGTTCCTACCGTCGCGTCTGAGATAAGGGTAACAACTGAATACCGAAAAACAACGCATGATCTACTTTTTAAAACGGGTAACTCCTACCACACGTGCAGAAGGTTGAAAACTCGGTCTGTCAGAACTGATGGCATCAAGGATTGAGACAAAGTCTGCAGATAATGCCTACTAACTACTTGGTTGCATGCTGGATATATAGGGACTGTCCGGAAGAGGACTTGTGACGGCACATGTCGGGGCTCGGGAGAGGACCAAATGGGACCCCGACATCTCCGAGGCTACTAGAAGGAGACCCACCTGCATCAGGGAATTTATTCAGATTGAACGAGAAGGGTTTCAGAGGCATAACAGATTGGGTCAGCAACCAAAGTACGTTGGATTGAAGAGAATAGCTACAAAGAAGGCCTACTGATTCTGTATGCATACAGGTCAGTAAAACGCACACGTCCGAGGGGATGACCTTCCAGCATGTGACTTGTGGACGTAGGTGCACGATCTGACGAAGAGAGTATTATATGGCCAAGGACGGGACGAGCCGGTCTCGAATAAAGCCCAACTGAGACTGTATAAATCCGACAAGTGGGATGCTCACTAGCGTGGCCAAGCCACCGTGTCCTCGATCCTACCCTACAACTCCTACAAGACTGCTATACGGCCAAGCAAAGACTTCCAGTACCATCTGGCGTATAGCTCTTGATGCCAATGTTGCTAAATCGAACATCTTTGCGGTTACCGAGGCTTGCAGGTAAGAGGATACCTTATTCACCGATCACACACCCTCAACGTTCCCGCATAGTTTAAATGGACGAGAGGATATAGGTGGTGCATCCTCACTGTAAGTGGGGACGTGGCCGTTCTGAGGAACCTCGCGCCATTGCGGATTTGTGGTACGTATTGCCCAGTGCCTTCCCATCACTATGGATATTAGTGGATATTTAACCTTCCACTCACTGCAAGCATGAGACCAAACGCGGGTTTTGTCAAAAGGCCGCGTCATAACAATGATGCAGCCGTTTCTTCGTAGTATAAAACCGCATCCAAGTCCTGGGCAACTGAATGATTGACACACGACCACTGCAACATCTTGGTAACCATGTTCAAATCACTTGCTGCCCTTGCCCTTGCGGCTGGAATAGCCGGCGCCCAGTCGCCGCCCAGATACATCCCATCGTCTTCCACATACCTCGGCCTGGAATTCAACACTACCGTCGTCGCCCCCGGTCGCTTCATTGACGCTGCGCGTGAGAACTTTTGTTTCCTGTCAGTGAAGACATAAGCTGATGATTGTCAAGTCGTCTCAAACGAGCCCGTCACTTTCCCCGCCAAAACCAGCAGCGACCCACTTACCTACCAGGTCTTCATGCTGGATATCTCCATCCCATCAGTTGCAGTGACCGAGGATACGGGCTACCCACTCGTTCCAGGCATTGCAGCCAACGACACTACGCGACTTCACTGGTGGCAGGGTAACCTTACTGTCCAGGATGGCATTTTCGTCAATTCCAGTCAAGCGCTGGCTCCATGGAACATTCCAGAGCCCGAGGGCACCGCCGATCACTACTATGCCTTCTATCTGTTTGCTCAGCCAGAGGACTGGAGCCCGTCCGCGGCCGTTCTGGATGGACTCTATGCTGACCCTTATACCGATGCTCGGTATAACTTTAGTCTGGTGGCCATCGCGGAGCAGGTAGGAGAGCCTGTAGCTGCGAACTATTTATTGTCTCTGGAAAGCAGCTCTTAAGTTGGTGAGGGGTGCTGAGTCGTGCGTGTATCCACTCGGGATAAATGACTCGCCTGCAGATAGAGACATACCTACTACCTAGGCTGTTTCAATTGTGGGTGGGTAGCCTAAATGTAGATGGGATGTGGGGTTTATGTTCTACTGTACACTAGAATATTCGGTATGGGTCAAGAGGCTGTAACAAATAGATAGGGGACTCTTTCCCCACACTCGAAGTTCTGTGTCCTCCATTCCTATGCTGCGTAATGACTAACCAGTAACGATTAGTTAGTTAGTTAGTTAGTGTAGTCAGGCTTAATGACTAATAGTACAGTTTAGTCCCTACTGAGCTGCCCAATGAGGTTTATGCTCAATGGATAGCGTGCATAAATCGTAATGTCTAGTCACTGCCCTGATTATGGGGACAGTGGCCGACGAACCGGAATTCTTACTCCATACCAGCCCAGAGATTAGGCACTAGCTCAACAACTGGGCCAAGGGGCTAGGAAAGCTTGGCTCCACCCTATATGCAACTAAGTAAGGGCACAGAACGGGGGCTACTTAAAATTTGCAGTATTGTCCTGCATCCGAAGATGTTTTGTCAGAAGGAAGTTGGGGAGGACGCCCAAAGAGTTGAGAAAGGAACCAACGTGATGAGTAATTAATTGTGTAGTTATAGGAAATTTGCTGATTAGTCGGCAGCCACTCTTCTTGTTGAACCAGTTGACTCTATGTTGACCCGTGTCTGCCCTTTGCACAGACTTGGAGCTTATCTGCTAACATTATCTCTTCCGCGGACCCTGCGCAGGCAGCCTTAGGCAGCACGCAAGACGTAATCGGTGTGGTACGCTACCTGACCAATCATGCATGGCCAGTCACATGAGAGCGGGCTGGCGAACGCGTCTCCCCTCCATTGTGGCTCCTCATTCCTCCTTATTCCCCGTCGCACTCCGTCTTGTTCCCCGTGTCCAAGCGGAGTCCATCTCTTATCGGTCCCTATCGGTTGACTCATATTCCCCATCGGGCTCCCAAACGGGAGGCCTCATCTAGCGACGCCTTCCTCTTCCGGCATGGCGTGGAGGAGCTGCTTATCAGACGCGTCGCCCGTTGGCCACCTGGATGTTGCTGACTGCAGTAGCGCCATCCGCTCAAATTAATCCGTCTTCCGTCGCCTATGTTTTGTATCGCCATGTCCCCCAGATGCAGAACAAACTCCCTCTCAATCCCCAAGTTCTAGCTTGGTCGGCACGATGGACGTTTCCATCGCCCCCGGTGAGGCGGCAGTCGTGCTTTTTGTCCTGATTTTCCTGGGCACTCTGCTGCCCGCACGGAGATTGCTTCAGACGAGATGGAAGACCACGGCCCTCGAAGACATCCGGCATGAAGACGAAGATGGAGTTGCCACGAAAGACTCCATGGCGCAGTTCTCAAACAAGGGCCCCTTTATTGTTCTCTTCCTCTTCGCACTATGTGGATTGGGGCTGTCTTTCGCAAACCTGGTGATCGCGTCAGTCAACGCTCATGGGGAGAACGTCGCGATGGGAATCTGGCTGCTGCCGCCAGCATGGGTAGGTTGACACTTCTCACGGGTGATCTCAAGTTGGAGGGAAGGCTGACCTTTGAAAGCTTTTACTGCTGGTGCAACTTACAGATACCATCCGCGAGACACTGCCCGTCACAAGATTTGACAGCGCCCTGTGGAAGCAGGTTACAACCGTATTGATCGCAGGAATCGCCTTTGACGCTCTAGCCAGCGAATACGCCCACGGCGGAAGCCAAATTGCCATCACAGTTCTACTCGGTCTTCAGCTCCCCACTGTCCTAGTTTTATTGGGTGCCGTTTGGTGCTTGAAGCGGCGTCCGACCGTCTTCACCCCCGATGGCAAAGAAATTGACCAAGAGATGACAGTCAGTCTGTGGAATCGCTTCACATTCCAATGGCTTCCTGGTCTCTTGGCTTCCGGAGCCAAAGACGGGTTGGAATACGAGGATTTCCCTGCCATGAATCGTGCCGTACGCTCCAAGGAAGCCACCGATGACTTCAACGCCATAGCCTTGAGCAACACCCTGCCATTGTGGATTCGCATCGCTTGGCATTTTCGAACCCAGCTCCTTCGCCAGTGGATTGCCATCCTTGTTTCGAATTTCTTCGACGTCGCTCCGACTTTCGCCATCTTGCAATTACTTCAGTACCTCGAGACCCGAGATAGCTCGGATGTGTTTGATCCAGCGGCGTGGAAGTATGTCCTGACGATTGGTCTGGCCACTGTGGCCTCGACCCTAGTCGACTCGCGAATCATGTGGTGGGAGAAAGGTTACATCGTTGACGCTCTTCGATCGACTTTGACAGGCCTCGTGTATCACAAGCTATTGAAGAAGAAGATTAGTGCCGACCCTCCAAATGAGAACGAGGCAGAGAAGAAAGAGGTATGTGACTCGTATTCTCGCGTGCACCAGTTTGCTAACCTTGCGCCACAGCCTGACCACGATGGCCCATCCAAGTCGGAGGAGGACATTATTAATATGTTCGCGGTCGACTGTAACCAAATTGCCATGTTTGCATCGGAGAGTTCTCAGTACGTGAACATAGTGGGCAAGATGCTGGTAACAGTGACATTTTTGTGGCTGCTCATCGGCTGGCAAAGCTTGTGTGCTGGTCTGCTTGGCATAGCAGTTCTCTTCCCTATTAACGAGGCCTTGGCCAGGCGGTACGGCAAGAAACAAAAGGCCCTCATGGCAATCCGTGATAAACGAACCACCATGACAACAGAAGCGCTGCACGGTATTCGACAAATCAAATTCTCCGCGGCTGAAGCCCAGTGGACCGAGAAGCTTGAAGCGGTACGTGAAGAGGAGCTGGCCGTGTTGTGGAGCAGCCGAGTGGACAATATCTACATGACCATTGGGGCCGAATTTTCGCCCATTGTTTTGACGGCATTGTCTCTGGCGACATATTCATACGTCCACGGCAGCTTGCTATCCTCGGTGGCTTTCACCGCGATCAGTCTCTTCCGCCAACTGGAAGGGATCGTGGCACAGATTCCTTACTTGATGGTGGCAGGCATCACCGCCAAGGTGAGCTCCGACAGAATCGACAAGTTCCTTCGCTCGCCAGAGAGAAGTGAGAACACGCACCCAGGGGAGGCCGTCTCGTTTCACAGCGCGTCCGTAAGCTTCCCTTCTGACGCTCCGGATGCCCCGACCGATCGGTTCATGCTGCGAAATCTGAACTTGGCCTTCCCAAACCATGCTCTGAGCGTCATTTCGGGTCCCACTGGATCTGGAAAGTCCTTACTTCTGGCAGCCATTCTCGGAGAGGTCGAGGTTCTGGATGGCTACGTTCATGTTCCGCGAGACCCTAGCCCTCAGGAGCGCTTTGATAGCAAGGCCACAGCTGGGAACTGGATTCTTCCAACGGCTATCGCCTTTGTCTCCCAGACCCCATGGATCGAAAATGCGACAATCAAGAACAACATACTCTTTGGTCTGCCGTTCGATCCAATCCGATACGGTAAGGTGGTAGAAGCATGTGCATTGACTGCCGACCTGGCCTTGTTCGAGGATGGAGATGAAACCGAAGTGGGCGTGCAGGGTGTCAGTCTCAGTGGCGGACAAAAGTGGCGAGTGAGCCTGGCCCGTGCCATTTATTCACGTGCCGGAATCCTCATCATGGACGACGTCTTTAGTGCGCTGGACGCTCACGTTGGCAAACATGTTTATGAAAATGCAGTCATGGGCGAGCTTGCCGAGGGACGAACTCGGATTCTCGCCACCCACCACGTGTCACTTTGTTTGCCAGGAGCGAAATACGCAGTCAGTTTGTCTGCTGATGGGACGCTCAAGCACGCGGGTGCTGTAGACCAGCTGGAGGCTGATGGCGAGCTCGACTCAATTAAGGAACCAGAGGAGAGGGAGATTCTAATTGAGGAAGAAGAGGAGATAATCCCGACTGCTCCTGTCACAAAGGCTCCGCCTAAAAAGCTCATCGAGGACGAGAAAAGAGCAACGGGTCGCGTTGCAACATCGGTCTATGCTGGCTATCTGAAAGCTACCGGAGGATGGCCATTCTGGATTGTTCTTTTCCTTATTTTCACCCTTGCCCAAGCGTTGAACCTCGGTCGAACATACTGGGTGCGGATCTGGGCGAATTCCTATGGGGACACGGAAGGTTTATCGCATTACGCAATGTGTCCTCATAGAAGCACCGCGCAGATATCGCTGGCGGGGTATTCGACTCAAACTGTGTGTTCGACTAGCTCGGGGAGCCTTCCGATTGACATTAACCACCGGAGCATCTGGTTCTATCTTGGGATGTACTGTCTCATCTCGACCGTCTCAGTCGTCGTTGCTGTCGGCCGTCTTTTCAACCTCTATACTGGATCCGTCCGTGCATCGCGGACAATCTTCAAGGCTACGCTGCACAATGTCTTCCTGGCCCCTCTCCGGTGGTTCGATACCGTACCCACAGGACGAATTCTGAACCGATTCACAGGAGACTTCACCTCGCTTGACTCGAACCTCTCTGAGGTGGTTTATTACTTTTCGTCTGCGGTTTGGGAGCTTCTTGGCAGTATGACGGCCGCAGTCTTTATCTCGCCATTCATGGCCTTGGTTGCGCCTCCTCTGGTGGTGATCTGCGCCCTCATTGGACGGAGATACATTGGTGCTGCACGCAACGTCAAGCGACTTGAATCGAACAGCAAGTCTCCGGTGATCTCTCATTTTGCTGCTTCACTCAGTGGCCTCTCTACCATCCGGGCGTTCTCAAAGTCCGAGGAGTTTACACAGCGGATGTATAAACTCATCGACACGTACGTCGCCTGTACCTGGTATTCTGGCCTCTTAGGGAGCTGGCTCGCTCTGTGGGTTGGAGTCACTGCCTCGTTGTTTCCCGCCGCTATAGCCGCCTTTGTGATTCTGACTCCTGGCACCGATGCCAGTCTAGCTGGTTTCGCCCTTTCATTTTCTATCACTTTTCACTTCATGACCTCCTGGGCAATCCACATGACGGCCCGGGTAGAGCTATATATGAATGCCACGGAGCGAATTTTCGAGTACCGTGACTTGCAAGTCGAGAGTCGTGATGGGGATAGCGTGCGTGCTAGCTGGCCGGAGACGGGTAGGATTGAAGTGGATGAGCTCGAGGTTGGATACGCAGAGGGGCTGCCTTCCATCTTGAAGGGGCTTACCTTTACTGCCGAGCCGAATCAGCGGATTGGTGTTGTTGGTCGGACCGGTGCTGGTAAATCCACCCTGTCCCTTGCTCTGTTCCGTTTCCTGCATACTCGCAGAGGTAGTGTGATCATCGATGGCGTGGATATCTCCAAGATCCGACTTCACGATCTCCGCACCCGTCTGGCCATTATTCCACAGGATCCGGTTCTCTTCTCTGGCACCATTCGGTCCAACCTGGACCCTTTGAATCAATACAGTGACCTCGAAATCCGGGAGGCTTTGATGCGTGTTCATCTCACCCCTTCTGGAAGCGACACGCCGCTGCCTAAGCCCGACCAAGTTGACTCGGGTGCTAGTTCGACCATCGCCGGTTCCGAAGAAAGCGGCAACGCCAATATCTTCCTGTCTCTGTCTTCCCCTATCACGGCGGGTGGGTCGAACCTATCACAGGGACAGAAGCAACTGCTCTGTCTTGCACGGGCCATTCTCTCCCGGCCCAAGATTTTGATACTTGATGAGGCAACCTCCGCCGTCGACATGGCCACTGATATCCTGATCCAGCGCTCCATCCGGGAGGCGTTCACAAACACCACCCTGCTTGTTATCGCGCACCGTCTGAGCACAGTGGCGGACTTTGACCGCATTCTCGTTATGAAGGACGGTGTGGCGGCGGAGTTTGGCACTCCTGGGGAGTTGGTAGAGACAGAGGGGGGAATTTTCCAAGATATGGTAAATAAAAGTGGAGAGCAGGAGGAATTGAGACGGATGATGTTGGAATAGACTATTGTTTAATTGTTAGATCTTTTACTACAAAATGCAAGAGGGATTAATTAGCGTTCACCAAGTACAAGCCTTCTGCAGCTCGAAGTCTTGATAAGCCTAACTTCGCTTGTGTAGTATCAGTTTCTCTCAGACCCCTCTTACCACAGCCCCAGACCACAGGAACTGCATTTCATATTGTCATTCCCGGGATATTCCACGCTTTCTCTGCGTAATTCGCAAGCCTTCTAACATTGCCTCTCAGAAAGCCCCCTCGGAAAATGCTTTATGACCTCCAACGTAGTAAACAAACATTAGTAGACTCCTACGAGTAACCGGACGACATACATGCCCACTTCCTCCACAACCGACACCAAGGCGAAGAATAGAGGGATATTAAACACCCACCGCCATCACACAAAGCCACGTCGATTTCCGATCTAGGGAGTCATTCCTGATATAAAGCTGTGATTGACAGATTCTCATCGCTGGTAAAGAATGTGATGGTAGTCAAGCTGGTATAGATGAGAAATGAAATCGTAAGGTTTACTTATAGATTACTATCCTCGAGAAAACAAACTCAACACATGATGTGAATAAAAGAACGTATTGGTTAAACCTCAATGAAACAATGAAAAAATAGAAACGATACACTCGAGAAGCCTCACCCAGGAAAATCAACCAACACATAATCCCATCTGTTCCCAAACCCATGCTAGACCTGAGGAAGCCCAGGTTCAATCAGCGTGATACTATCACACACCCCATCAGTATAAGGAAACTGTATTCCCGGCCTTCCATTATCGATACACGCTTCCTGAAATCGAATAAGATGCTCTATCTCCAGAAGCACATGCCCTACCTCCGGGCCCGGATATCCAGAGCACGGATAGAAATTAAACTCCATCCTCAACAATCCCGGCGTATAAGGGGGAGCTAGCCAAGAGCGAAGACTAATCCTCGTCGTCAATTGGCGACTAGCGATGTACAGAGCTGCCAGGTTCCGTGATTGAGGAGATATCAGATCCGGCTCCCTGCGGCGAGACACAAGAGCCTCCTCCATATCACCTGCTGGGAAAACGATAAGCAGCTGGATTGCAATAGGGTAACCCTCTGCATCGTAGAGAATAGGCATTTGTGCAGCGCCGAGTGTTTGGAATCTAGCGATCACTGCGGCGGATCGTCCCTCCTCGGACCGCTTTCTTATTGCGATGAACCGGTCCCGAGGTAAGTATCCGGCTTCGAGGGCTCGTCGTTCGATTGATTGATTGGCTTCGTTGGCGGGTAATGGGTTGTTTTGGCCAGGGGGCATTGCAGGTCCTGCGTGGGGAGGTGAGGGGGTATCTTCGCCGATGGGCATTGCGATACCTGCGTAAGTGGGTGGTGGATTAGCCATGGTGAGGGAGGAAGTTTAGTGAAGTGGAGTTGGAGGTGTTTGGAAGATAGGTGGGATGCTTGTGGTGGGAGGAGATTCTGGGGGTGGATTAAGGGTCCTTTATATCTGTGCCTTAATTGATCTTTCCGATGTTTGTTGTAACCCTTCCAGAAGCCTGAAATAACGACAAGGAGCGTTCCCTTTGTCGGATGCAATGGTCCCTTCAGAATTGGGATGTTGGCTTTGTCTGATATCTCCGGGGTTTCGGATGTAGCGGCCTGTCGAGCTCCTAACGGATCTCGTCGAGCAATGGTTGATGGTTTTGTGGAGCAAAAAGCCGCTGGAGACGCATCGGCCATGCTGATTGTATAACGATGATCACTGTTTGCACGCTTTCTACGATCTCGTTACAGACTTGAACACTGGGTGGTCTCTTCAACTGGTAGAAATCAAGTGCATTCTCTCCATATTTGTCTAACTCTATAGACAGAGATGGAAGAAAGTATGCAGATAGCAGTGTGGAGTTAGTATGACCAGCGTGTTTGTAGCACCTCCATGGGGTGTATTCTAGAAGCCTCATCAGACATAGTTTGTTTGAAGCCACTAAGCATTGGAAAAGCTATAACTCGGATAGGACCAGAATATATGCAATGGCCTGAATCTGTAGTACTAAGATGTCGGCTCTCAGCGACATTGATAACATCCAGATTTGATAAGATTGGATTAGATTAGTACCTGACTTGTTAGAGCAGCCAATCACAGGCTATAGCTTCAACTAATCACGTTGGCTCCCGGGCGAGACCTAACCCAAGTACTTTTGCTCAGTACAACGGTCTGTAATATTGTACTACCGATTCCCCCAACCGATTCCCCCATTGCATTTAGGGAACGGTAGTTGGTACCGTGTATGAAATCAATCTACTGTGTTGTACTAGAGGCAAGGTGTAGGCATAATATCATTTGGGTAATATCAATCCATTCATGTATATTGGTATCAACAGGCAGAATGGAATACTTGATGCAGTGATCGATATATGTGGAAAGGTAGAAACTGACACCTGCCCTCGGGCCTCTCTATGACTATGAAGTACACAAATTCTATGTGGGAGCAGATACTGTTCTTGAAGAACGAAATGAACGAGTGACTGGAGAGTCCGTTAAGAAACTCCAAGTGAGAAAAAAGCGAGGATATATTAGAGTAATCAAACCTAACATAACACGCAGCCCCTTATCATTCTAACCAAATACCAGACTTGCATCCAAATGTCCCAGACTTTCTTGAAAGAAGCAACCTTCTGCTACCCCGATATTCCGAATCCTTGCAACCTGAAAACTGGTAGGGTTCCAACTGAAGTCCATCTTGTGGCAAATTCCATGAAGATAAGGAAAAACCACCTCCTGTTTTGTTAACAGATCTCCCAGATATTCCATCTCATAGATCAAACACCTGAGCTCTTTCCAAAGGTCCGCATCATGGGGGTAAACAACGCATTCCAATACCAAATATCCCGGAAAATCATCGCCGTTAGGCCATGATTTTCCCTTGATGATAGCTTCCAGGGTGTTTATGGCCCATCTCATTATGTTCCGCGTGTCGATGGGAATGTAGAACGATTCTCCTGTATCGTCTTTACCGCTCACTGCTCTGATATGTGTGAGAGTCGGAGAACGACGGCCGTAATCCAGAACACCTGGTTGCAAAGGAATTGGGATTTTGATAACCATTAGTTGGGTTTTGAATTCATGGTAGTATTCGAATTTCATGCCCCGTTTTGCTAGTGCTTCGACCCTCTCTATATATGGATTCTGGTCGTCGAGCGTGGGGAATCGTTTCTTGGTTATTGTGGATCTCCGATCCCAGTAGAGATCGTCGGATACTTTGACGAGGTTGGCGCCGTTGGGTATGGACATTGCTAGGAGGTGGATTGAGAGAAATGACAATAAAGACGAGGGTGTGTTTGTGATACAGAGGGAGTCTTGATGTGGGTGATGAGAACCTTTGAAAGTGGAGCTTGGGCGGCGCCGGTATATTCCGCATTCTGGAAGGGACATACCATTTCTTGTAGTCTCCGAGAGTCGACATTCGAGTGCGGTTTGTTATCTGTATTCAGTGATTCCTCCGGACCTTTTCATGTTGTTTCGGTCACTATATGCGGATCTCTCCATCATTTTACTTTCGAATAATGCGCAGTCATTCCCCGTCATCGGCAATAGAATGGGAATTATAACAATCGTTTCACTCGACGTTAAGTATATACACCCTCAAAAGTTTGCATCTCCCTCAACCGATCCAATAGGAAACGGAATACATAATTCTTGATTCCAGTAGAAGTCTCAATTATCTCAAGCTGTTGCTTGATCTTTCCTTCCAGAGACCGCAACGTCTCTTCAGTGAACTCGAGACTGTCTTGCTCTCGCATCTCGTTCAAGATCAATTTCTTTAGATCGTTTGACAACCCGGAGTCTCTGGCTCTCTCACAGAGAATATTTCGGAGCAGTACCTGATTCGGAGAATGCGTCATGACGTGAATCAAGGGGAGGGAGAATTTGCCTTCGTCGAGGTCTTGCGCGAAGCCTTTTTCTTTTTGGTACTAATACCATTGTCAGATGTGTGGTCTTGGTAACTTGGAAAGGATGTACCTTTGCCGATGCGAGGTTTATATAATCATCACGGGCTTGGAAGTATTGGCCTAGGAGGGTCATGAGATCTGTAAGATCAGTTTGTTGGATTGTTCTGCCATATAGTTAGACCGAACAGATTCAAATTTGTCGAGTCATGGGGACTGGCATACTCAGCAGGGAATGTCCCGTGAATGTATAAAAGATGGCTAGCGAGGCAAAACAATGCGCCGGTTTCTAACACTGTCAGCTGAGGCTTCTGTTTGGGAAGTAAGATGCATACTTAGCCGATTCATCTCCATATACTCCGTGATAGTCGGACATTGCCCACACCGCGTCCAGTGAAGATCCATCGCTTGCCCTAGGTGAAGATTCCGGACTTCCTCTATCTCGAATAGTCAGCATAAGTTGACAGATGTAATAGTGTAGGAACTAACCAAAGAAACCGTTCATGGTATCGACCTGCATCAACGGAGCAGCCTTCTCAAAAGCCAATGTAAGAGCAAAGGTTGCAGCGTTAATAGTCTGTGGCACCCCAAAAACACGATACGTAGCTGGACAGCCTCTTCGGAGCTCCGAGTTGTCTTGGATATCGTCAAGAAGAAGTGAAGAGTCGTGAAGATGACCAATTATGCCTTCTACTTGACTGGCTGCCGTTTCCGGTGCTTTGAGCCATACGTTCAAGGCTTGAATGATGGTACCTCTTACATTCTTGGATGGAACACTTCGAAGGTATTGGATCGGCTGCTTGAGGATCTGGTCTGACGTCAATGCACTGCTTGAATTACAGTCGGACGATGCTGGCAAGGACAACAGACCTCGTGGTATGAATCCTTCGCTGATATCTCGATATTGCTTAGGAAACTGTGTTTCTCATTTCCTAGGGATGATCCCTTTAAAAGAGTAGCGCATGTTGCTGTGTGTTCATCGAACTTGAATAAGGGTCCATTGAACGGCGTCAAACCCGCCAGATTGGGAACATCCATCCATCGATGGAAACGATCAGCGACAGCGCTCCAGTACCAATTCCCGGATAGTCCTAAACCAACCATCTCTAGGAAGTAGGCGACGTCCTTCGACTTAGCTGTGCAGTCAACACTAGCCAGATACTCCTTTTTCCTGGTTATGAATTCCCTTTCTAGTGGGGCTATCTTCTCTTTTAACAGCAAGACCTTGGCCTGGGACACAGTCAAGTTAAGCGTTTTCATCAAGTACCAGACCGCATTCGACATCATAGATTTGGTAGGGAGCTCTATGGCCACTTCTTTGTTGAAGCTATACAAGTCGTTGACAAGGGCTGCCGTAGCAGTGGCGGGCCACCAAATTGGCTTCAGGTCCTCAATGTCTGTGGATGTCAAGTCCAGCTCGCAGCAATACGCGATTGACATCAAACTGAACCTGCTCAACTCTTAGTACTGTCATGCTGGAGAAGTAATAAATTGCAACATACTCTGTCCCAAAATCATACACACGATACTGCAATAACTCATCCCAAGACTTAAAGTCAGCCGCACCTAATGTCTCATGAATCTTTGATAGATTATTAATGGCCTTGAGGACAAGATTGCCTCGTTTTCGGTCAACTTCCAGAAGACGCAGAAACACCTGGGACTGTATCTGCTTTATTGCGCTAACTTGAAGACCGGTGGCTTCGCTCTTTCGTACTTCCCATCCGACTGATTCGGGTGCTTCTTTCGGATGAGTCTAGTATCTGTTAGTATGTAAAGCATATTGGCTGTATCAGTTACCTGTGAACTGCCACTAGTTGTGACCACATCTAATACTTGTCAGTTCTATTGTGTAGATACAAAAGGAGGAAAGACACACCGTCGTGAGCACAAAAGTACTCAATCAGCTTTGTAAAAATCTCAACCCGATCTGGCTTCACTTCCGGAGGGAAGAAAGCAGTAACAGGCCCTTTGGGAGAGCTTCCTCCATGGAAAGCAAGTCCCACTTCCGTCTGCCATTGTCGATGGAATTCCACAAGAGCACTTTCTGCCACATCTGCGTACTTGCTTCTGCGAACAGGAAGACTAGTTGCACACACACGAGCGACCTCCTCACTATCGACGAGCTCGGAATGTTCAAACAAAATATCCATTGCTTGAACTGATATTCGGATCTAAGTTAAATGTTAGATTGAGTTGACGAACTGCAACAGCGGTTATGCATACCAGCATTGCAGAGATAAGCAAGGTATTTAAGCCTAAGGCTTCGGTTCCTTGGTTGAGCCAAGTTACTGTAGAGACAAAGAATGTAGTGTTGATCATTGGCATTAGTGATTCCGAAAATAGGTTCCACCTGAGATTCTCATCGTGGCAGTGATATTTTCCGTGACCGATACACCGACATTCGTTTTAGGCAATACTATCGCACCATACAGCGTGAATTTTTGGTCTTTAGGTAGCTGCATGCATGCTGTTTCTATCCTGGTGGCAAGAAATCCGTGCATGGGAACTCCAACAGGGAAATCGATGTGAAGTAATTTGCTGCAGATTGGCTGGAACAAATTCTGAAATCGTAGGGGTTTTCACATCTCATTGGAAGAAAGGTAATGCAGTTTCTGTAGCCACATAGTTTACGCATACGTACTATATTAGTCTTTCACTAGAGCAGCAAAGATATTTGATCATCTGACCATAAAGCCATGATTTGACAGCTCATTGGTTCTGCCTCCACAGTCCAAGAATGCAGGGCTGAAGGCAACGAGCTGCCTCCATCGCCGATTTCGTTGGGCAGCCGAAGTGGGCCGGCTAAAAAAAGAAATTGAGGCCCACGATGACCAATCGGAGTAAATATGATGCATGGTTTGATATAGAATTCAATGGCTCAAAGAGATCTGTTCTATTTGTTAAATAGTAGCAGAACGTGCATATCGCGCTTAGCGCTGAGGCCAGGTGTCCGTTTGATTGGCTGGCTTGCCATTACACAGATCTACCCCAGATCTAACTAAGCTTCGATCTGATCGCGATCGTGTGTTTCTCTTTTCAAGTACTCCGTATCAAAGTTGGAGCTCATTCTAGATCCGCATAATAATTGTTCAGCCTTATTGAATAGTGGGGGTGGGTGCGGCTATTGAATGGTGAGTTATCAAGGTTACACAAGTAATTCCCAATCCCCAAATGTTACAGTTAAGACACTTCACGTAAGATCGTAGGGATGCCACCGACTGGAACGACTCCTAACAATTCAGGGAAAAAAAGGGTAATTCTAGTCCGTACGTTGTGCATGAAGAATTTACTGAATCTACTGTTCAAGCCAGTAAAAATCAAACATAATACTATGACTCAAATAGGAAATTCTGGATCGGCACGATTTGTAGCTACAAACGAGCATCAGAGGTTACTCCAACAACATTGATTGTGTGAGCGTTCTAGGTTGCCTGTTATTTCTCACGAAACACTCAGATAATATATATGGGAGAATCAAATAAGGCTTGCTAAAGATACCACATGTTGACAATAATGGACAGTGTGGGGGTATGGGGAAACATAAAATATCATGGGTTGCGCTTAAAGGACAACAAAGGCTTAATTGTCATTATTGGAGTGCTACCATCGATTTCCCTACTCTGTTCTTATCTCTACCCCAAGCACCGAGGATTCTTTAAATGTGCATGATATGGATCTCTCGCTATATTGCTTCGATAATATTGGCCAGGATCTTCCATTAGTGTTCCCCCATTTGCAAGAATGAGCCAAGTACTAATCCCGCTCTCTAGCAATAAATACAATCATGAGCTTGAGGGCTCAGAATGCGCATCTCTCATAAAACTACTCAACCGGATTTTAACATTATTCTGGCTACAGAAAACCCCTCTACTGTGTAATATGATTAACTGGACCCCGCACGTGTCCCCACCAAACCCTATCTCCCCAACCCCTCATCTACCCGCCAAGCCCAACTAACTCCCTAATTCCGAGGAACACGCAAAAAACCGGACCCTGACACCCTGAACCCAGTTTTCGGGTTTCCCCTCATCCGAGGACGTGGCATTAAGCTCAACTATATGTGCTTCCCTCCTTCCGCCCTCCCAAGAGCTTAACCGTCTACCCCACCAACCACCAACCACCATTCCAAAATGTCCTACACAGGCCACTGCATTTGCAAAAACATCCAAGTCTCGCTGGCACAGCAGCCGGCGAGTTCTCTGCGTTGTCATTGGTAAGCCCACTTCCAGTCTGACTTTCACGCAGAATTACTAAAATCCGGAATATAGTCGTAACTGCGCCCGCTCAGGAGGAGGTATTACCCCTCATTTAAAAGCTATATCTATCTACGCCCTACTAACATCCACCCCAGGATCCTCATTAAATTACGTTCTTGACTCCGATGAAGTAACTCTCTCTGACCCACACTCACTTTTAAAGAGCTTCGATGATACGGATACCCTGAGCGGGAATGTTGTTTTGGTATGTCTCTTCCCTCCCCCGCGCCCAATATCCCTTATTTCCATCCCTACCGAAACATACTAACTATATACGCAGCGCCAGTTTTGCAGCCAATGCGGAAGGTAACTAACCCCCCACAACAATCTCAATGAATAATAATAATTTTTGTGCGTGTTAATTGGAACTAGTCCCTTCGCGACAAAAAGTCCCCAGTTTCCGGGTAAAACGCATCTCAAGGCTTCGTTGTTTGATGTTATTGCCAGGCCGGAGATGGAGGTGTTTACGGATAGGAGGCAGGGGTGGGTGGGAGAGGTGGAGGGGGCGAGGCAGGGTTGATTATTGTGTTGATTGTGTTGATTGTGTTGGGGCGGTATGATGTGGGTTGTAAAGAAAGAGTAGATAGGATAGGAATACTTCGAACTGGTATATATTATCTGGAAATTGGTTATTCAACTTCGTATAATGCACATTCATGCTGAATAAGGGATTGCTGGACAATCAAAGGGGGGGATAGGATTGGTTCTCTTATTCCGATCCGAGGAATTATTGGCTGGATAAGTCCGTGATATTTCCACGCCGTCGGGTAACTTTATTTCGATATGACGTAGGGAGGAGCGTGTTTGTTTTAAATAGATTGGATTGCGCTAAAGAAATTGTCATCGTCTAATTCTATTCTGGTTGTATACTCAATCTAAATCTACTGCAGCATCACAAAGACCCACCATGACACTGAGAACAATGAAAGCCCTCCGGCTGGTCGAGGTACCCTCCCCCCTTCCCTCCCCCACAACCCTACATCCACTAACACCCCCAGTACAACACCCCCTACCAACTCCACGAAATCCCCATCCCCACAATCACCCCCAACGAGCTGCTGATCAAAATCGGCGCTGCCGGATTCTGCCACACAGACTACCAAGTCTACCAAGGAGTCTACAACTCCCGCATACCGATGACGCCCTCGCACGAACCCGTAGGAACCATCATAGAAGTGGGCCATAAAGTCTCCCCCGAATGGAAACCCGGCCAACGCATCGGAATGTTAAATTTCCGACACGCGTGCAATTCCTGCAATGGATGTGAATTTGCACGTGATCCGTTGCGGCCGGATGAACCCGATGTGCGATTCTGCGAGAAGAAGGATATGGCGGGGATGACTGCTGACGGGGGGTTCGCGGAATATGCGGTTGCGGATCCGGCTACGTGTGTGCGGTTGCCGGAGGGGGTGGAGTTTGAGCAGGCGGCGCCGTTGATGTGTGCGGGGGTGAGTTTGTGTCGTGTGCCATGTGCGAGGTTGATGGGTTGCTGATGGATGGAATGTAGGCTACGGTGTGGACGGGGTTGGATCGTTTGGAACTGAAGGCTGGCTTGCCGGTGGGGGTTATTGGGATTGGGGGGTTGGGGGCTTTGGCGTTGCAGTTTGCTGCTGGGTTGGGGTATAAGACTGTTGCGATTGATAATAGGTCGGAGGGGTTGCAGTTGGCGAGGGAATTACCGGAGCATTTGAGGCCGGGGAAGGTGGTGGATTATAATAATGATCAGGCGGCGAAGGAGGTGGTTGAGTTTGCTGGGGTGGTGGGCTGGCTGGGGTGTTGGTTTGTACGGATAATGTCGAGGTGACTGAGTGGAGCTTGAAGTTGCTGCGGACGCATGCGGTTTGTGTGCCGCTGGGGGCGCCGGCGGAGGGATTCAAGTTCTCGGCTTTTGATATTCACTTTAAAGAGCTGACCATTAGAGGAGCGCTAGTCGCGAACCAGCGGCTGGCCTCGCATATGATGAAGTTGGTCGCTGAGGAGGGGGTGCGATCGCATGTGCAGACGATCAAGCTGGAAGAGGGCATGGATTTACCCATTCGGTATATGGATCCGCATCTCAGGGGGCGTTTGGTGGTGACTATGGAGGGTTGCCAGTAGGAGTTGCTATGTTTATGGACTTATCATTAGGGGGCTCATTGATAGCTGGTGATATGGTAAGGTCACAGATCTAAATCTAGTACAAAGCTTACGTGCTTGACATCATCCTCAATGTTCTTGATAGTTCCTTTAGAGGCCATTGATTGGACATTAACAAACTCCAATGGTGAGCTTACTAAAATGATTCACGGTAGTAATCAACGTCCACTACCGAAACAACATCCTTGCTCCTGCACGTATCCAAGTCCCAAACCAATCCCATAACTACCAATCCAGCTGATCCCCCAGAAGACACAAGATACCCCCATATGTCAATCCCCTAAACCAACCCCTCCTGCTCATCCACCACCATCTGCTTCGAACATTTATACCCCTCATCAGCGCCATCAACCAACCCCTTCTTCTCCAAAAGATCCAAAAGCTCCAGAACATAATCCTGACAATTATATCCCGGGAATTCGTTATGGATGACCACCTCTCGGGCTGCATCTCTGATAGCGCCGAAACTGGAGTTTTGGACGTGGCAAAGGTACACGAGTAGAAGGAGATCTGGGGATTCGCGAGCGTTGTAGTTGCTTTCGTCGAACCGGTACCTGGTGGAGGAGCCCATGGCCTGAAGGATGATTTTTTCTTTCGCAGTTGGGCCGTCGATGAATATGTTCCAGTGTTTGTAGATGCCTTCGGCGTTGTAGATGGCGACGTAGAGCTTGGAGGTTGGGGACATGGTGGGGTGTAGGTGTTTGGAGTGAGGAGGTTGGAGGTTTGGGGGGTAGGTTGGGGATGGGGAGGTAGATTGTGAGAGGGGGGGATGCAGGGAGAGGATGGTTTTGATTGTAAGGTTGGGAGGGAAACTCCTGGGCACAAGGATGGTTATGTGCATGTCACTTGTCATACAGGATGTTTCCTGTGGCGGCAAATGATATTCACTTGGCCATTTGAGTACTTCACCGGGAAGATGTATTTCTACGCTAGACGCATCAGTGAGTGACTTAAATTGATGCATCAGATATCCCAGATCAACATTGTCAGCCTGGCAGCACCAATGTGTCATTGAGTGGTTCTTGATTAAGCAGGGCGGTGAACTTTAGGCACGACATATCACATGACCCTTGCAGCCTGATCTTGTTACACTCATTACTCTCAATTAATTGACTCAAGGGAGAAACCATATTCATTACTGATTTGGAAGTCATAAATTTTGTTAGAGCATTACTACCATCAACACGCACCCTGAGTCCCTGAGCATATAGTTTCATCCTCATTTGCACCATTTAACTTTCAATATTGTTTAGATCTTATGAGGATATAAGCTTCAATGGTATATGCGTCGCTGTATTCACTGGCAATACTGGAAAGACCACCATGGCTCCTAAGTACACGTTTGTGGTTCTCAGTATATTGTGCTTATTATGTAATAGCTTCTACGATATACTTGTGTGTTATAGTCTGTCAGCTGCTCCACGTATGAGGTGAAGTATTGAATTGTATTAAAAAGATGCAAAAGGATATAATGGTGACAATGGGTTGGTCAAATTATGGAAATAAGATTAGTTCGATACCCTATCAAACAAGAAGATAAGCCATCACCGCACTCAGAACAGGGACAAGACACCATACGACAATTCTAGACGCAGCGCCACTGAATTGTGCCGCATGGACCACGAATGTAGCAGATAATTGCCCAGAAATAGTTTCACTACCTTGAAGAACTCCAGCAGTAGGGTGGTTGAATGCAAAACTGGAAGATGGAACCGCAGATGCAGAATGGGATTGGTTGGTCCAGTGGTGGAAGCCAGAAGTTTTGTTTCCTTTGATTCCAGAACCTGCGGGTAAGGAGCCATTTGGAGGTTGTCCCTGGGGTCTAGGAACGCCGGGTCTGGCGGATTTGGTGTCATCGTTTTCGGAGGGGGAGGTGGATGTTCCCTTTCCGGGCTGGGTTTCGGAATCCGCGCTGACGCCGGCATTGGGTGCGTTAGGTTCGCTAGGAAGGCTGTAGTTTCCGGATGTGATTGAATTTGCTCCCTCAGTTGGTATGGGCTCTGTGATTGTCTCGGTGATGTAGACAGTCGTTGTCATGGGGAAAGTGGCGGTGGTGAGATGTGTTGATTTTTCCTTGGTGATTGTGTAGATCATAGTTGTGTAGTAGACAGTTGTGATTATCGATACTATTGTGCTTTCCCCAGAAGGAGTCGCTTGAGCAACTAGGGCATTGGTAGCAGCATTTGGAATCGCAGTCTCCTCCACACTGACTGGGAAAATGGTGACTGGCCCCACCAATGTTTCCGTGGTAAAGTACGTGGTCTTTTCGGAACTAGCGCAACTGGCGACAGATGATTGGCAGGCTGTTGCGGGATGCACTTTAATTGTATATACCGTTGACGATGTGAGCTGCTCACGTGGGTTTCCAGTAGGCTGTCCCTTGCTTATTGTTGTTGCTGCTGCTACAGGCTTGTCTGTCTCCTTGGCAGTAACTGGACAAATAGTCGTGTATGCTGCAACCGTCTCCGTTGCGAAGTAGGTAATCATCTGGGAGGAGACACAATGTGGGTACCACTGTGGGCAAGCGCTCATAGTATGCACATGGGTAGTGAAGACAGTAGATGTCGTAAGGCTTTCGTAAGGTTGCCCATCAGCTCCCGTCGGCTGAACAATGGTGCTTGTAGTCGTGGAACTGTGATCCTCAGAGGCAACTGGACATGTGGTGGTGTATAGAGACACGATCTCTGTTGTGAGATGAGTGGTTTTAGCTGACGCAGGACAGTCTGGGACCCAGGATGGGCAGGCTGTAACAGTATGCACTTGAGTGGTGAACACAATAGACGTTGCCATTTGTGGCTCTGTAGACGTCGTCACCTGCGGCTCTGTAGCCAAGGTGGATTCCACAGTGCTTTGAGCAGCAGCTGTTTCCGTAGCTGTCGCACGGCAAATCGTTGTCTCGATAACGAGAGTCTCTGTGGTGAAAACAGTCGTTGTCTTGGTTGAGCGATTATTGGATGCTGATGCTCCGGCTGTTGTCATATTGCGCGCACGAGAAGGGCTGATCGTTGGTGTGGAAAGCTGAATTGATGAAGCTCTCGAAGGAGAGGGACTGGCGGTTGAGGACAATGCTTGACTGGAGCCTGCCTGTGGAGCAATAATAGAATTCGAAACAACCGGTAAAGAGTGTGGTGAAGGAATGACTGCAGCGACAAACGAGACGGGGGATGACAGCGGCAAAGTAGAGGCTCGGATGCTCGGAATGGGCAATGTTCTGATAACGGGGATGAACGAAGAAACCAAAGCCTTTGATGACGCCATTTGTGGCGAGGCAGTTGATACTGACAAGGACAAAAGAGCTGAAGAGGATGGAATTGTAACTCTCGACACAGTTGGAGTGGACAGGATAACAGTCGTCGATGATAAAGGAACGATTGTGGAACTTGCAACACTGGATGTAGACGTCGCACAAGGGTTTGTATCCAGGCGTTTGGCAATGTAGTTGATCTGATTATTATCCGGGTCACTGTAATCATACGGCACGTAGCTGTAATCGAGGGCTCCACTTATAGAGTAGCAGATATCGAGAAACCAGAACGTTCCGATACAGTTTGAATAGCTAGAGCAGACCTCTATACATCCCCAGATGTCATCATGTCTTGAATTCGGCAGAAATCCCGAGTAGCTCTGCACTACATCATCGCAGACCACCTGATAGTATTTGTCATCATATGTATAATATCCATCGACGCAGTCTGTGGTGGTAGGAAGGGCCGAAACCGTGCATGCCGACGCAGTAGGGGTTACCACAGTCGATGTGGATGTCGGTGAGACAAGGCTAGAGACTGAGCTTGCGCCAGCGATTGCCAAAGGTGAAGCACCGGTAGGCAGCGTAATCGTGGATGTATACGTTGTCGTATATTGCATGACCGTCGTTGCTGTTGACAATTGGGTGGAGGAGTCGGTCAAGGTGATAAGGCAAGGATTAGTAGAGAAGCGTTCGATGGCTGCAAAAGACCTCGTGCTGATTGCCGCAGTAAATGTGATGTCCTTCAGGAGGGTACACTGCATATTGGTGGCCCAATTGGCGCCGGTGCATGATGACTGGTAAATACTGCACTGTTCCTGGCAAACGTAGGGATTGCCTGCAGCTAGGGACATATATACGGTTCCTTCGAGAGACACAGTAGTACACCACTCTTGCCAGAACATTCCATTCTGTGACCAAACCGTGTTGGCGCACAATATTGGATTAGCAGTGCCAGGGGTACACGTTGTTTCAACGGTCGTCACTGGAAGAATATTGGTGATAGTGTTGGTCACTGTATCGGAGTAGGTGGACGTGACGGTAATGACTGAGGTGGCAGCCACTGTAACGGCTGGAATGGTTGCTGCCAGTCCTTGGTGGGACAAAGCTGCGAGGAATGGTAGCCATGTCTGGATCAAACTTCGGCCCATGGCGGAGATGTAAGGAATGGAAGTCCCAGGATAGGGAGAACGACTGAGGGTAAAGATCGACGAGATGCTTAATTAATATGCATTTGAGCAGGGGGTTAAAGATGCCAGCTGCGGTCTTCATGGAAACGGGGACAGTAAGGGTTTTATTCCTGCAAAATGTGGACACATCCAAGTACCCAGTTCCATCACGGCTGAACCATTGTTGGTGACTAGCAGGATTTTCTAGCGGGCATCTTCTTACCCAGGGCAATTCTAAGCGATAACAAGGACTGAGGCTGAAGACCCCACCAAACTAATGGGGTCCATTTCTTGAGCAGATGGATATCGGGTCAAAAGAGCCGACCATCGTGATTGGTTGAACCAACACCAGATTCACCTTGTGACAGGAGAATGATTAATGGATCGGGATTCATGCTTTGCTCTTCATACATTTGCTGGAAATATCCATCTTCGTTCTCCGTGATTATCCTTGGACTGGATATTATATCTAAAGTCTGTACATAGGCTTCTTGAATGTTCGGTCAAGAGAAATATCATACCGGCACCCCCACAAAACGTTTTAGGTACTTTTAGCTATTCTGTCGTAATCTAGTTCTATTAGTGAACGTTTCTTGGTCATCATTTCTGGGCTCTCTTCTAATCCTGAACGCATATGCCAGTCAAGTTGGCTGTTCACGGTCATGTGACTTAGTCATTTATGCCGCCTAGTTACGGAATGAGCTTGGTTAAGTTATGCTGGGTTGCATTAGTTTGTTTCACCCTGATGAACCGTTGGGTTCATACTTAACAAGATACCTGAGGCAGCATGCATGGTGCTTTCATAAAGTACTAAAAGGCTAGTGCTACATACACGACCCTGTAAGCTAACGATGAAACCCCGCAAACTATCACCGTGTTCTTTGGTAAAATATATATAGTACTGCGTTCCGACGCAGAGCAAGCCATGTAAAAACTTCATAGTAGTATTCAAAAGTTGCAAAAAAGAAAAAAAACAAAGGAAGAACCCCACCCAGCAAGCCCCATACCACACAGTCTTCCGACCCATCACCCCAACTTCCCTCCCATCTGCCGACTCCAGAGCTTACGGTCAAACCGTTGCTCTAGTAGCGCCTGCGCATCACCCGCATACATGAAGACCTTCCCACCGACCTCCTTGGGCTCCTTGTCATCTTTAAAGTAAATCCAACAGTCCGCAACTTCATAGGCATTCGTCTCATAGTAAGCCAACTTCTGAGCCTCTTCTTCGGATCGCACGAGGTACGCAGACCCCGTCACCACCTGCCCTTGTTTCCCATTGATCAGGGCGGGATAATCACCCCATTTGGCAATGGCGTATCCGAATACCTTCGCTTCGCGAAGTTGTGGCTCCTCCGACAGATCGAGGATCCTTTTCACTTGTGCTGGGGCGGTTAGGCTGCCGTAGAAGAAGTAATATACTGGAAAATCAGGCGGAAAGTCGACTAACTCGTCATGTTGCGCAAGGTAGTCCGGTGGCGCGGACTCGAGCATAGTGTAGAAGGGGAATGGTGGTTCCTCTTAGCTGGGAAGAGGCCCGGAAAGGGATGGTCTGCTTCTGAGGTCTCTGGTTTTGGGGGCATTTCGCTATCCATGAGGTCGTTTGATGTGTTGAACTGTTGATCATGAACTGAAAGAAACCGGGCAAGTAACCAAGGCGGTGAAGGGCTGCAGGCAGTATGCTGTGGAACCAAAAATACATTCTGCCGCGCGTGTTATTGGCTACTTTGTAGCAGTGAATGCTTAAAGTTACAGTGAGCGGTATGGTTCCAAACATCGCCATCCTAAATGCTAATACCACTTTTCTGTCACCATGCCTTCGACAAACGAGGCCATTGCACCTTACCGCAGTGCCATTTCATCATTTGTGTAAAGCTAGTACAAAGTCTTGCACTCGAAATTGGCCGCGCCATTAATATCCCCCGACCCCACATACTGAGCCATCTTCGGGTACGCGCAGATCGGCCGTTGCTTGTCGATGGTAGAGGCGCTAATGTCCACGCTACTGTTAAAATGGGACCCGATGATGTACTCGGGCGCGACACCATTCTCCACCCAGTCAATCAAAGCAAGAAGGATATCGTGTTTCGGGTCTTGATAGCCCGGGACGCTGTGGAGGGATGCGCTGAGCGAGCTGGCTTGCGTGGGCCCGGCAATGTACCACGGCGCGTTCATCGTCGAGGGTGTGTTGTAACAGTGCCTAGAAGGTCAGTATATACAATAGCTGGGGTATTGGGTACTCACTCCATGCCAGGAATCAGAAACAGGCGATAGAAATCATCGACGTCGATACCTTGAGGGGCCATCGTGGCGGCCAAGTGATCGCGGTAATACAGGCCGATACCGGGGGGCACCGTGGCATCCGAGTGGCCGTGGTAGTGAATGAGCTTGGCTCCATGTCGGTAGAACTGGGCCAGATCATAGTTGTCGGCCGAGGAGTCGCCGGGGTTGGTCTGATCGGCATACTCCACCAAGCTGAAGTCAAGATCCTCCGCGGTGAAATTGGCCATACCGAGCATTTGACGGGGGTACCAAAGCTGCGTCTCCACGTTGCCGGCACTGCCATTGCCAAAAGAGCCGCCTTCACTCCACATCACCTCGCTGCCATACAGAGAATGGGCGTAGACAAACGTCTGGTTCGTCTCTACCCAGTCGTTGTAGATGTGGTGCAGGGTCTCCAGCTGGGGCCCCGTCAAGCAGCTGGTGTTTTTGGTCTCGGTGCACAGCAGGGGGAGGTAGTCAAAATTGCAACCTAGCGGGTCCGAAATGATGTTGTCGACCAGCCCGTCTTGAGGATCGCACTGGCGGATTGCTTCTTCCCCGATGACGGCGAATATCTCCATCGGGATTGTATGTGGGGAACCCTCGGGTGCTTGGAAGGTTGTTTGCTTGAGGTTGAACAGTTGTTGATGGGTGGTCCACCATGCAGGACAGGCTGCGATAACACCGTCATAATCCAATGGAAACTTTTGCGTCTCCTTCATGGCCTGACGACCACCAGTCGAGCAGCCAGCAAAGTAGTTGTACTTGGGCTTTTGGCCGTAGAAGCTCTCGACCAGAAACTTGCCCAACACACTGGTCAAGTGGTTGGCACGCCAGGCCCAATCACTGATCGACTCGGGGTTTTTCCACCAGACACCGGCCATGTCCGAGCCAGTATGGCCAGTATCGGTGGCCACAGCAGCGAAGCCATAGCGCAACCCAACGGCCTAGGGAGATATTAGTCGCGCATTCAGGAAAACCCGATCCGGGCTAATACTTACCATATCAACCCAATTGATATCTTCACCTTCCTGGGCAGCGTGACTGTTCAAGTCAATCAGCATTTGGATCTCGTTCTCTTGAATCTAGGGCACCTACAAGAAACGCTGGTTCCAGGTGTCGGGGAAGAAGACACCGAAACTGAAGTGGGTGTTGACATCGGTTGTGGCGTTGACCTGGATAGCACAGGCAGCGGGCAACTCTGTCGGATTGACGGCCGATGTAATGTTAGGATTCACAAAGGTTGAATTCTCCGCATAGTGATGAGCGTACACCACGCGTGCATTGGTTCCATTGGCATCGAAGAAGGACTGGAAGGTCTGAATAGAGCAGTTACTCGCGGCCGATAGGGCGGGGGTCACGGCGAGCCCTAGAGCTGCCAGTGAGAGCATACGTGGCGCCATGGAAGGTGTTGAGCTGACCAGGTTACAGCGAGTTGGATGATAGGAGTCAATTCGCTGGCCCAAGAACCTTATATACTGAATTCCTGTGCCGTTCCACGTACGCTGATACATAATTGTCTCCTCCGCCGATCCCGAAGTGTGGGGAATGCGGGGGCGATCTGCAGCCAACAACAAAGTTGCAGGACTCGAGAGGCCTTTGCACCCGCTAACTGGCGGAGACTTGCCCTCTTTTGGCCCAAGCATCTCGATGCTGCGGGGCTGGGTAGGATATAAGGTAAGGCACGGCCTGGCAGGCAGAGACATATACTATCCACCCGGGAAAGACCCACGACGGCTATTGCAGGATGGCACCATTTGCGCGGGGCATGGGCGCCATGGCGTCACTACTCATGGTTTTGGCCAGGGCAAAAGCTTCATCCGCTTCCACTACCCTTTTGTTTCAAAATGATGGAAACTGGACGGCTCATGCGGAGCGACCAAGCGGGCTGTTAGTGCATTCTCCTGCCCGTCGCAATCAAGCAGGAGCCATATGTGCCGAATATGGTGAGCAATTGTTGGATTGTGCCGATGTCGGCGCCTTCCGCCAGTCCTTGCAGTACCAGCAGTACCTGGGCACATTCTCCAACGACACACTGCTCTGGACTGCCTGCACCGCGCCTGTCGCTCTTACCGGCCATCCGCTGAGTGAAAATGCCTCGAGCAGCGACGAGTGGCCATTTGTTTGCACCAACTCGGCCCCGCTAGTCGACCGGGTGGACACGGATTACTCTTCCTTCCCTCGGGTCAATGCCACGGCAGGCAACATCACATTCGAGGGGCTGCGCGACCATCTCACCTTTCGCTTTGCTGGCCTACCTTTTGCTCAGCCACCGCTGGGTGCGCGGCGCTTCCAGTATGCCGAAGCATGGGATGCAACCAATGTCAGTTATGTCAATGCAACTCAATATAGCCCAGCTTGTTTGCAGTTTGGGTACTTTGAGGGGAACAGTTACGGACTGAACCCATGGGGGAATGATGAGGACTGTCTCTACCTGAATGTTTATACCCCCTTCCTTCCGGGTGCCGATGTGTCGGACGACCAACTGAAGCCCGTTCTCTTCTGGATCCATGGTGGTGGCTTCTCCCAGGGCACCGGCTCCGATCTGACCTTTGACGGGGGGAGTCTGTCATCGCGATCAGACGTGGTTATTGTCACATCCAACTACCGGTTGAATATTTTCGGCTATTTGTCGCTCGATGATGGAATCATACCCGGCAATTACTGGATGTCCGACAACATCGCTGCCCTGCAGTGGGTGCAGCAGTATATCCGGGGGTTTGGAGGCAATCCGAACAACGTCACAATCTTTGGGCAGTCGGCTGGCGGAACCGACTGCATTGAGCTTGTTGCTTCCCCGCAGGCTGCCGGACTGTTCCAGAGGGTCATCCAGCAGTCCGCGGGCAACGGTCGTTTCAGCACTCAGAAGGCGATCTCTGAGCTGGCGCAGCCGTATATCAGCCCGCACTGCAACGGAACCGGAGTTTCTCGGCTGGTATGCCTGCAGGAGTTGCCCGCATCGGTTCTGCTGAACGACAGTGCCGATATCTTCTTCACGCCCGTCATCGACCCAATGTATTTGCCTGATGCTCCCATGGCACTCATCGCTCAGGGTAGTTCCTACATCAACTCAGTCCCAATGATGACCACAATGATGCCAGAGGAAACGCAGTCCCTCACGACGACGATGCTCGCGCCCAATATGACTGACTTCCAGGCCGCACTATATTTGCTCGTCCCTGGGGGTTGGATCAACCAGAACCAGGCAGACCACATCATTCCCTCGGGGCTTTGGTTGATCAGCAATGAGAGCTTCCACAACGGCTCGGTCTCATATCCGAGCGTGTACAACGCCAGTATCAAGATTTCGACGGAAAACAATCAGGAGTGTCCGAACGGTGCTTATGCCATGGTGGGAGCTTCCACGGTCGCCTTTCCCAGCATCCACGTAGCCTACCACCAACGAGGGTATGCACTATCCTACTATGATTTCTACGACCTATGCACCTTCCCCGTTGGTAAACCAGACACCCCATATTATCGGTGTCACTCGAGCGACCTGTACGAGGTATTCGGGACCTACTACATCTTTGATCAGCCAATCCGCGTCCAGGAGGACATTTTCTACACCAACGCAGTGCAGGACATGTGGGGTTCTTTTGCGCGTACTGGCAATCCCAACGTGCCGACGGACTACTTGGCTGCGCGCGGATACGAGTCGACGATCGCCTTCTTTGCCGATTGGCATTGGCCCGAATTCACAGCCTCGGATATGGTCCTAGCGAATCTACAATACCCAGAACCGGGGTATACAAATGTGCCTGATCTGGCGCATTGCCGATATTTAGCCAAGGTTCAATACTAGCTCCTATAGCCTATACTGAGGATGCGGGGAAAACCAGCTAGGGCACCGAACCCCAACACAACATTTTCATTCTTTCAACAAGTCAATCACAGAATCCGCTCGCATCTCCTATAAAACGAACTAAATGTAACATCAAACCCCATCTTCCTGCAACCTGTCCACTAATCTAAATACCCTCCCCTCCACCTCCCCCACCGCCCTTCCCATCCTCTCCGCATCCGCATCCCCATCCCCCTCCACCAACCCCCCAGGCAAAACCATCACCATCGTCGTCGACCCATCCACCTCCTCCACAAACCCACAATCCAGCGGCACATGTACCGCCGCATAAATACTCTCTTGGATCATGGCGGCCGCGAGGATCGGATTCCCGAATATGAAGCGATGGATCTGACGTCCACCCTGCTCTGGTGATAGAAAGTGATGTACCCACGACCCGTGATTAAATTCTGCAAATCGTACAAACCCGCTCGTGGTGTTTGTATCGTCGATAACTTGCGCGATAGCTTCAGCGCTGGATTGCGTCCGTAAGATGCCTGGTTGGAGTGGTGGGGCGAGAGTGCGGAATCGCTGGAGGACGGTTTCGTAGGGGAGGGGGATGTGGATTGTTAGGCAGTGGATGGTGAGGGGGGTAAGGGTTGTGTTTTGGGGAAGGGACATAATGGCTTCAGTATTGGATTGTGTTTGGGAGGAGGGCGAGAGGGAGTAAGAGAGGATGGGAGGGGAAGTGGGAAAGTGATAGAAAGTTGGTTGGTTGGATACAAGGCTTACTCCACGTGATTTCTGGGCGTGCATTAGAAGCTTATGGTACAAACTAAGGGATCCTGGTTCGGAAAAGGGGATATCCAGGTCTATTCAAGATATCATACCTGGGTTAGAATCAGGTCTGTCTCCACTTTTATACTAGACATCGTGTTGATTGGCATGGAACTATTAACGTTCCTATTGTACCTGTTGGATATATTTAGGATTCTGTTCAATTGGATGGATTGATATTGATGGACTACATGGTATTATGAAAGGATGTGTCTATATAATATAGAAATATCAACCCGTACATATTTTGCCTTGTTTCTATATTATCAGCTGTTTTAGTAGGTAAGCGCTGGATGGAACCTGTGATAATGGAATGTCCGGTGTCCAGTCATCACCAGGCTTGGCAGTGACTAATCAACAATTCCTCACCACCTACCTTCCAATCTCGAGGCTCCTGTAGCCGCCTACACTCCCTTCAAGTTCTCTTGCATAGCAAGACATATCAACTAGATTCTATAGAGAATGGAACCAATCGTTGACGTAGATTACCTCCCATCCCCTGTGGTCCAGCCTGTAGTTACTTGCTAACATTGACATGCCGGTCTCCAGCCGACCAGTAGAGACCCAGACAGGGTCTTTCCTTTGGACGGTATTGACCTTAAGTCCATGAGGGATGAGTCTCTTGTCACCCTTCTCCATTCAGCTCCAGTTCTTCACCAGCTCGGTGAGACGACTGTGGTGCGACTCTCGAAGGATTTAGTGATGAAAGGCGGCGGAAACGTGCTACCTTCGGAGGCAGCGGTCATGAAACTGATTGAATCAGAAACGCGTGTCCGGGCGCCTCGGGTCCATCGCTCCTTCCAAGTTCCTGATTCGACCAAATACTTCGGTACCATGGGATACATCGTCATGGATTATATACGCGGTCAACCGCTCGATCACTGCTGGGGGAGTCTTGACGAAGAACCCCGACACGATGTTGCCAGCCAGGTCGCTAACATGATCCTGGGTATGCAGTCTGTCAAAGTCACGCAACCAGGGCCGATATGTGGCGGGCCGTGCTGTGGTCGGTTCTTTACTGACTACGGTGCTGGCCCTTCCCAGAACAAATCTGAGATGGAAATCTGGTTTAATCATAAACTGGCTATCTGTAAAAAGTTCAATCAGGCATCGCCGGAGATTCCTGCCTTTCGATTCACGGACTTCGTTATTACTCATTAGGGTATCAGTTCCCGGAATCTCATTCTTGATCCCAATGGACATGTTTGGCTGATTGACTGGGCGGATGCGGGGGCATATCCGCCTGCATTTGAGAGTGCAGCTCTGGATTCTCAACAGAGCTTCCCCGATTTCAATGCCATGGTGTTATCTCCTATCCCGTCCTACCCCGTGGAACTCGGCCAATTGCGCTCTATCGAATATGGACTTCAGACGGCGGCTTTTGCGTAGCTTAACGAGTGCATTTCTGTCCCTTTCTCTCACCCGCTTTGCACTACAGCATACCAGCCTCATCGCTAGCCTAGCCGTAATATGACCCCTGATCGAGGGGATGTGCTGTCTTCTCTGGCCATAACTTCCGTATCCCATCTTTCGCAGCATCAACTTGCGAGCTGTCCGTGAAGACCCCAAGCTCATATAGCAGATTGATCTGATCTGTAACCCAGTATCTGCATCCGACGCCATTCGAATCAAACTCGTAGTTGTGACGTCCGTGGTCTGTAAGATGCTCGATAATCTTTGTAACTGTCAACCCCGGGACGACATCAAGACGGAACTCGGTTTCGGCATCGTGTGAGAGAAGTCGATCCAGTTCGGATATGATGACAAATGCCTTGGAGCCACCTGGGATTTCTGTGCTAGTGATGCTGTGACTTGGTTGGCAGTCGAGTTGGATGGAAGTCGAAGGGGAGGTCTCGAGGTAGAAACACCAGTGGTTGGTGCCGCCTTCTTGGGTATGGCCCACTGCGCGAGCGGAGGTTATGGGGGTGGCTAGGATGTGGGCCTGGCGGGTGGCGGGGATGAAGTGAATCGGGTGGAAGGTGGTCATGGTTTTTCGATCGGTGGGCTTCCTGGTGGGGTGAATAGAAAAAGCCAGGAAATTATTTAATGGGATAGGATCGACATGAACAATGGGGTGAAGGAATAACAAAGGACATCCAATTCGAGTCCACGTGGAGGACTGCAAGTAAAATCAGGTGGAAGAGCATCAGGGCGGGGAAAAGTCGGAGACGGAGGGCGGGTAATTACAGCCGAGGCCCCGGGGCGGGCATCGAATCCAGGCATGTCATTGGTCCAAGTTTACTCAGATCCAGTGAACCCAATCATGACTTACTGTATGGGACTCAGCAGCTTGATTGGTCGGATGGAAGAATTAGTTCATTAGCCAGCCATAAGCTGGAAGCATAGGTACAGGTAAAACAACTTATCAATTCACAAGACAGACAAAACAAACTCCTCGAACAATGCCATGACAAGGAAAGATAATTATAGCCATGGATGCGTCACCCGCCTAGTTTCTGGCGGAGGACCTTGTCTGTTCGTTCGGTAACCCGAACAAATTTGCCCTGTTTCTTCAAGGGATGTGTCACCATCCCCACGACATTTTTGTCTTTGTCAGTGATGATCCGATGGGGTACCGGATTAGATTGAGGACCACATGGTCCCGGTACACAGCCACGACGGTTTTGATTCGCATAGTCGAAATACGTGGTCGGATACGCCCAGAAAACTGGACGTTGCCCATCACCGGAAGCGACCTCTTCTAGAGGCTCCAGCCCTGCTCTCTCTGTTGGAAAAAGGTTCTCAGCATCAAAATGAGCATGGGGACGACGACCAGTGGTTTTATTGTGAGATGGGGCTGGAGCCTTGTCGATTATGTCCAGCGCCACGTAGCGAGGCATTTCTGCTCGGCCGACATGTCCGTCATCACTATTGATTGCAGTCCGTCGTAACTCATACACCTACAGACCAATGTCATCAATGCCTCTATTAAATGGCTGGGTGGTCTTTGCCTTTCTGAGGCTTTGGTGGGACTCACGTGAAAGTCGACTTCCTCGTACTAGGGTTTGCTCTGATGGCAACCCATGTTGAAGCGGGTGTCACGATGTACTAGCTTAGAGAATGGTCGGGATCGACCTGGTATGATTTAGAGATAGTTTTTTTATCAGGCAAAGGTCCCCAAAGGACGTCTTATATTTGCTCACCTCGCACCTCCCGGTCCTGCTACTTGAATTGTTATCGCCATGTCCAGCATCTATTGAATCAACCGTACAGACGGGACCCTACTCCATTACGCGCTGTGTCCCCGTCAATTGTGACGAGGAAAGCAAGTTTTGGGGGTTGATGTGAATTGGAGCTCGGCACGGGCCGCACCACCTGGCTTGATGATTTAACGGGTGTCCCCTCCATTCCCTTCCCTTATTCCCTTCCCTCATTCCCTCAATCCTTCATTACCTTCCCTCACTTCACCCACTTTCTGGCAGATATTTGACAGATACAATTCACAATTAGGTCTTGTCCGTCTAGATTCTCACCTCCATTTGCTTCTTCCTCCCAGCCATCGTGCAACATGACTCTACGTCTCAGCATCGATGAAACTGACCCCGCCTTGAAAAAGTCGGTCAGTCGCTACTCAGACTGGAAGGCCTTCCTCGTGCTGCGTCGCTGTCTGGAGCCCGACGGTGATCTGTCTATCGAGCAGGCTACAGTTCTAATCCACGAGATGATGCCAACAGCGGCTGAGGGCCGCAGGGTGGCACCGGGACTATTTGGTGCCCTGTGTCTGGATGTGGCCGATAAAGTGTCGTATTCACACCCAGCGCAGAGTCGCCTTGTCGAACTCCTCGATTACCTACAAGCATCCGACAGGATGAACGAGAGGCAATTTTGCGACTTCGGCGATTGCAAGGTGAATAAATTATCCCAGATGATCACACATGTTACCTGATGTATATCTAGGGCTATTCAATCTATTACAGCATGGAGGATCTGAAAATGGAGATTAGGGAGCGATACTCAAATAGGCTCTTCCTTTCCATGAATACTCCTTGGGGTGAATCCAGACTAATATGACTCAATCAGACCACTTCGAGCCCGGTACTCCCGAAGAGCAAGAGTATGTGAATATCAGCGCCTTCATCGCGCGCCTTACGGCCGCGGGTCTGGTGGATGCAATGTCATGGGCTGTCTGGACGATGAAAGAGAATCTAGAAGATGTAGTCACCGGAAATCGCTACAGCGGTTGTGTGTCTGCTGCGGCGATGTGGATCCTGTGTGCCGGTCAGTGGCTATTCATACAGATAGTCCAGGCTCCAGAAGAGGATGATGAGTCTCCCCGACCGTGAAGGACTGGCTCCCAATTTACAGGCCGTATATTTGGAATGGAGAGATGGAACTTCTGGCAGAAGTCGTTCGAGGCCGCAGCGGAACGCGATACTGCCAGTGCTGAGTGTAAGATGTTGGCGACCAAGGCGAAGGACTTTATGCCTGCGATTGCCAAAGCCATGATTTGGTAGATCTCAGATTGTGCCTGGCTTATCTAAGAAGTTGGCCACGCTTTCTGACTGTCGCGGGGGAGGGGGGGTGGCTGATGGTTCTATCCCACGCAGAGCAGCGCCTCGTGGCACACAGCAGCTCCCCGTGATATTCAATGTGGCTTCTTGCATATGTATCTATCTATATTTAGCACCGAGAACTACTCATGCTGTTATTTGCCATGTTTCTTTCATTTATCGTACATCAAGGTGGACATCGTTCCAATATGAACTGATGGATTCAGTACATATGTCGTTTCAATAAGAGATCACATAGCAATACTCGATATAACGGTAAACAGTGGGACTCTTTATGATTAGCGAGAAATTGTATTTCCAACTCTGTTACAATACATGTACCGCAGGAAGATATCTCTCGAGTTATATGCTGCATCCTCTGTCGAAAAGTCATATAATTTTCTCTTTCGAACGAGGATCTCTTCTTTGTTGAGATGGGCTTGTAAGATTCTGGCCTTTCTCCCACCCATAAACGAGAATATAAGAACCTGTAATTGAGATTCATGTATTCGTAACGCTAAAATAGGCATCCAATAAGAAAAAAGGGAAGGAGTCCCGCTAACCGGTATATTGTAACTTGCTTTAAACCTGCGACTGAATATCGATGAGACCATTGCGCCAACTATGGCTAGGACTTCCCCTTGTTGCATTGTCCCGTTGTCTCCCATACTATTATGCACGCATGAAATCATGATGTGAGGGCTTTTATCTGCATACCAGCCACCATCACACTTCCAGCTTTGCGCCTCAAGGACGCTTTCACCAAAATCAGCACGGAATATGTCTGGAATGACTGTCCTGGAGTCAGAATCCATCATTAGCTGTACTCCAGCGGTTCCTATCGCAAGATCGTACCCCTTCTTCCATCCAGATAGTTCCCGCAATGTGGTTTCCATATATCCTAACCTCCTCCCACACTCATTAAAAGCGTGTCTGACCATGAAGCTGATTTCTTCGGCACTATCCATAGGACGATGGGACTGGTGACTGTTACCCCACATGATTGAATTGAACAACAGGTCTTCGGTAGCCAACTCCCGGATTCCATCTGCAGGGTATTTGCCTATATGTGTATTTGAGGCAGGTGAAAAGTATACTGCGTTTGAAGTTTCAGTATGAGGTCTGTCAGCATTTGTGTGCAGTTCCTCCACCTTGATTCTCATCTTAGCCAATTGCTCCTTGTTTATGCGGTGACTTTCAAAATCTTTCGCTTCGTTCCATGTTTGGCACAGACCGTCCACATAAATGTCCAATTTCCCGACTCGTGACTCCATCCTGTGGCTCCCTGTCTCGGGCTCGGCCTGTGTGGCGCGTCTGGGAGGCGTAGGACGCCGAAAGATTTTGATAAGGCAATCCATCGTGCTGATTGGGCTTGGGCGCAACAAACGACAGTGCGTTGAACAAAGAGGCATTTTTAATGTGCTTGGAGAAAAAGCCTTCTGTCATGAATTTTGATATGACATACTATGACCAATTATTGCGCAGCTGAGAACGTTTTTCTTTGGTCCTGATGTCAAGATGATCCTATGCTTGATGCCATTTCTCGATCGAAAGATGGTAGAATTACGGAATGAATCAAGATGATGCACGGTCAGTGGTCCGATTTTGCTTTCTACTCTGATAAACATGTTAGTTAGATCATGGTCATCAAAGATTGCTTGATTAGTGATTGGATGGAGGTCACCTGATCCTTCCGCCTTGTCCCTGACTGAAACCCATCGTACACAACATTCTCTTCCCATTCAACTCAGCCGTCATCTTCAATCACTCCAATAGAGGTGAAACCCACTACCCTGCTTTCATTTCTGTTACTAACGTGGGAACATCAGCCCTATTAGGTATGTTTCCGTCACAGGACGGATAGAACGTGAGAATACCGTCATGGGCTGGGTTTGCAGAGTGAGACACCAGTCTTCACGAGGAGCTGATCGACCCCTTGGATTGCTTGCGGCCGAAAATGAAGGTCCCAATCGCTAGCTCGGCCCCGCAGAGTGGGCATGCATGTTTGTACGACATTGCTCTGAACCGGGACAACCCCTCAGCAACCATCGCCTTGCCCCTTCTCTTGCATCCATGGCGCATCGAAGATCGGCTGCGAACGAACAAATATATCTCTTGCTTAAATGGCACTAGTTCTACCGACAATTCCAGCCTTGGTGATGGTCTGTATCCGCGAAAGTCACTTCAGGTTCTCCGTCGCATCGCCTAAAGACCCTCGATCGTGAAAATGAGCGGGTCATCAAAAGTATTTGGTGTGGAGTAGATCTGCAACCGGAGCGATCACCTGCATCTTCGATTCGCTTACGAACCAAATAGTGGCTGCTTGGTGCAATACATAGACCCTCGCCCCTTGCCTTCCGTCCCCGTGTCAGATCCTCTCCTTCCATTCTGGTAAGCAGATTAGCATAAGACCTCATCTTCAAGGAATGTTCAGTCAATGGTGTCAACATTTTTGAGAAAATTTCACTAGGCGCTTCGTTGATCTGCTACTGTCGATCCACCTGATTCACGCAACAATGGCAATAGCAAATGAAAATACCAGTCATCATGTCGAAGCTGCAAGTTCTACCCCAGCGGATATAGTCAATTATACCCAGTGGAAGCCGGAAAAAGGACAACGGTTTATCTTCGGCTGCCTATCTCTGTTGTCTTTTATCATAGCCTTGGACACCACGATCGTGACTCCAGCCATCCCAGTAAGTGCTTCCTACAGCATTCCTACGTCTTGAGACTGATGTCCATCAGGTCCTTCAAAATTCGTTGCATGGTGACTTGGTCAAGGTCTTCTGGACAGGAACATCGTATCTTCTTGCCAGCGCTGTGTACCAACCTTTCATAGTCGACCTGTCCGATGTGTTCGGCCGCCGAATCATCCTCGCTTTGGTGACCTCCCTCTTCACTCTGGGAACGATATTGTGCTCCGTATCACATGATTTCAATCTCTTTCTCGCGGGGCGCGGCCTACAAGGACTGGGTGCGGGAGGCATCATGGCTACGTGCATCGTTATCACCACCGACATTGTGCCGTTGCGCCAACGACCTACATATTACGCAATTATCCAGATGGCATGGGCTGCGGGCAGTCTTGCTGGCCCAGTTGTTGGGGGAGCAATAGCGCAAAGTACCAGCTGGCGCTGGATCTTTTACATCAACCTCCCTTTTTGTGGAATCGGTCTAAGGTTGGTGCCTCTGACTGTGCACCTGAAAGCCGAGAGACCGAGCATCATGCAGCGATTGGTATCGATTGACTGGATAAGTGGTGTGGTTTTTATCGGTAGTCTGTGCAGCTTTCTGATTGGCATAAGCTGGGGCGGTAACCAGTTCGCTTGGTACAGCTGGCGAACTATCGTACCGATTGGTGTTGGAGGCGTGGGCGTGATTGTCGCAATCCTCTGGGAGGCCTTTTTCGCGACCCGGCCATTCATTCATGTGTCGCTTTTCGCAAACTATTCGGCACTGATCGCGTATGTTTGTACCCTTTTGCAGGGAGCAATAGTAGGCAAATCTCCCTCAAGCTGTTCTGGGCTGACTAAAGATATAGATGGCTCTTCTTTATTTCATCCCGTTATTTATGCAAATTGTCAAGGGCTTTGATGCTGTTGGAAGTGGACTGGCGCTAATGGTGGTCTTAGGAGTGATGCTGCCTGGTAGTATGGCCGCCGGCATCATGATGACGCGTCTCGTACGCCATCACTGGGCAGTTTGGACTGGCTGGACATGCTCTATTCTAGCCACGGGCTCAATGACACTGCTGAAGCAGCACACATCGGCCTCTCGCTGGGTTTTTATTTTCCTTACGCTCGGGGTCGGCCAAGGGCTCTCGCTGACGTCCCTTAATTTCGCAGTGCAGGCGCTAGCCCGGGATAATCGGGATACGTCTGCAGCAGGGATGTACACATTTATGCGGACCTTAGGGATGTGTATTGCAGTGGCAACGGGAGGCACCTTTTTCGAAAACCGAGCGGCCTATCAACTCGGTCAGGATAACCTGCTGGTGAGTGTGGCGAAAGCAGCTGCTCAATTTGCCCTAGAGCTGAGGGAACCAGGATTCTCGTCGGCTCTCAAAACTCGCTACATCCTTGCTTTTACCGAAGCCTTTAAACAGCTCTGGTTTTTCTTCATGGCCATATCGGCCCTTGCACTTGTCTTGTCGCTCTTTATACATCATTCCAGTCTGGATCGAACCCTAGAGTCCGAGCATACTTTAATCAACTCGGCCCAATCAGCCGATGAGTAACTGCTATAATGAGATGGCACTTACCACCACAGACAGCTGTTATATACCTCTGTCTGTCGCTCATAGTTGGTGTCGTCTCCAGCGCATCGCCTAGTCGCAACATAATCTTCAAGGTGACTGTATACCATTCCCCATCTAAATTCTTTGATTGCCATAACATACACATCCTAACCACCATCTATCTTCTATCAATATAAGCCGTCCATCTAATAGAATACACCCACACCCCTCCCTGACACTATACCCACCCCATCCTTCCATCCCTCTTCACAATCTAGCCACCTCCATCATCCCCTCCCTTCAACACATCAACACAAATCAACAACTTACTTCCTCTTCTCCACCTCCTCCACACCCTCTGAAACTCCATCTCCCAAAATCCTCCCCACCCCCGCAACCGGCCACGCCAACTCCCCCACCGAATCCCTCCCCACTTCACCCGAAGTAATCAAATCGATAATAGCGACGGCAATATACCCCCCGATTGCTGTGAAGACGTGCCACCTAGTTCTATTAGCCATACCCCAATCAACAACAGAAGGGAAGGGAAATGTAAGGTAAGATGAGTCCAAAGGGGTATGGGTATAGAAAGGGAACATACCACCCATGCAACTCCAACAAAAACCCCCCGGCAAACCCACCACGCCTCTCATAGAAACTAACATCCCACAGGCGAATTCATCGATTAGCCAGACGAGGTAGCCGAATATGAAACTGCCTATATCCATCCACCAGTATCAGTATCATTAGTAAAATAATCCCCGTACTAGGGTTTGATATAAAAGAGATAAATAAGTGTACTTACCGACCCCAAAAAGCGCAACCCTCCCTACCTTCCCCCTAACCCTCTCATCTTTTATCTCCACGCGAATAATCCTCAACGTCTTCACGGTAATAACCAATACCGCAGACCCGAAACTCACCGCGTGCAAAACGAACTCATCCATGAGCATATGCACGACCATTACGATAGTAAATAAGGTGAATAGAACCACCCCGGTGGTTTTTTTGCGTTGGGGCGTGGATTGAAACGTTAGGATGCGGTAGAGCAGCGGTGTGGTTAGGAGGTGCATTGAGAGTTCGTCCGCTATTCATATTTTCCAGCTCTTGTTAGGATGGAGGGTTAAAGGGGGAAAGTTGGGGTAGGGGTAGGGGACATACACATCTGAGTATGATATTTCAAAGTCATGTGATAACCCGCGGAACAAATTCCGACGCCGATGAGACCGAAGTAGGGGATGGAGCGGGGGGTGGAGTTGGGTTTCTGGTTGTGGTGGAGGTGGTAGAGGCCGTAGAGGCCATAAATCACTGGTTGATTGGTTAGTATTTGAGCAGGTGGGGGGGCATGGGTAGGGTACTGTAGGTGAAGCTGCTAAGGGTGTTGATGAACTCGGCCACGTAGCGGGTGATCACGTAGTCCTGGGTGGATGGATTAGTCACTGGGTTGGTTGGGTGAGGTCGATGGCTTACTTCTTCGCAGAAGCTGGTTGGTTGGTTAGTTTGTGTTATTGTATGGGTTTATGGAGGGGATAGGCTTACTTCAGGTATGAGGTGGGTGCACCCCAGAAGGGCGGGGATACCATGGTGGCGTGGCGGTGGTGGTTCCTGGGGATGTCGATGTTGGGAGTTGGGGAAGACGGACTGGCCATTCACTGGACTTGGCGCGGTTTAAATAGAAACTGGCCATGCCCCAGGCAGACACCCGTTCGGATCCACTGGACCCACTATGGCGGTGCTTGTGGCTGATACAAGGGATATACGGGATGGGTTTAGAGCATTGGTGGCGTGATTTCAGTGGAATCAATTGGTACAAAGTATTGGCTTCCAGGTATTGAAATGTCTTGCAACTAGTGGAAAGAGGTTTAATGGCGTGATTGATTATCCGAGGGTTCCGAACGGCACGGATTTACGAGGCAGAGGGTTTATATATCCGATGTGTCAGTGCCAGTTGATTACAAGGACTTACCGATGTACCAATTGTATACAGACTACACACTAGATCAATCATTTAACAGCAGCCATAAACTATGGTTGGAGAGAAAACTTACCTGACGATGGACCCCAAGTTGGCCGGATCAGGCAGTCATCTCAAGCCACAAACTCACCATCTCAGTCGCAGTTTCGGCATTTTAGCAACCCGTAAAGTCGTCCCCCCATACCACGAGTCCTTCTGCTTCCTCTTGCGATGCACTTTCTCATACAGCTCCTCGGCCGTATACCCATACCAATTCCTCCATTCCGTCCACATTACCTCGCCATCTGGCTGCGCGCGCAACAGCGCAATCGCTTCTTCGTTAATAACCCTCGCGCTAGCAAGGTAATGCAACGGGGTATTCAAATCGGTATCATACGCTGTAACTGACTGCGTGCCGGATGCTAGGAGGTACTGTATCAGTTTCAGCTGGGGGCCAAGCTCTGCCTCACATTCAACTTTTGTCTCGGGAGCGGATGAATAATGACATCGCAGGGCATGGATCGACTCCCGGACTTTGGATGCAAACCGTTGTCTGAGTTTGGGTAGACAGGCGATGTACAGAAGCGTTCGGCCGTAAGCGGTGGTATCGGCGTGAGAAAGAGGGACATCGCGTTCAACGCGTTTCAAAGCCGTGAGGGAATAGGCCGTGGCGAAATGGAGAATGTGGACGAGCATGAATGGCGATCGGAGGTCCAAATCAATCCGGGGGTCTTGAGCAAGTATGTCATATGCCGCTTCATCCCAAGTTTCGTTGGTCCTGTGCAGGAAGGTTGACATGAGCGGTGTGATACTTTCGCGCACGTTGCCAAGGGGAAGAGTATTTGGGCTGAATCCCCGGGCAAGCAGATGGCGTAGCATGGTATTATTACCTCTTGCTATAGCCTCGTGGACAGGAGAGGAGATGGCTAGAGCGGAAGGTCTAGGCGGTTCTGGAATTTCTGTCATCGGGGGTTCGGCCATCCAAAAGGAACAATCGGACTTGCCTGCGATGAGACGGTTCACAACGGCAGTCGATTCTTGCCAGGCTGCAAGAATCAAGGGATGGATGACGTTTTGCTGCTGGGGATCAACTCGGCGCGAGCTTTGCGTCCAGAATTCGTCTTGCCAGCGGCCTTCTTCAACCTCCTCTTCCGTGATGTGAACTGTCTGAGCAGGATACCCATTTTCATCCATAGCAGCAAGAAGCTCCGCTCGGGATCCGCTGGGGGGATGGCGAATACCATCTTCGCTCTTAGGGAGGAATCGCAGAAACTCACTCTGCTGGCGCTCATATTTAGAAAGGTCATATACATCAGGGTTGCCCCCCCCCCGCCTCAGAAGAACATCAACACTATCGGCAGAGTGGCACCGGATAGCAGCCCTGAGGGCGTCTCGGAAGAATTCAGGATCCATGGGATATCTGGGGTGCATGGTTGGGGTAAGTGACGGAAGCACGGGAGAACAGGGAGGGAAGCTCCCTTAAATAGCCGCGGCGACAGGGTCCGGCTAAGCCCGCTAGCAGGGATGCCATCCACGCTATCGCTTAGTGCGCATCCTGAATGGTGATCTCTGAGACATGGTTTAGGCTTACAAACTCGCGAGAAATCGCGTCGTTATCGTCATATATTGACGCAGTTAGCAATAACATGTGGACGATATTCGGATTGACCCGGTTTAGCGGGTTGCGGCGAGTGGGTCTTTCAGCGCGAAATCCCATCCAGCATACCGTCCACAATGAGAGGGCTGAGGAAGAAGGTATTGACCTGAATGCATACATGTATATAACGTAACACTCGCACACACATCTAAGGGAGTAAACGCATCAACAACCCTTTCTGCATAACCTGCATCCGATTCGTCATCTTAATCAAACCCACTTATCCCACAATAATCCATCTCGAACAAACACATTCTCTCTTGCTTCGCTATCGGCATCGAACTGCGGTCCCTCCACCTCAAGCAAATACCCACGTGCACATTCCTCGAACTGGACCCGAGTCATCTGCTCCACCTCGTAGAAGTGATCGTGGCGTGCATGTAACGCTTCTTTTAGTGTGGCCACGTCCCCGCCTGGATGCAGCGCCGTCCAGGGCTTAATGCATATTTGGCCCTTGCAGGATTTGAGGACAAGGAGGAGGGTGTCCAGACGAGGGGTGAGCTTGGGTAGGGGGATGTTTAGGATTGTGTGGGGAGTTGGCGTAGTGGAAGCGTCGGTGGATAAGAGGTTGTGGAGTTGGTAGGGATCGGTCTGGTTATGTTAAATCTGGATGTACATATGGGAAGGGATAGGTACGGTCATATCATATAGTTCGTGTTCGTTGTTACACCATACTGAGTAGTAGAGGTTATATCCCTTTCCTTTGATCCGGAGGGCTTTGTAGGTGTTGTTGTATGCGGATAGATCGACTGTTCGATCATGTTTTGTTAGGGCAATAATAAAATGGAGGGAGGGGGTACGTACAGTCGTATATTCCCTCTCCTGCAGCAAACCCCCAATATTCCACTGTCACATGTTCCTGTCTCTCCCCCTGCGCGGCCTCCATCTGCCTCCGTGTCAGAGGGATCGGATCCCCGTCAAAGTCATCTCGCAGCGGGATGCCCAATAACTGAAGGAAGGTGGGAGCCAAATCAGTATGTGTGGTGACGATATCTGTAGATGTATTCTCAGCAATCCCAGGGCCGCGGACAACCAAAGGAACGTTGATATCCTCCTCGTATCCACACGACTTGCCCGGCTGAAGTCGGTGCTGGCCGATGTGGTAGCCATTGTCGCTGCTGTAGACAATATACGTGTTGTCCAGGAGATTGTATTGATGCAAGCGGGTAAAGAGACCATCGACCATATCATCAACAGCTTGGAGCGCGCGTATACGCATACGGTAGAAGTGATCGTTGTACTCGACATTCGTCTCGTTTTGACGCTTCAAGGTCTTGATCCAGTTGGCTCCAGATGGGTACTCTGGATTGAATGACGGGGTGCGGGGGACTTGTATACCCTTGAATAGATGCTCGTGTCGCTTGGCGGGGATAGGTGCGCTGAAGCTAAAAACAGGGTTTTCGTCGAGCCCGGTTCCGTTCATAAATACATTGCAATGAGGCGCGACGGGAGCTATAGTGAGAAAGAAAGGTTTCTGGGCAGCAACGGCTTCATCGAGGAGGCGATATGCCTTTTGCGCGAGAACATCCGTACTGTATTCGCCTTCGTAGCTCTGGGGTGCTTCGCCGTCTCGTTGAAAGGTACTGTTGAGGTAGTCGTATGTGAATGGGTCGAGGAGGAAGTCCTGTGCTGGTCAGCATTGCATAAATCGCCTGGATACTATGGTACCCACATGGCCGGTAAATCCGGCTGGGAATGGGGCATTGTAGTTGTCAACTGTGTGAACGTTGAACAGCTTGCCGGTGTAATAAGTGTTGTAGTGCGCTTCCTGTAGCCATACAGGAAGGTAATTCTCGTTGAACCCTTGCGAGATGAATTTGGGATATCCACCTTATCATGTTAGCTGTCTAAGGTGTCATTGACATTTGTGGCTCACCATATGGAGGATTGACATCGGTGACATTTGTGTTGTGTGCCAGCTTCCCCGTCCAGAGCGTCACACGCGATGGACAACAGACGCTGGTTGTGCAATAGTGGCTGCGATAATGAGTGCCTTTGTCGATAAGGTGTTTTTTGACATACGGCATATAATCCAGAGAGTCGAGATGAGCATCCTGATCGTCGGTCAGGATGAAGATAACATTGGGTTTGGTGTGTGCAGCAAGTGGCAGCTGCGGCAGTGACTTGGTAGCTGCAAAGCCAGCCAGTGTGAGAAAACACACCAGGTTACGCATATTGGCAGTATCATACCATCGGGAGATTGATGTCAGATCATGGATGTCGTCGGCACGGTGCTGGCCAGGATTGCTTATTAACCCCGCATATAACGCAATCCTATCTACCCGAGGCATACGTCATCTTGCAGCGGTTGAGATATATATAGCTGAAGCCCAGGTGGCCAATATAAACCACAGAAACGAGGTCCCAAACCCCGATGAAAAAAAAAAGAATAAACAAATCATTGTATTTATGGATCCAGACCCCTTTATATGATGCTATATTTTATTTTGTATTAGTAAAATACTTCTTTTGCTCATGGAGACAATTCCACGGCATATTTGAAACAGAAAGTTTATACAAGAGAACAGCCCAAGTCAATTGTAGGTACGGCCCGTGACTACAGGGCCTCAAAGGAGAGAAGTCACAAGACTATTGGCAAGTTAGTATGTCACACTCGATTTCAAGTCATTAAATACATCGAGATACTGTACCTTTACATGTCTCTTGGACTTCAATCCAATTCATAATTATTTTAAGCACTTTGCTAGGAATACTTCTCTCCCGACGGACCCGGAGTTGAAGCCAGAAATTCATAGAGGCGAGAAAGCTCTTCCAGCATTTGGAGCTGCTCATAAGCTACCCTGTCGATATCATCTAGAGCCGGCAGCAGACTAAAGTCGTCGGGGAGGTCCTTGTCTTTGTATGCAGATATCTGCTCGGATGTTATATCGACAAGAAACATGATTCTCTCGCAAATATCTGTGATCTGTGCTTTTCTCTCTTAGCAACGCTTCGCAAAAGTGGTGGGACATATACCTTGAAGAGGGAAGAACATATCTTGCCATATTCAGCAACTGAAGGGTCGGGTGTTGGAGGGTTCTGAACAAGATGCATGATCATTGTAGATTGGATGCTACTCCGTACAATGTGCAATGATGGCTTAAGGGGGGAAACAGAGACACGAGCCTTGGTTGTGTTGGAGCCCAGGGAAACACTGGGTTTTAAGCAAATGGCTTAGAGTTTGTTACGGATCCCTTTCTGGCAAAGTGGGGAATCTTTTCGGTCGGTTGGAGCTACGTCTCGCCCATGCGATGCAAAGTATGTGGTAGACACTACCATACACAGGATGTAGGGAGTGGAAAACACATGGCAGCATCGTGATCATCGCTGTACAAAGATCTCCGAAGGAAGCTAAGAAGGCAACTAATTATGGCGAGTAGTAAGCTCCATAGTATGCTTGATTTTCTCTATTGTATGCAAATCATCAGCTAGACCCCCATGGCCAAGCTTTTTGGTTCGTAGATTGAGTTTGCGGGCGCCATATAATGCTGAACGTATATAATGTTGCGAAGCGCCAAGGAATCAAAGCCATCAATATTAACGAAATCGACTGCAATAAGACCAGGATGAGCAATCTCTTACAGGAAGATTCTAGACTTCTCGGCCACTTGGTGCTGCTTATGCCAATTTATGCAGAAGATGCGAAAGCCCTCATCACATGACCTCAGGTTGCTCTCCTATTGGCGGACGAGGCTATCCGTCCAATGGATTTGGGTGGCAACGATCGGCGATCGGCCATTTGCCAAGCCAGTGAGTTATCAGCGGTCTCTAGGTACTGCAGAGGTACTCCGTCCTACTAGTACTATACTGGTAGTAGTCCCTACTACTTGCGTGTACTTAGGTAGTACCCGCTCCGTCTGTACCACTCGATCTCGCGTCGTCCCTGCTCCGAACTTACGCCGGCCAATCTCCGTCAACGTGCCCGGAAAAGATATCCATAGAGGGGGACCAGCAAGTTTAGTCGCTTTCTCCTGATTTACCTCGAGAGTGTCCTTGTTTGACATGAATTACTATCCATGGACTGGACACTGCCATCAGGTCCGACTGGCTGGCCATGATGCGGACCCGCGTCCCAGCCTATATCACTGGTCTAGCATTAGCGGTGTTAGTATGCATTAGGTACAGGGCAAAATGCTACATTGTTCTTTCCCCTTCTTCAGCTCATCTCCGCTTACAGATTTTGTGGGTAGGTCGGATGTGTTCAACACAGTGTGTACTTCTTCCATTGAGCCACTGGCCTATATGAACTGACTTGAATATTCCTTTTCCATGGATATCCTGCAACACATCCATCCAAACCATTTTAATGTCTACAGAAAGTCGCCTCAGTCGCGCCAGGGCCAAAGTGACAGCATTTGTCAACTTCAACCGTCAGAAACGCATGCAACTACAAGCGAAATGTCCACCATCTGAGCGTTGCCTCATCCTCGAGTTACCCACAGAGATATTAGTCGAGATCATCAGTCATCTATCCGTGCTGCCAGAAGCGTGTCTCGCCCTGACCTGTAAACGGTTATTTTCCCTATGTGCGACCAGTCTAAGTTCGACACAATTACGCTTCCCCGGGGATCTTGCACCCCGGTTTCACCACGAGAACAATTACAACTTTCTGACTCCTAGATGGCAATTCGCCAAGCTACTGGAAGGCAAACGGTGGCAAGTCTGCTCTCGATGCTTGAGGTTGCATCCACGGGCCTCGTACACGTCGAAGCAATTGAAACGCATGGCGGAAGATCGTTGTTGTGGTCTCGGGGATCTTGGAGGCCTCGTCGATGTATGTCCGTGCAAGAAAATGACCTTTCGGGATACAATCGATTTGATTGAACTTTTGAAAATACGAGAACGCTCCGTAGGAGCTCTGGGAACCCAGTTTGGATTGCATGTTCAGGAGCGCTTTCCCTGGCATTCTTGCTATCAGAGCTACGGAACAACCACGCTGCGCATCGAGATTTCCCCGGAACTAAACGATGCACATCAACTGAAGATCACCACTTCTTACAAGCTGTCTGTTGAGTCTGGGCAGCTGGGAAAGAATGGTCATTTGACCTGGCGCCTGGGATGCGCACACCGAACAATCGACTTATGGCTGGCTAGTGTCTGTCAAGCTGGTGTTTTGAATCTTTACCACAGTGCCTGTGACTTATATAGGCAAATTCAAACCTGCAGCATCTGTGAGACAACGCTGGTGTTTCCTCGCGGACACCCACTTCATGTCAAGTCAGACCCTGAAAAGGATTTGTATGTGTTCCGGACTGAAAGGCTTCTGGGGGGATCAGCACCTGTTCTAAGTCATGCATGGACTGTTCAGAGGATTCATCCCACACAATACCAGGATGATACAAGGGAGAGTGGACTGTTCTTCAGCACTAGTCACTCTTTCACCTTGGGGTCTGACAATGAGTAGGTATGAGGCATATTAAGCTACCTTTGCTGCACGGATCACTTGCATTGCACAGTTATTACAGACGCATGATGATTGCCAGGGAGTAGTGCAAACCATAGCTTATCAAAGAAATGGAATTCCTTGTGGGAAAATACTTCCGAGCCAATAGCCATCTTTTCCATGGCTCCTTCCCATCGGAAAGCATCATTCTGTTGGAGCGAATGGGCAAACTACATCCTACCGTTCAAGGGCCGCAGGTACTTATAACTACCCAAGGGCATGCCCTTCTTCCTTCTGGCTTAGATACTGGCAGTAGGCATGGAATAAGACAGCTCCTCCAGCTGAGACCAGCACGTCAGGTGATGATTAGTCATCCATCGGAGGCCCCTAACATGGCCGCCCTATTCGGCCGCCGTCGATCGTGACGCATCGACCACCAACTAAAGGCGTCAATCAATCCAGGTTTCCAATCCCGACTCCCCGCCCCGAGCCCACTCCTTAGCCCTTGCCTTTCACCGATGCAATGCGTTCGAGTAAGATCTTGATCCCCCGAGCGCAACATTTGACCACAATTTCGAGCTCTCGATCCCGCTCAGTCCAGGCCTGTGATCTGTGTCGAAAACGCAAGGCCAAGTGCAATAGGGCCAAGCCATGCCTCTACTGTGAAGGGCTGGGCCTGGAATGCACGTATACCGAGGTGAAACGGCCTAGGGAGGTGGACCAGTTGCGGAGCCGAATTAATCGCCTTGAGCGCGTGATCAAGCCCATCTTGTCCCGAGCAAATCCCACATCATCCGTAGTACTTGCGGAGCGTCCAGATGTGAGTCAAATAGCAAGTAGAAACACGGCTTGCCATTACTGGCCGATATCTGCTAGAAGATCCACGCGCTAACAGGATCTCGCACGGAGTATAAAGGCTCCGAGTAGCCTGCTACGGCAGAATTCTCCAGGGAATCTATACAGTGCGCTGGGACAGGTGGACCATGAACTCAGCGATCTGCATCATATCTACCAAGCTATCCAGGAATGCGATGTGGATATACTGCCAGAGGTGGTAAACACAATCCGTTACAGTGCATCAGTGCATGATGCCGCCACCCGTCTGGGTAGACAGTTGCCATCACATCAAGCCCCTATGACCCTCGAAAGAATGCAGCAGGTCTGGCTGACTCGGATGTCCGGTCAAGTCGAGACGATCGAGCAACAGCCGCCATATAGCGTCCTTACAACCAATTTATGGTCGACGTTGGTTTCGGATGCCACTGCTTCGCATTTGTTCCCACTTTACTTTGCTTGGGACAATCCTACCTGGCGGGTTATTGAGCCTAGCCTCTTTTTCAAAAGCTTTGCTACTTGAGATACTACTTTCTGCTCCTCTATGCTGGTCCACACCATCCTTTTCTACGCCTGTGCAAGTACCTCATTTCGCTGGTGGTATCTTTTCTAACAAATATAGCACTTTTCGTACGACCTCGAGAAACCCTGGGACCGTCGGAAAGAGATAGGTACCGCAAAACAGCTTTTCCGAGTGATCGAGAAACTTTGGGCTCGCGAGAAGACCCGAATCTGCATCCCTACCAAAGGACAAGGTTGGCGCTCGTTATTTCCAATACGGCGCATTGATGGGTTTACAGCTAGGTCTACATACTTCGTCGGCGAGAGTTCTTCGCGATAACCCGCAGGCGCATAAAGCCATTGCCTGTGCGGTCTACGATATGGAGTTGTGAGTTGTACTCCACTATCCTTGGGAACATTGCTAAATGTTCGCAGAATGTCAGTGCAAATACTAAAAATGCCCTCGGTGTGGCCGGGCCCGCCGGAAGTATTCCTGGACGAAGACGAAGCATTTGCTGCCGATCTCAACGAACAGTGGACCCCATATCCTTTCACAATTCCCGTTTACCGACCATATACGAACACTAGAAGCTGGGCCCGTCGAAATCTTCTCATCATCGTAAATGACATGGTCAAGCTATCATTCACTTTGGGTAATCTGACCGACCTGGACGACTGGCAGAGGGGAACCGCCTGCTACACGAGATTTGATACTTTTAAACAGGCTCCCCCGGCCGTACTGGACGTTGAAACAAACAAATCACCGCATAATATATGTCTACAGTGCTTTTACCCTCTCATTGTATAATTCACACAATAACAGCCGTAGCCTATACTACCACGCGACGGTCGTCAACCTCTGCGGCCCATTCATCTCCCGCCGAAGTAATATTTCTAAAAAATCACTAGCTGCCTTCACCAATTTCGACCCACGCAAAATTCTAGGGGAAACAATGGACTCAATGGGGGCCCTGGTCCTGATTTACCGTGCTTGTCATGGCTGGAAATCCGTCCCCGTGGCCATGAGTCATTATTTCTTCATGGCGGGTATCCATGCAGCCTCACATTTAGAACTTTCCAGATGGCGTGAGATTCTGGTCACCTGCGTCGCAGGTCTCTGGCATATGAGTCTGACGTGGCGACTCTCTCGGGCTTTCTTGCGGACGATAGAGCTGGTGCTCAATTCGAGTGCGGATGCCACATATATTCCCAAACAGGTACAATCTATTTTGAGAGAGCATCACGAGAAGGTTTGGACTCGGGTTGAAGTTGATGGGCTGGGGGCCAATTATGTCGTTCATCATTATCTCAACTTGGAACTCGAGGCGGGGAGCGGCAATGGCCCTTTTCATGGAGAGAGTCTGGAAACGGTCATTCGGGCGTTTGATAGATTGGGTACGGATTATAGTGAAGTATAACGATCTGCTAGGCATGCATTTGATGGCTATCATCACTTACTCGTGCCAGAGTGATGTTACTCTCGCCCTCTCTACTTTCATCCTGGTAGATGTATACCCCTACGCGAAGGGTCAACCCTATCTCGCGAAGCACACCATCGACGGTCGCAATTAGCAACCCACCGCTCTACACCCCACGTGGCTCTCCTCTATCTACTACTGTTATTCAATGCCCAACTACCAGCCTCCTAGGCCTTCATCTATCCGGTATGTATACAACCCAACTAACAAGTGCGACTGGTATACGCACCCACTTATATCGGACAGCCCCGCCGGCATTCAACAACCAGGTCCCATAGCTCAGTTGGTTAGAGCGTAACGCTAATAACGTTAAAGTCGAGGGTTCGAGCCCCTCTGGGACCATCTTTTTGTGGTTTTGATTTTTGTTCTTGTTCCTCGGGAGGAGGTCGGGTCCACTTTACTACTAGTGGTGCCATACTCTCTGCTCTATGTTTAATTATTTTATGCTAGTAGGTACTGCTTTTGGACTTGTGTCTCCTTATCATCTGTTTCCACCTATGTATATGTATGTATAGGATCTTTCAAGGCAACCGATCCAACCCAGTCCCTTTCTTCAATACCCAGTCCTAAATCCAAGGATATTAATTAGCAACCACCTAGTAAACCCACTTCCCAGGAAATAACACCGAAAGAAAAATAACTCACCAAAACCCCCACAGGCACAATCCCACCCATAACCCTAACAACCCACGCCATCGACCCCCGCCATACCGGCCCCGTCGCCCCCCGCAAAATATCCCTAACAACCTCCCGAGCAAATTCCCCCGGCGGGGTCTTGTTCCGTATGTCTTTTCCAACCCCCCGGGTCTGGATCTCAGGAAGGGCTTTCTGGTAGAGTGAGTTCTCGGGGAGGGATATGTTGGTATGTGACATGATGTTTGTGGCGATGGTCCCGGTGACTAGGGATATAACCCGGATATTGAATGGTTGGAGTTCGAGTCGCAGGGTTTCGCTCCATGAGTAGAGGGCTGATTTGGTGGCGTTGTAGGTACCTGTTTAGATTATTATTCGGATTGGGTTTCTGGAGGGGGGGGTGTATCGGGTGGGATGGAATCGGGGACGTACTCATCCATGGTGCGTATAGGAAGCCTGAAATAGAACACACGTTCACGATGGTACTTCCTTCATTCTTAGTATGTAAAAGAAGAGGGATAAAAGCCTGTGCAACGGCGATAACGCCCCAGAAGTTAACCTCGAATAGACGCTTTGATTCATCTATTGGTGTGTCCAGGGCGGGGGCGACGAGGGATTGTCCGGCGTTGTTGATTAGGAGGGTGAGGGTGTCGTTGTGGGAAGTTAAATCCTGGTGGATGGTGTTTACTGCCCCGGTGATGCTGGTTTTGTTGGTGACGTCGAGAGGGATGAGGGTTACGTTGGGCAGGGCGGATAGGTGGTTCATTTTTGTTGTGGATCGGGCGGTGGCGTAGATTTTGAAGCCCTGGGCGTGGAGTTCCGTGACGAGGGCTGAGCCGATGCCCCCGGCGCTGCAGCCGGTTATGAGGGCACAGGGGGGCATGCTTGGGGTGGGAGGGGGAGATGGGGGTGGAGGGCTAGAAAGTTAGAGAGGAGGGCATGTTGGATGTGGGGTAAGGTGGTTCTAATATAGCTATTAGTAGATATTGTCTCTTTCACTCCTTAGCAAGGTGATACAACTAGTAGTTATCTACTGGGGTCGGGCAGGTCCTGGAGGATTGTTGTACGGCGTTGATTCGACCCAGCCAATAAGGTGGATGAGTATACGAGCGGGCCCATCGGCAATTAGATCTGGGTACTATTCCATCCCTGGTCTAGATCGTGGACTATCAGACTTAGTGGTCGTAGCCAGTAATCACTGATTGTACCATACTGGCCCCGATCGTCTATTGGAATTTACTCTGTATGCGAAATGCCTATGCTGCCCTGTCTTATGGAATTATAGAATATCCAGACGTTGTTTCATCGACTGCACTACTAGACCGTTATATAGTTGAAGTGGATCAATAGAAGGAACTACGGGCATAGTCTCACCGTCACGTACAGATAACTCTGAGACGGTTCGAATGCGGTTCAGCCAGCTGCTACTAACTAAAACAACCTCTAAAAAGGTTACGGAATGGTGTCTATCAATCATAAATGGAGATGGTGTCTATATTAAGGGAGCAAAAAATAGATGCTCAACCTCGGGATCGAACCGAGGACCTTCTGTGTGTAAGACAGACGCCTTAACCGCTGGGCCAGTCGAGCTTTCCATCGCAAGGCGATAAGTCTTTATCATACCTATGCAACAAACTTAGTTTCATATATCAATTGGATTTTTCGACATTAGATCAAAGGGCTCGTCATATGACTATTTTCCCCTTTATGCTGATACACTGACCCAGAAGATAGGTGCTCAGTCAAGTCCACTTCAGAGGGTTGACCTTCTCTCCACATTCTATGGTTGGATGTCCTAGCCTTCCTATAAACGTTACCTATGTTGTCAGCCTTTTAATACTCAACACCCTCTCAGATTGTTTAAGACTTTATTCCTTTGTGATTTTGTGAATAAAAGCGATCCTTCGAAGAATCAGACCACTACAACCACCCAAATTCCCGCGGGCGTGCGCTGACCGAGCCAGTCCTTTCGCCACCTGCCTCTTTTTCCCATGGAGTAGGTATACGTAGTTGGATTATCTACATATTCAGGTTTTGAAATCATAGATACCGGCCTTGAGGTCAGTCCCGGGGCTCAACTGGTGGGTCAGTTGACTCGCATCGGCCCCCATCTCGACCCCGACATTGATAATCCGTACCCATGGTGTATTGGGCTGAAACATTGCGTATAACGAGCATCTGTTTCAAAGCTGTTATAAATACCGTCGAGATGAAACAAGGGGTGAAGCATAGGATGGGGTAAAGCACAGACCAGTCTATTTAAGTACAAAGCCAGGAAGCCCGCAGAGGTGCACCCTCCAAAGCATATGCGCTTGCTCTAGATCCACTCTATCAGTCTCAATATCCGCTGAGAGAAATGGTTAGTCTCAGGGACAAAACTTCTTATCGGAGCGTGCAATTTCCCATGCATAAGCGTTTTGATTCTTACCTTATCAAACAATCGACTTGTCCTACACCATGACTCTAGTGCTCAATTACAGCTAGGTATGGTGTTCGAAGAGCCGAGCGGGATATCTAGTCTATATAGATGTGCTTAAAGAGGAAATCTCTACAACAACTGACTTATCACGACCCTGTGTGAGAATGAGGCGGATAATCATATGGAAATCAATAGCACCAGGTACAAATAATAATTACGACGAAAAGGGAAAATTGTTTCCCCCCTTGGACTAGTGAATGAAACCCATCAAGGACAATCAAAGTTTTGCAATGAATAAACTGCTAAATGATGCCTTATGTAAGCTCGGGGTTGAGCTCAACCCCGAGAGTGGGGCCATTACCAATGCCGTGCCGATGGCAGCACAATGATTGGCTGAGCCATGAGTTCAGGAATTAAAGTCCATGGTGTGACAGAAGGTAGCATCGATAGCATGAATTTTCTGCAACCGTTGGTTGATAAGCTAATCTATGATCTGGTGAACTCGGGTGGCGAGGGTTCCGAATACTCTATTTAATGAGCGTAGCACCTCGTGAAATCTGCCACTTCACTAAGCTCATTCACGTCCTTTTCACCCACAATCAAAATGACAAAGACCATTCTAGTCGTCGGTGCCACCGGCAAGCAGGGCGGCAGTGTCGTTAATGCCCTGCTCAGCCAAGAAGCAGGTGTTGAGATTCTCGCCTTGACCCGTGACCCCAGCTCCAACAGCGCGCAGCGACTCGTCAAAAAGTCGGACAAAATCAAAGTCATTGGGGGAAATCTTGATGACGCCGATGCCATCTTCCGGAATGCTCAGAAGGCCACTTCGCAACCTATTTGGGGAGTATTCAGTGTGACGGTATGCCCTGGCCCTCCCTAGCTTTGTGAATGTATGCATTACTAACGACTATCAAGACCGTCGTCCCCGGTAGTTCTACGCATGACGCCGAAGAGAAACAGGGCAACAACTTAGTCGACGCTGCTCTGAAGAACAATGTCAAGTACTTCGTCTACACCTCTGTTGATCGCGGTGGTGATGCCTCCTTTGACCAGCCGACCCGCATTCCTCATTTCATCACCAAACACAACGTCGAACACCACCTCGTCAACAAGGCCAAAGGCACCGACATGGAATGGACCATTCTCCGCCCAACAGCCTTCTTCGACAACTTCACGCCCGACTTCTTCGGAAAGGTGTTTACCACGTGCTGGAAGATCTCCGTTCGGGATAAGCCGTTGCAGCTGATTACTGCTTCGGATATCGGGTATTTCGGTGCCCAGGCGTTTCTGAATCCGGAGGAGTATAGTGGGAAGTGCGTCTCGTTGGCTGGGGACAGTCTGACTTTTGAGGAGATGGCGAGGATCTTCAAGCAAAAGACAGGGAAGAATGTTCCCATGACGTTTGGCATTGTCGGCCGCTTAATCATGTGGATGATGAAGGACATGGGCTATATGTTTCAGTGGTTTCATGATTCCGGGTATGACGCTGACATTCCGGCCCTGAAGCGGGCTCATCCGGGTCTCAAGGACTTTGGTGCTTGGTTGGAGACGGAGAGTGGGTTTATGAAGGCGTGATACCTTTTTTTTCATTTCATCCAATATTTCGGTTCTTTGTACATTATTAAATACTTAATACTTTTACAATTGCCATATTTACAGCCTTATCGGAGTTTCTAGTCCCTAACGTATCTACATATACATTGTTCGAGGCCTCAGGCCCTGATTCACACCTCAGGCAGACATATATCTAAAGGCGGTGAAGCTTCTACCGACAGGGAGCTCCCCTCACCGAAATGGCAGGCGGAGAGTGATCTTGACTTGGTTGTAGCGCCTTTGTTCCACCTTGTTACTCTTCCTTGCAAGTTGCAATCCAACAGCTGCCCAGAGGTCCCAGACGATGGATTATCCGTATACCCTGGAAAAAATGTCGAGAACTCATCACGCTTCGTTCGTAAGGGACAACCAGTTGGCCAAGAGCTGATCACGCCCACCTCTGCTAAAATCCGATAAACTGATGACACTGCTTACCTTCCTGGGTAGTCATCATTCGTTACACGTCAGCACTGCTGGTTACATATCCATCTCTTTCTTAATTCTCAGTATTTAAATTTTCCTTTCTTGCCTTCGGACAAATGCTGCGGAATAACCCCGCAGCCGTGCTTACAGCTTTCCCCGATTCAGTAAGCGTGCACGGACGGTGTCGTGATTCAGCCGAACATCTGGAGGGGAAGCCAGGCTAGATGATGCCAAATCATCCGGTTGACTTCATCCATTGGATACTTCTTCTCTGAACACTAGTCCAGTACACATATTATGCTCTGCAAAATTTGTAAAGAAGGGTTGGAAGGCATCTGGGATCCGAACAAGACCAAGCGGCTAAAGCTTACCAATAATGCTGATCAATATGGTCCTGGTACGACCTGCTATTGAAGCCCCTGTACTCTTGATTTTAACTCATGCATCGGTCAATATGAAGGGCTTGAACCAGAAAAGTACCTGTTCGCTCATCATCTCACCAGAGAATCTTTCCTGGCATCTATCGAACAAGGATGTGTCATGTGTTGCAGATTCTCGCCATCGCATCACACAGGGGAGCCGGATCCATTATTACGGGATGTGGAATATTTCTCGGCTTTCGATATTTATTTGAAACCCGGCCGGGTGATCATGTCTGTGTATTATCTCAATTCGTCGGGTGGTTTTGAGTTGATTCCGCAGGAAGGTACTTAGTCTTTGCTCCGCGAGTGAAGAGTCACTGACATTGCTTCTTAGGACTGGATGAAGATCTGAATCTCGAGCTTGGGACTTCCACTGGGGATGAAACGACTTGGGCATTGATTGACCGATGGATCAGTCGGTGTATTCAGACACATACAGCCTGTAACAATCATGTAGGGAAGAACTTTCTTCCCAGCCGCCTTCTTGAACTGGAAACCGCGGGAAATGAGAGACTGTTCCGCGTCGTCGAAAGGCACCAGGTCGAACCCGGGGAGCGCTACATAACTTTAAGCCACTGCTGGGGTGGCAATCCATCCAACAATGCGCTAATCTTACGGGATGACACTTTCCACTCTCTCTCGAAATACCAACCACTCTCAACTCTGCCAAAAACTTTCCGAGATGCCTTTTCCATCATCGAGAGGCTCAATGTCAGGTACCTTTGGATCGACCGTCTCTGCATCTTCCAAGACTCTCGTCAAGACTGGCAGAGAGAATCTGCATTGATGGGTGAAGTCTACCAGAACTCCTTGCTTTCAATCTCTGCGCTAGGCTCTAGCAATGATGACGGCGGGTGCTTCTTCCCCCGCGACCCGGCTGCAGTTGCCCCCACCATTGTCAACCTCTGCCTCGACAATCCAAGCAATCCCCAGCCGTATCGCTTCTCCCTGGAGAAAGGATGGGCTTGGAGACTACTATTCGACCCGGAGCCTCTGCCAAGGAGAGGATGGACCTTACAGGAACGCCTTCTATCCCCGCGCGTTCTGCACTTTGGCAGGAAACAGGTCTTCTGGGAGTGTAGAGAGTGTGCATGTTGCGAGATACATCCAAACAGCGTGTATGTGTATGGTGATGAGGATGAAGAGTCTGCCAGCGAGCCGCTGTCCACGGCCAAACACCAACACGTCTGGAAGCAACTTCTGGATGCTCCCGATCGACTTCATTCTGACGATCCCATCGAACAGATCTATGTTGATTGGTATGCAATCCTCGATACCTACTCTGCTTGTCGGCTCACGGTTCCCACGGATAAGCTTGTTGCAATTTCCGGTCTAGCAAAGGGGGTGAAAAGACGTCTTGCAGAGATAGGGTGCGAGGACACTTACCTCGCTGGAGTATGGCGTCATGAGTTACCAAGAGCTTTGAACTGGAACATTCAGGGGTCCAGCCGGAGACCTCCTTCGTGTCGGGCCCCTTCTTGGTCCTGGGCATCTGTGGATGGTGTCGTCAATATGCACGCGCGATACTGTCGGGATTCCCAGGATAGTACAACTCTCCTATTTGTGACTGTCATCGATGCCGAATGCTCTCAGTGTACTGAGGATGAGACCGGTCAAGTCAGTGGGGGAACGGTCACATTAAAGGGGCCTCTTGCGACTGCGACACTTGTTCCGATTCATCGACGATATGTTCGCTTGGAAAGTCTCATGGCTATGCAGACCCTGGCGAGCATTAAAGTAGGAGACGATGAGCCTGTGGTAAAGACGCCCAAAGAGAACAGTTATGGTGAATCATGGGAGGTGATATTCGATGTGAAGGATGAAATGTGCGACGAGATCTATTGCTTGCCAATTGAAGGTCAGCATTTCGATGAGGACACCTGGGTTGTTAATGGATTGGCTCTGTCAAGAACTAGCCGAGACAGTTATGTCCGTGTTGGTTGCGTTTTCCTGTATGTTGAGAACGAGCAGGCTGCCAGGGATCTGTTTGCTGGGTTTTCAGAGGTGACGTGCATTCTTGAATGATTCCTCGTCATGTTAGCTTCCTTGGTGAATGTTACCTCGTATCATTCTCGTTCAATCTCATACATTATCCACCTCACCATGTTCACAAAAGCAAATGTATTGCAGAGTGGTTCAGATCCATGGCATGTCACGGCAGATGGAGCGGGGTAATCGGCAGATAAATGACAGGTTCGGCAGATTCGATGCGGGGTGGACTCGTTCAAAAAATCAACATATGCCTTCGTCTGTACTCCGTCCATACTTTGTGTCTTGCTTTACATTCCACTGCCCTAACTTTGTTCGTCGACTCAATGGGTCTCAACCAGGTGAGACAATCCATAGCACCATGCTTAGCCATGCTCGACAAATGCCTAAACTGCCCCTATAGTATGTGTTGTCATAATCATTCAACCAGCCTGAGCGAACGCCACCAACTCACTGGCTAGCTAGCCGGCTAAACAATGGTAATTTCTAGCGACCCGCCACTGATAATTCGTCAAGTATACCCAACACCAAGAAATCCACAGGCCCCTGCACAAGACAACCCGGACATCCCCGTACGCACCTACCTAGTAACCCGTGTCAATGCGGATACAACAAGCAGGGGATACCATGTAGCATGGGGAAATTATATCCGATGGCTGACTGGATATCTGACACTACTGACGGGTATGTTTCTACGATAATTAAACCCTGGATTTTATCTGAATCAATGCATATACCATTGCCTATAACCTACAATGAATGCTTGGGAGGCTAGCTGAAGATGCGGGGTGAGCCAAGAATGTGGCTGGTTCAGCTACGCCACTAAGTAATATTGGTGGAGCTGAAGCGCCACTACAACTGAAGGCAACCAGGATATCACGCTGATTTGATCATCAGGAGAGATTTTAGTTAGAGGCAAGACTATCGATCGATCGAGATCGTGCGAAGCAACTGACTCAGTGTCCATGGACACATAAAAGCAGAGTATGCCCGGCCTCTGTAGGATGGGGACCAGCAGACTTCAACAATGGATATCCACGATAAGTATGTCTTTGGACGAGATGAGGTAGAGTCAAAGCGGTATACTCCTAACCCTACCTACCTACCTTATCATATAATCCTCTGACATGACATCCAGCCTCGATCTCCAACACAAACTCCTCGTCAAAGTATCCGCAAATACCCTCATCCACCCCACAATCCCAACAGAGAACATCCATGCAATTGCAGATATAGCCACCGGAACTGGGTACGCCACTTCTCCCTCACCCAATTCATCAGACTAATGAAACGTACTTCTGGACAGAATCTGGCTCGAAGACGTCTCCCAATTCCTAAACCTAACCACCCCACACATCCAACGCTACTACCACGGCTTTGACATCTCGTCTGAACAATTCCCCACCTCCAATCCGGAATCCATCCACCTATCTATCCATGACTTGACGGTGCCGTTTCCAACAGAACACCATAATCGGTATGACCTCGTCCATGTACGTCTTCTGGTTGCTGCTCTGGAGGAATCGGAATATAGAGTCGCGATTACAAATATTTATGATATCCTGAGTATACCTACCCCCCCTTTACCCCCAGACATCTACTAAGACTACCATAGAACCAGGCGGCCACCTCCAATGGGAAGAACTCGACTCCGAAACCTACCTCACCAAAGACAACAACCCCGTAATCGAAGAACTCTACCGGTGCTTCGACTACGGGTTCCGCGCCGAGGGGAAATGTTTCTCTGCTTCTGCGAAAGTCTACGAGGAGAGTAAAATGGTGGGCTTTGTGGATGTTGAGAGAGTGGTGTATGATTCTCAGAGGTTTCCGGAGCTGCGTGAGGATACGGAGAAGAGGTTGGTTGCTATTATTAGGTCGTTGTATGTGAGACTTTTGGTTAGGTCGGGGCAGGTAGGTAGTGAGGAAATTGCGAGGGGGAGGGCGGAGGAGTTGGTCGTTAGGCTTGGGGGGCTTTGTGAGGGGGGATTAGCGTCGCCGGGGGTGAAGTTGATGAGGGTTTTGGGGAGGAGGCCTTTGGAGAGTTTACCTTGAGGGGTGGAGGAGGTGTTGTATTGCAGTGCTTATAGTCGTTTGGAGATCAGGGTGTGGGTTTGTATGCCATCCGGGAATGTCCTTTGGATAATTTGATTAATATCGATCTATATTCAATATCTAACTTCACTCCACACAATAATCCACACCTCTCTCAATCTCCCCTCACCCTATCTACCCAATCATCTAGTCTATACTAAGTATAGACCGATTACTGAGCAGCAGTGCACTGGTAGTAGTAATCGTTGTAGTGCGTGCAAACAGCCCCGCTCTCACAAGTGGTAGGTCCAGTGTGACCGATACCACCGCAGCGCTCGTACAGCTTGGCAACACCGGCGCTGGAAGAAGAGGCAGCGGAAGCAGAGGCGACGCTGGAAGTAGCGACGACAGGAGCGGTAGTAGCAACAACAGGAGCAGTAGTAGCGGCAGCAGAAGAAACAACCTTGGACTTGGACTTGGTGCCCTTGGACTTGGCACGGCAGGCGGTGGCAGACGCCTTGGAGGTGGCCTTGACGGTGGCGAAAGTGGTGGGGGTGTTGGCCTGGGTGGTGATCTGGGCGGCGGCGGTGGTAGCAGCGGCGGTGGAGGAGGAAGAGGAGGAAGAGGAGACCTCGACGGCGGCCTTGGTGGAGGGGGTAGAGGCGACGGTGGAGGTCGAGGAGGTGGCGGCCATGGAGGCAGCAGCCGAGGAAGAAGAAGAAGAACCAGAGCTAGTTCCATCCCAGACATCCGGGCCAGGGATAGGGTAGCTATCGAAAGAACCGTACAGGTTGAAGAGGATGCCCGGGTCAGTGGCGGAGTAAGCACCAGGGAGGGAGACACCGGAGGGCAGATCGACAGAACCCTCGGAAGTGACCTTGAACTGAACACATTCCATGTAGAACTGGGCACCACCTTCACGATCGGCCTCGTGGAGAGCGATGATCTCCGGACGGAAGAGGTAGTCACCGGCGGGAACATCAGGGACGGTGATGTTGTGCTTGCCCTTGTTGCTGATCAACTTGGTGACGGCCCAGGTGCCGTCGTCGTAGCCGTCCTCGGCGATCTTGACCCAGTTGGAGCCGGCGGAGCCCTTGGTGGTAGGGGCCATGTAGACCATGACGGGGCCCAGGTGGGAGGAGGCGATGATGTCGTCCGAGTCGGAACGGCTGTCGTGGTGCCATTCGAAGGTGACGACGTCGCCGGCCTTGACGGAGAGGGTCTTGGAGGCGGCTTGGTCACCGTTCACGTTGCAGGTGATGTCGGTGGAGGTGACGTCCTTGACGGGGCTGTTGCTGGGGGGAGAGCGGATGTAGCCATCGTCGGTGTTGCCGAGACCTTGGTCTTCGCCGTTGATCCAGACGGCTTGGACGGTGGTGTGGGCGGTGGCGAGCTTAGATGCTGCTGCCAGAGCGAGCATTCCGTAGGTGGAAGTCTTCATAGTGAATGAGAAATGAATGAATGAATGAATGTGGTTGGAAAGGAAGGAGTGAATTCGTAAAACGAAAAAGAAGGGACAGCTATCCGGGCTGATGAGAGAAATATGAGATGAAATCCGAGCAGACAGGAAGTGTTTTATATTCTGCAGAGAAAGGAATAAATCAGGGCTTGAGCGGGTCGCCAAGAAAGACGTTTCATCTTAATGCGATCCGGCTCGATGCGCGATCCACAACGAACCGCCGACTGGACCCTGGCGGAGTTCTTGCCCGTCCATCCGCCGGATGCCAAGGGTCCCTGCTACAGCGGCGGCTTGGCTTCATTTGCCCTCGGCCAGAAGTGCCCTGGCACGGCCCTAATCAGAGACACGGGGGGGTGGATGTCGTCTTGGCCTGACTAGTCTTACTCTCCGACGCCCTGATGGTGTGATGATTGGCCAATCCGGTCAATTGTCCGAGGGTGGCTGTGAGAATGCCGTACCTTAATCTTGCTGGTTCTTGGCTTTTCATAAAGCTTTCTGTCAGGTTGTATGCCAATTGCCTCGGCATCCCCTATCATATTTTCCAGTTGACAAGTTAGGGGTTTTCCCGGGTGATTGAGATTGCTGAACATCCTAATTTAGCATGTGGACTTCCAAGACAATAGCATTGGTAGCCAGTGCTCAGGGCTCATGATTAGGTTGCCGTCGCTGTTAGCAAGTCAACGAATCGTAGATTCGTTGAGAATCTGGGTGCAGAAACACCTGATGGATTGAAATCGCCCTTGCAATTGGAGCATCGATCAGAGCATGATTCAACCAAATTCTCTTTCTCGGACTTGGGACTGCCATGCTTCGGAAATCTGCAGCACAACGCAATTTCTACCACAATGACTCCAATCTGCCGGACCTACATATGGTGTTTATGCATTGCATGATGCAAATACATTGGATGTGTTAATAAAGAGTAAATATAGAACTATGGGCACCGAACTACCGAAAGCCAATCGAATTGTGCCGGTTGTCATTGCGGCTATTCAACATTCCACATATCCGTGTAGAATGGCATGCCACTCCTGAGTTAGTTTGATTTGTCGGGATTATTTATAGAAGATGAAATGGGTCAGGTAGTGTGAATGCTTCCAACACTTAATATGCTATACTCGGCCAGTCAGCTGGGCTTCTCGGCAGTAGGGAGTCAAGCCCAGTCCCATGTGGTACCGTTCTAGGCCCTGTATGTGCCATTTGCAGAATTCCCAGAGATGACACTGCCAGGGGAAGCAAGGATTAGCCACTTAGCTTTACCTCAAGCAAGATGGTGAAAGATCATATCTCTCCGACCTGGCACCGGAAGAAGAGATTTCCACAGAAATAGACATTAACCACCTCAACCGAATGCATGATTACAGCGATACTCTCACAATAATGTAAAATTTGATGCGTACGCCAATATGGAGCACGAAGTAGTGGAATGGTGGAATAGTGGGATTGGAAACACATCCCGTCGGACCCTGAAATATCTACCGCTGCTTTTATCCCACAATGGAAAATTAAAACAGCAAAAACAAAATCTTACCCTGTTATATACTTCAGAGAGAATGTACTATCATCCAATCAGCTCCTATGGCTCAGTTGGTAGAGCGCATGACTAGTAATCATGAGGTCCGCGGTTCAAATCCGCGTGGGAGCATTTCTTTTTTATCTTTTTTTATCTCTTCTGCCAGACTTTCAGTTGTTCTCTATTTTTCTTCCTCCCACCCAATATCGTACTTCACTTATTTGTGCCTTGATTATTCAAGGACAGCTTGGATCTAGGAAGGATGTATTCATCATTGTGGATGGGCGTAAAAGTAACTAATATCACGTCAATGGAAACTTTTTCCACCCTCAACCAACCTAACCTCATCCTACCTACGTACGCCCTGCTGCAATTCATTTTATTTATTCCATGAAATAACCCTGAATCCGTCCACATCACCCCAAAGAAAGATAACCCCATCGGCTGTTGCTGCCACACCACAAGCTTGTCGAGATCTGCAGCATGATCATGCAAGACCCACAATACCAGACACATGCTCCCTATCTTCCCACATTTTCTCTTTATGGTACTAAGATGCGCTGAATGCCCCGTATATCTATGTAGTCATGAATTCTTTGTATATATAGTTGATGAGATGGATGTGTGTACTGATGGAGGAATGCTGTCCAGGAGGTATGATGGGTAGGTCATGGGTATTAGGTTTGTGGGGAGGGGTTAAGAGCATTACTGTATGGATTACCAAATAAAGAAAAGACATAGCAAGACATAGCAAGATAATCCCAACACCTCGCCATGCATACAATACAAAACATCCCCAATCAAATATAAGTATACCCCCCACGCATGGAAAAACAACCGATCCAATCACCCCAGCCCACTCCAGCCAGGGATCCTCAGATCGATTATAAAAAAAAACCACGCCCTACTCCAAAACACTTCCCAATCACTGATCTCCATCCCAATACTCCTTCAAAAACGAACACATGCCGACAAAAACCTCCAAAAACGCCCTTCGATCCTCCTTCCACATCAAATCATACACGACGGTTTGATTCACCACGAGTTTCTCGTTGGTGGGTCGTCCGTGGCATAGATCCTCGAAGTAAGTGCGGGATGCGTCCGCCCGTGTGATCTGGTATTCGGTTCCGTAGACGCAGATACAGAAGCCGGTGTAGTTTGGTCGTCGGAGCCCGTGGTCGTAGTCCATGGTGATGGGGAGGAGGACGTGCGAGATTTCGTGTTTTTGGGTGGTGGTCGGGGGGCGGAGGTGGAAGGGGCGGTGTTTTTTCTGGGTTGGTTAGTATTTATTGGTATGTGAGGGGGGGGGAGAGACGTACAGCGAAAACAACCAAAGGAAGGTTTCTCTTATCGTCTGATAGGTGGTAGATTCCTCCGTTGCAGTGGAGTTTGCCGTTCATGTTGAATTTGCGGAGGTGGAAGGGGATGGGTTCTGTGTCGATGAGGCTGTTTTTCTCTTAGTATATAACCTTAATGGAATAAAGGTTGGGTGGTGGTGGTGGGGACATACAAATTCTCACTGAATACTTCGAGAGGCCTCCCCAGTTGATCGAGGAGAAGATCAGTGGTGAAAGGCATGGCCTCTCCCTTGACTGCGATATCCCACATCATAGATAGAAGATGGAATGTGTTCTGCAGTTTGTTGTTTCTCATCATCGTCGAGGTGGGGTTGTATTCGGAGATGTCGAGCTCGGTTGGCTCGGTGAAGGCTTTGAGGAGGTTGGCGTAGGCTTCTGTAATTATAAGTTGCCGGCTTGGGTTGGGAAAAGTGGGGGGGGGGGGGGGGGTACCTCTGTCTTTTCTGGTGGGGTTGTAGTTGTTGCTGATTAGGGTGTTCGGAGGGATTTCCTCGTGGAAGCTGATGTTGAGAGCGTCGAGTTGCTCGTTGGTCCAGCGTTTTATCCTTTGGAAGAAGAACCAGGTGGGGTAGGTTCTTTCGGTGGGGGGGGATGGGGTGTATGGATGGATATTAACATCGATGGTGGTGGTGGGTGAGGTGTATGGATGGATATTAGAGGCATCGATGGTGGTGGCGGACTGCACAGTAGTTGGGTGGGTGGTCGACGTCTGCACGGGAGATGTCTCGATGGAGTCCTGAACACATTCTATCAATCCCTTGATAGCAACGTGCAGGCTCTGCATGACACAAACCTGCACAGTTGGCATAGGAGCCTGAACGGGAAACTGCAGAAGAGCCTTCATAGCAGCGTCCATTGTCGATATACTCTTGGAGATGGTGATCAGAGGGGTCAAAACGATCTGTTTGAGACGGCGCAAATGTGGGTATCTGCAACTAAGCTGTTGAACCTGACAAGAAGATAGGGATAATGTTGTAGAACAAGAATGAGAGCCGGGGAGCAAGACAACTATAAGCGCCCTGGGCGACTCCCCTCTGACTCGTCCCCAGGGTCGATGCCAGTATAGCGTCATCGACGAATTTTCCAAAGCAGTACGTTGGGACCACGTACGGGCCCAGAACCCGTTCTGTATTGACTCGGTGGGTAGGTATTGAACATGATTGAGGTGGCTAGTGCAGCTGGTTTACTTTGCTTTGTCGTTGGGATTATTTTTCTTTTTATATAGGAGGGGTAATGATAGGAGAGATCAGCTATGGTGTTTGGATATTTGGGAGTATCAGACAAAGGACACCGAGATAATGGAATTTGTAACGAGACAAAGGTTTGATTGGTTTTGAGGGCCACATTATCTGAAAGGTCCGATATAATACGAGCTAGTTCGGATGCCAGAGTGTTGACAGCAGAAGTATATGCTCGCGTAGGGATTGGTCTGTGTTGACCCACGGGACCTGTCTGCTTGTGAACCTTAAGGTGGAAGTGACTCAGGGGAATGGTATTGATACGGACAAGACAAAGCAGCGTTGACTCCGTCATTGTGTTGCTGTATTTATGTAACAAGTGGAAGTATATGTCAAGAGATGGTATGAGCACAACGAATTCATGGAGGATAGATTGCTGCTATTGAACTCGGATAAGATGGATACGGAATAATGGTAACTATTTGGAAGGATGTATGCAGGTACAGGATTGTATATATATTGGAACCAATGCAATTCCATTGTTTGTGATAAAGGGATTCTCCTGCTACAACAATGAGAGTTCCTGTGGAAGCGGGACGAATCTTGGTACGGTATGTGGCAGTGCCCGGCGGAGAAATCTGGACCATGACATACTAACGTTGGGGGGCAAGGACGGAAGAAAAGAGGTTAGTGGGTTAGAAGATAAAAATAAAATAATACCCATCCAAGAAGAGACAAAATAAAAGACGACAACTATCAGAGATAGATAGATCAAAAGTAAAAATTGACAAGGGTGGGATTCGAACCCACGCCATCTTACGATGATCAGGAAGCTGTGAAGCTGTCTATTAAGGTGGACCTTAACCTGACGCCTTAGACCGCTCGGCCACCTTGCCTTTGATGAAATACTCCTCCCTTTTTTGTTAAATGACCACAAGTTGGGTAATCTGCTGTGTCACATCGACCATGGTGCTGGGGGCAGGCTAATGCAACATGCAGTATCGAGTACGCTTTTGGTAATCCTTTGAGGTAGATCACGAACAGCACGTAGGACCATGAACCTAGCCAAATAAGCTTTGAATGTCTTAAAGCCACTGAGTACATTGGTTCATCATTAATCCGTATATCTACGTGATATATATTCTCCCGTCCTTCTGACTCAACGAAACAAAAAACGCAGCATCCTCACCCATAAGACCTTACAAACTAACCTTCAACAAAAATATAAGTACTTACACTATCTTCTTCAATAAGCCAGGGGTATGACCCCGATAGTCCTCCGTTGGAATATCCTCAGTGATAGAGAGCAAGGACGGACAAAGAATGACGTCATCAAAGTCTCTACTTCCTTTCTCTCCCCACGAAGCAGCGTTATTCTCAGCCTCAGCATCAATATATATACTCATCCTATACTCTACATTCTACGTATTGGTGGATGGTGAAAGACTTGTTTCCCTCTCACATCGGGTTGCGTTGTGCGTGGAGCCCCACGGTTCCCCACCGATAGATCTCACCAACCCATTTGCGACAAAGGTTTAGAGCCCCTGGGGAGAAATCACGGATTCGACTTTACTCATATGACATGGAATCTTGTTACTACGTAGAGAACAATCTGGCAACGCTATTAAACTATTCGTTATTAAGGATGGTACTATATACCATAACCAAATACAAAAGCATCAAATCAATACCCGCAAACCTGCAAAACAGCATCCCTGAAATCTCCACCAGAGATATAATTCCGTACCCACTTGCCCAATTCTCCTCCCAGCATCGCCTTCACCCGATCAAAATACATTGGAGCCCAATGCAACCTCACCACCCAATGCACCAATCGCTTCTCCTTCACCCCGTCCCCGAACAAACATTCCTTCAAGACGGTCCCGTGATACAGCACTGGATCCCTGGCTCGAGCTAGCATCCCCACCAGGGCGTCCTCGAGATGTCCCGAGAACTCATCCCGAATCACCTTGTCCAATCGCACATGATACACCCGCTCAAACTCGCCCTGCAGCACGGAGAGCCTCTCATCCGAGGAGTTCAGGAAAATGGCAAAGACGGAGATCTCGTCCGTTCCGGCCTTCCCGACCGTCGCGCGGTGGAGTTCACGGACGTCATTGTCGATGCCCTGTCGGTCGAAAGGAGTTCCTACTTCCGGGCGTCGCGCATCAAGGAGCATCTCGAAGAAGCGTTCTGTTTTACCACTGAGCTCACCCTTGACCGTCTCGAGGAGGGATTTGTGGTATTTCTGTGCGTAGGCGTGTTTGATCGCGTTGAGATCGGCGTTGGTGCGACCCAGAAGGACGTCGTTGAGGGCGGTCTCGTCAGTGCCGAGTCCGCTCATTGCATCATGCAAATAAGTTATGTCCGAATCCAATGGACCAGTGGCAAGTGAAACGAGGATGTCTTCGAAGGAACCCGAGGTCTCGGATTTGAGGTCTTTCTCAAGAGATCGGTTTAGTCGCGTCTGGTAAGTGTGACGGATGATGGCCATTTGATTGGGGTCGGTCGTGCCGGCGAGCACCCGGATGAGGGTCTTTTCGTCCGTTCCGAAGCCTTTCATAGCTTTGCGGAGGGTGTCGGCTTCGGTGATTGCCGTGGCTGGAGGGACGAAGGTGCTATCGTAGCCAGGGGAGAGACGCGATGGCATCGAGGGCTGCTGGGGGGGAGCATAATTAGGGTTGGGAGGATATGGGCCGTAGGGACCGGATGGGAATGGTTGAAATTGCTGAGGTGGGTAGCCTGGGGGATATCCTTGTGCTTGCTGTGGCGGGAATCCCTGCGGAGGAGGATGCATTCCCTGCTGCGGAGGGTATGGAGGAAAGGCATCCTGCTGATTCGGCATTGGGTAAGCCCCTGGACCCGGTGGGCGTTGATAAGCGTGTGGAGGTTGACGCTGAGGCTGGTACGAAGGGTTCGGTGGGTACTGTTGATGCTGATGCTGACCATACTGTGGCTGCTGCGGGTACTGTCCTTGACCCTGAGGATAAGGCTGGTTGTAGTGGTACCCTTGAGGAGGGCCCTGACCGTATGGCTGCTGATAAGACATGTCGCTGCTAAGGAGGGAGATAATGGATGGGATGAGAAGGGGAGGAAGCGGGGTTGTACGACATTAAATAGCAACAGCTGATGCTCGTCTGGCGTAGCCGAGGAGGGAAGTTGCGATGTTGGCACAGCCACGACCTAGTCAGAAGCAGCCGTGATTGGACACGGAGGAAATTAGAGTTGCACAAAGGACGGGTCCGGTGGGGGTCGTGGCTGAGTCAGAGGCTGCCTTGGTGAACGAGGGGCTGTCACTTCACTTGTCACTTGTCACTGATGCATGCAGCACATGCATCTTCCACAGAATGTCACTTACTGACAGGGAATACCCCACCTCGGCTCATCTCTTAGCCTACAAGTTTCTGACGTGATATGCATTACTGTACAATAGCTACGGGTATCACCTAACTATCCTCACTCGCATGCCCCAGGCCGGCTCGCTGCAACTCATGCCATTTCTGAATCACGGCCGATCGTTCCTGTGTCGTCGCCGCGCACATTTCCTCGATGCCCTGCCGCATCCGCGAGGTCAGAATATCCCTCGTTTTGCTCTTCGATAGCGAATTGCGGAGACTCTTATGGATCCCGTCCAGCGGGTATCCTGCTAAGCCCCAGATGCCTACCAGTTCCTTTAGTATGGATTCAGGGTTGATGTCAGACAGCTTACCAGCAGTAGGTTTGAGGAAAACACCCCCTATCCCCTTACCGATCCCTTTCAACAGTCCTTTGCTTCCCGACCTTTCCAGCCCGACCGCAGGCTGTGTCACGAGCCCGGTGATGCCGTTATAGAACCCGTGGGTGAATTCCGTCCCAGCAGCCCGAAACCCACTCCGAAACCCCAGAACTTTCGGCGTCTCCTCTACCAACCGATCATGGTACAGCTTTGGTGCGTTGTGAAATCCTTTTGACAGACTCAATGTCAAGTCGGTCGGCAGCATAAGCGCCCAGTCCAGCATATGCTTGGCCGCTCTCCCGCTATGATATGACGTCTCCGCCAGGATTTCCTTCGTATGCGACATTTCCCTCGTCCGAAGTCGCGTGATCGTTCGCTCGAGGTCGAGCTCTGCACCCATTTCATCGGTGTCTTCCAGTGTATCGGAGCTGCTCGTGCGCGGGCTTGACTCACTGGCCTCGTCGTCTGTTTGATCGGAGTCGGAAACATCGGGGGGGAGTTCTTCTTCGGCCGAGTGGTACGCCTCGTCGGATTCTGTGGATTCGGAAATATCATTGGAGGTATGGTCGCGGGGACTGTCTGGCTCATACCGACTTTGCCCCCGTCCTGGCCGGTTATTGTTAGGGATCTCGTCAGGTCCAACTCCCGAATCGAGGGATGACTTGGCACGACGATGGCGGAGGGATGATCCTTCAAGACACGACGGGGGACGGTCCTTTTTCCAGTCGTGTTTATGGTGGAGTCGTCGTTCATGCGTGGTTGAGAAGATGCCCGCCATTCCGCTGGGGACGTCGGCGATGCCGCTGACGAACCCGGAGATAATGCCGTAGAGCACTTCTGCGCCTGCTGTCAGAGGGCCCCTAGGATCTCGATTCGTGTCGTATTCGCGTGAGCGGTACCTATGCAATTAGCTTATTTCCATCGACCGAACCGGGAAACGTACAGGACAACATTGCGTGGGTTGATCAAGCCCGTCTCGACCAATACTGCCGCCGCAAACGTGCTCAGCTTGATATGAGAATGACGAACCCACCACACGGCCGGCAGATGCGGACAGATTGAGCACCGCATACTCTCCAGATCGAGATGCTGGTAGAAACTAGCGGCCGCGTTCCGCACGCCCTGCTCCGTGCGCATCTGCTCGCCGATTTCCTTGGCCTTTTCCAACGTCGACGGCTCCAGGGCCTTCTTGATCGCCTCGGTTAGATTCTCCACCGCCAGCTGCTTGTGTGGGATGGGCAGTGGGCCTGCGCCTGCGCGAGCCACGATCGAGCCCCAGAAGGGCTGGTCGCCGAAGAAGGGTATGATGATAGTGGGTCGTCCCAGGACCAGCCCGGCGGCAGTGGTGCCAGCTCCGCCGTGGTGGATCACGCAAGAAACGTGCTGAAAGAGCCAGTCGTGCGGACATTTGTTGATCATGAAGATGTTCTCCGGGATCTCGTCCTCGCCCGCTCCAAGGTTCCCCCAGCCTTTCGAAACGATCGCCCGTTGTCCACTTTCGCGGATGGCTTTGAAGATGGTTTTCGTCAACGAGCCCGGATTGTCGACTACGATGGAGCCGAATCCAACGTAAATAGGAGGTGGTCCTGCTTTCAGGAATGAGTCCAGGTCGTCGGGGGGTTTGTAGTCGGATCCTGAGGAGAGAAAAGCGAATCCGGCGACGTCGATGTTGTCGCCCCAGTCTCCGGGTTTGGGGAGGAGTGCTGGCGACCTAGACCCGTCAGCTTGCATATATACCCAGTCCTACACAGGAATCTCACCAGAGATACGTGTATGGGATTTGCAGCCGGTGCGCAATACTCGGCGCCCGAATGGCGTCCAACGGGTCCAGCCCAAGTTCTCGTTTTCGGAAAGTATTGATCAGATCCCCAAGGCCCTCCCACATGATGACTTCTACCACTGCATAGGATGCAAAATTCGCAGCCGATGGCTTCGTGTTCTTTGTACGGATTGTCGCGAGGGGATGCGGGAAGGACTGTGTGGCCGACCAGGGCATTCTATCATGGTCAGCTCATCGCAGGTCTAACAGACTGCGCTAATGGTCACTCACGTAAACATCATATTCAAGGGAATACCTAGCTTCTCCGCACAACTGAGATGGGCAAAACTCGGTGGATTGGCGATGATCGCATCCGCGACGAACGGCTGCGTCCGGTAGTCCGCTGTTTCATTCCATGGATCCTCGGAAATATGATGCATGCCTGTTCCATCGCCCGTTTCGAAACACGAGCGCCAACAGCCGGAGAAAATTGCCTTCATTTCGCGTCGTCGACGTGGAATCGCCCCGCTCCGAATCGTGCTCATATGCGGCATCAAGCCGGGGTTGCGTACCATGAAAGCCATCAACTCTGCCGGATCCCCACCGATATTGAAGAATTCCAAGCCCTCGTTTTCAATAGATTCACGAAACGCGAGATGCGTGGCGAGACGCACACGATGACCGTGGGATTTAAGCACCTTTCCGAGGGCGATAAAGGGTTGGACATCGCCGCGGGAGCCAACGACTTGGACGACAATGTTGAGTTTGAGGGGACAGCGGCATTCCTCATCTTCGGCAAGGCAGACGGAGGGCTTGCGATCTTCCTGAACCGGCTCTGGCTGGTGTTGGAGATGGTTGATGATCTTCCCTACCCATGGTTTATGGTCGCGAATTTTGATGTCCAGGCGACCGTCGTCTGAATCTTTAGCCACGCGGTCACGGTCAGTCTGACAACGGAAGAATGAACTCACCCATCACCCGGACCCCCGTGTTAAGTCCTCTCTCCCGAATATGCGCGCGCCGATTAGGCCGGCCATGACCGGCATGGGAGTTGACATTGGCGATTTGCTCCTCCGGCCAGTCGGCGGCCGTGAGGCCATCGTGAGGCGGCATGGCTGCTGGCAGACACGGACCATGCGACCGACCAAAGCAATTGAGTTTATGTCAGGGACTGTTGGAAAAGAAGTATAATGATTGCGGAATAACAGACAGGCACAGGGGAAGTGAAAAGAAGACAGATGAAGTCAAAGCCGGGAGGGTCCAACTGGTGACGCCATAGCATTGCACCGCAGCCGCTGGACCCACGGATGATCGCATCTTGAACCGAACCAGTGGAGTCCGGCTTTCTTTGTCTATTAGCCAATCACGTAGTTCTGCACTGTTACGTATCTGGCTGGCTGCCTCGGTCTTGCCATATTTCCGGCAAAGACCCTCGGCCTGCCCTGCCCAGCGTCATCCCGACACCATCCCGATCAGCCCTATCTTACTCACCTCAACCCAGTCATGTAGTAGCTATCCAGCAGAATTAATTAAGCCACCCCTGTCCGATCATAACCATGACTTCACCACCCTGTCCCTGAAAATCTACATCTCCGCCCCGCTCCTTCCACCTCTTCCGCCGCGGTCCGAACCCACCATCCATCCCATCCTGTTGTTCCTAGGAGCACGGCTAAGACCTCCACGACAACACAAACCCATTTTCTCCATCTCTGAGAATACGAAGTCGACAACCACCATCCTACTTATCCTTATATCCACAATCCCAATAATTACCAACATTTATCCTTCCATCTAAATAATACCTACTCTAATAACCATACCAATGATTCCAATAATATTATCTTTACTCCCTACCCCCACCCCACCAGATCAACATCACACCATTACGGTGTAAACTAACCGCAGGCTCAAATAGCAATATTAATGCTAAGTTTATATATAACAGGCAAGGTGGCCGAGCGGTCCAAGGCGTCAGGTTAAGGTCCACCTTAATATTCAGCTTCTTAGCCAAGCTTCCTGATCATCGTAAGATGGCGTGGGTTCAAATCCCACCCTTGTCATTCTTTTTTCGTCGTGGTGTAATTAAACTAGTGTAGGCGATTGATTGGTTGGATTGACTAGATTAGTTAGGTTTGCGGGTAAGCCCTGGTATTTTTGCTACCCTAGGGCATTAGGGGGAGAGGGCACGACCTACTCCGCCAACCCGTATATCAAAGCCTCAGCCAGCTCCTCATCAATAAGCGTCAAGAATGTGAAAATCTTGTTCCGGTTACTCCATTGCCATCTCGTCTCCCAATTTTTATTATAGTCCGTCACACTCAGCCGGGCAATGGCAGATCCGAAGGACTCCAAGTCCGGGTTAGGGTCCTCCAAGACGTGTTCCTCGAATCTGAGCTTCCTACAGATGATGTGCCACCAGTAGACGCCCGGGATAGCGTCTCTATAAGCCGTCGCCAAGGGTTCGATTTGCTCCGACGAAAGCTTGTCCAGAATGAGGAGTTGGATCTCATCGGGAAGAGATTTCCAGTTTCTTCCGATTCTCGGCTTGTGTGGACCCCAGGGGCTTCGAGTACTGGTGTCTATGATTTTCTTGACCGCGTGTATTCTGAGAGGGTCTTCGGCTGATTTCCTGTTAGGTCACTGGGTGATCGTATGTGAGGTAATGCGCGGGGTAGGTTACTTACCTATTACTCCCGGTGGCTGACATCCGAGTCTGTAACTGATGAATCCAGTCTCTGAAGACGTGCCCCCATTTTCTTGAATTTCAGGCAATCTACCATTCATTGCTTGCTTGAATTTTGTCCACTCTTTCCATAGGATCTGGCAGAAAAGCCCTAAGTTTCCGGGCTCGTTGATGCTGCCGGTTGCTCGGGCCATGGTCCAGCAGTGCATGTGCATCGGATACCCGATCGTGTCATGATCTTGGTTTCGAAGATATGTCATGGAGACTTCTGTGAGATCTGGTGATGATAGCCCTGTAGATATCTGGTCGATGAAAGCCTTGCTTTGATCCCAGGGGACGTATGCAGGTTTGATATTTGCTATGCGTAGCCCGACACCAGAAAGGGTGTATTCGTTGGTATCAGGGCGGTAGATAACTTGGTTTATCTTGGTCAGATTTACTCTTTGATTAGGTGAGATGATACGTACTGAGCTGGTACAGTCCCATCCATAGATAGCAATTGTTAGGGTGATATGCGTTCTCTACCTCTGTTGCGCAGTAGAGTTTGGCATCGCGCCGCACTTCTGGCTGAGTTGGAAGCGTTTTTCGGATACTCTGGGGTATATTGAGGAGTTCGGGGCTTGTCCAGAAGTGCGATCTTTGTTCGCGATAGCCAATGTTGAGACCACAGATGAGACAACACTGGGATGCGATGCGTATGCGGGTATCGCTGTGTGGTGTTGACATGATGATAGACCAGGGGGGGGTGTTGGGGCGCTGGGAATGGAAGAAATGCACGGATGGTAATTTTATACATCCCAGTAATAGTCTGTTCAACATGTAGCGGGGAAGGATGTTTGTGTCATAAAGTAGTCTCTGATGGAGGGACAAGACAGGGTGGAAGCACCAGGAACAACCCGTACCAGAGGGTTGATAGTGAAAGTCAAGGTTAGGTTATCTTTAGTGGTGTATTGTAGCAGTGATTTTCTTCGAGTTTGAGCGCCATCTTCCTTTGTGTATCCTTTGTGTATCCTTTGTGTACCTTTGTCTCCATTGGTGGAGGTATACCTCCGGGTCGCCGGAGCTCTTGCTCTTTGTTCTGTCTGGCATCCTTGCGAGCAGTTCAGACAATTACCATGGTGCTGAGGGATGAGTGAAGATGTGAACTTTAGAGATGACTTTGGCGTGAATTCTTGGTACCCGTGGTGTTCCTTTTTCGGAGTATTCCGACAGTATCAGGGGATTTATGTCATTGCAGTCCTTTTATAAGAGAGAGCAGCGGCGTGCTCCTTTTATTAATGGACTCCAAGTCATTTGTTCAATAGTCATCTTGATTCGATCACATGCATCAAGTTCATCAAGGGCAAGCTCGTCAAGTTCATCGGTATTCATTGAGTCGGTCCCTGAGACACATCTGACTTTTAATGCAATTAGCGATGCCAATGCACCATCATCCGAATTGCCTATGTTGATGGAGACATGGGGTAGCGGACAGCTTGGTTTTAGCTCTCTGCTTTGTGGTAATTATTGTCTCAGGGCTTGGCGAAGTCCGCCCTGGACCTGCCAAATATCCTCCAGCATCCGTTGCGTAATCCACTATCTTAGTACCGACGTAAAAAGCATCTACAGATTTATACACATGCTGCTGGTGAAAAGTCCCACTAGCCTGTATCAGGCTGTCGACTTTGAAACACTTTTGAAGTACGCAGAGTAGATTCTGCATCTATGATACAGACCGTGCAGTTCTCTTGCTCTTTATAATTCGTCTCGAAAAGTATGATTGCAAGCTCCGTTAAGACATCGGTCACATTAAGGGAGTTTTCCAAGAAACTCCATACCCTGGCTGTCTACCTACTTCTGAGATCACGATCGGAAGCCACTTCAAACCACCTCAACAGCAGCAAGTATACATCGAGGATTATCCCGATGCAGCTTCACGAGAAGGTGTAACGGTTAAAGCAAAGAGGAAGTGGATTAGTCCATTTGAGTTTTAGCTTCTTGCCATGCCCCTTAATCAGGAGCAGGCAACCAGTGGTGGAACTGGACTAGGCGGATGTCAAATTCTATCCTGATCCAGGTAATTCTAGCCGATCTGCCTGCTCAGCCACTTTTGCAGATTGATTCCTGAGGTGAGAATTGGAATGGAGATTTCCTCGCGATGGCCGTTATTCTTGGCAATGATCTAGCTGTCGTATCTTGGAACATGCCTAATCAGTGTGGGGGGCTAATCCTGGTGCACTATGTCTAGCGCTCCTGGTGGATCGGATTGGTGAGCATGGAGCAGGCTGTGCTCGTCATCCCACACATCCGCCGGAGGGGTCATCTCGACTCGGTTTTCTGCGGAAAATTCATACCACCGGTAGCAGAACTCAGAAGAAAGAATAGTCCGCCAAGTGCCAGGGTGGCCCAGGGTCAACCAGGGGTCAACAAAAATCCCTGCTGCAAGCCTGAGGATGCGGCTGAGAACGCTAAGAAGAGCCTTCCATTGGACCCAATCGGGCGGCCTATCAGCGACACACGATTAGTGGGCCACGAGGCTTAGCCGGGCAAAGTATGGACTGCCTCAGTCTGATAGGCCGATAGGCTCTGGACTCGGCGTGACCGGAGTCCGGGTCTTGACCGCGACGCGACAGCCAGGGGTCAGGGATCAGCCCTACTACTAGGCCTTCTCGCAGTCTCCCTCTTCTCAGTTCTCGTATCCCGGAATTTCCGCCCCCTCGGCCTATTAGCTGCGCCCGCAGAATCCCCCACCAGGATCGATCTACGTACGCTCCGGGCCCAGTGTTCGCTGATTTGTTCGATATAAGAACAAGTCATCCCCCCGGTTATGGCGCGATACCGGCATGGTTCCGGCCCTATCTGCCCGGCCGCTGTCAACGTCATCCACGCAGGCAGACGCAATCTGCTGCTCCGGTGCCCTCGCCCTAAATCTGACCCCATGCTCCGGGTGCTGGTGTCATATTTTCCATTGCAAAATGGCCTGGGATGAGTCCAGGCAATTACTGTCGAAGAACATGAATCAATTCGCGGCCATTCGGAGCCAACGAAGCATTCGGATTCTCATCGCCGCCGTCGGAGTCATCTTTATCTTGTCCATTTTTTGGCTGCTTCCATCGGCATCGACCACTAAGGTTCTCGGATTCGGCCAGGGCCACAAGACAGACTCCCAACCCACTGCCAAGACCATCACCACCGACAACGCCCTCATCACCGATCTCTCTCACTACTTCGCCGACTACCCCATCCAAAAACCTTTCAAAGAGAGATATGGCGAATTAGGCCGCCGTAACCGAGTCCTACGCGACTGGCTAATCCAAGCCGATACCTCTTCCGACCCCACCAAAGCCCTCCTCCTCAACGCCGTCGAAGAAGTCGCCATCTCACAATACCCTTTTCTCCAAAATCCCCAACAACCCAAATCCCACCATCCGCTAGGAGACCTCCGCTCCTCCTTCGACCCCAACTCAGCCGGCATCGTCATCCCAACCAGCGACAAAACCCTCCGCTACGCCGCCCACCTCATCGGCTCTCTCCGCTCCGTCCTCAACTCCACCCTTCCCATCCAAGTCGTCTACGCCGGTGACGACGATCTCTCTCCTACGAACCGGAACCATCTCTCCTCTCTCGCCGCCTCCGGCCCACCAATTACCTTTCTCGACATCCTCACCATCTTCGACGACACCACCCTGAAACTCCAAACCGGCGGCTGGGCCATCAAAGCGTTCGCTGCTTTAGGCTCGACCTTCGAAAAGGTCATTCTCGCCGACGCTGACGCCGTCTTCCTCCAACCTCCCGAGGTCCTTCTTCACCAGGAAGCCTTTCTCCACAAAGGCGCCCTCCTCTTCCACGACCGACTCCTCTGGAAACATGCCTTCGAGGGCCGTCATGAATGGTGGCGGGATCAGATCCGTCGACCTAGCGATGAGATGAACGCTTCGCTCGTCTGGACAGAGGATTACGCTGAGGAAGCAGACTCGGGACTCGTCGTTCTCGATAAAAGCAGACATGATACCTTGATGGGACTATTGCACATCTGCTGGCAGAATTCATACGAAGTACGGGAGGAAACGACCTATAAGATTACCTACGGGGATAAAGAGAGCTGGTGGTTCGGGCTGGAGCTAGCAGGCGCACAGTACGAGTTTTCGAAGCATTATGGAGGAATCGTGGGATGGGAGAATGTGGATGAGCAGGGAAGACGGGGAGTGTGCAGTTTTGTCATTGCGCATGTGGATTCCAAGAATCGGTTGCTGTGGTATAATGGTAGCTTGTTGAAGAATAAGGGGCAATCTGGTATGGAGAATGAGTATCAGGTCCCGGATAAGTGGATGATTGATGCTGAGTGGGTCAAGGGTGCGAGGAAACAGGATCATAGTTGTATGGTGGAGGGGGAGGTAAGAAGTCTTACGCCTGAGGAAATGGGGGTTTTGGAGAGGTCGATTGCTCTGGCGAAGATGGTGGATGCGTTGGTGCGGCCTGTTGAGGGTGATTGATTACCGCACAGTGGTATTCTGCAAGAGCGTCTACCAGGGTCCCGATGATGCAGCACTTCCTCAATTGTAGCCCGACTGCAGGCGCGGTGGCATCATGTCGACCATGCACTGGACATGAAATAGACTTATTGTACATATAATTCAGCGAATATAATTTCAACGCCAGCTAATTCATTCAATCATTGAAAGCATCATACCTTCCAGCAGTGATTATCATTGATGATTCATAGTAAATTCGCCATCTGTCATTCCATACACCCTATTAATTAAACCGAACAACCGACTATATACATTAGTGAATAGCTACAATTACCACCTCCAATCCCCATGATCCATTCATCCATCCATCTCGATGTAGTCACCTTCCCAGCTACTTCAATAGCCCCTGATCCCTTTAAACCCCACCCTCCTCCCTCCTTCCTTTCCTCCACTTCTTCTCCCAACTATCTACCTGAAAACAAGATCTCAGAAGTTTCATAACACGACAGCAATGACAGCCCGGAATTGGGTCAAGATATTACAGTGTCTTAGCAAGAAGAAGGCTAGCTGACTGAGAACTATCTCATGCAAGTCCACATTCTCCAAGGACGTTTTGAGCCTGATAAGTCAGACAAGCGCAAGTGCAGATAACATCCTAAAGCGAATAAGCCACACCGCTGCTCAGGGCTCAAGAAGCAAGGAATCAACAGGGATCCAGTGACCAGGGCATTTGGTATCACTAAAGCCGCGAAAATGAAGAATGTCCCCTCCGCCCTAATCAAAGGGGGCCTAGCCTCGACGTGATACCCGATGGGAATGATTCATGGTGCTCAAGGACTGGTATATCTTTCTTACTAAATTGAAGATATTTACCATACCCTACTGAATTCTTGAGCCCACGAACTGGCTCATATACCAAAGCAAACCCCAATATCTTCATGCCTCCCATCCGTTTGATACGCCCACAATGAATGAACCACTTCTCGTCTCTACAACGGTAAGCTCCAGACAAGAACCTCTATCATTGTGATCGAAAGCACCAACTCGCAAGTCTACTTCCATATCAAGAATAAATACTGACCTGGGTCCGCGATAATGGAGTACTTTACACTCGTACGTCTTCATCCTACCAATAATCACACAAGATTAGATCCAATACTAATACTATAATAGAATAGAAAATCGAAAGACATCACCTGGTGTAAAAACATACAAAACGTCCATACGAACAATATCCACCATGAACCCCTCTAAACAACCCCGAATACATATCGAAATCACAAATAATCCTCCTATCGCTATGGAGATCATTATGCACTCGTTTGATTACTATCCCGTGCTACAAGAAAATCAATTGCAACACTATACCTATGGATTTCATCCTCGTTTACATTGATGATATTATTATCTACAGTTGAACACCGCTCTCAGATTACTGCAATCAAGCGGCATACAATCATCATCGTCAGATTGTCACTTCGCGTATCCTTCAATGACGCTACTTGACTACCACGTTTCACGTTGGAAATAGCAACTCCTAGATGCCCACGCTGCTTGAGAAAGAAGTACTTGGACAGAAAGAGACCGAAGGCAGGTTTTCCACCTGGCAAATCCGCACCATAGCGGGTTGTTTCATTGCTCAACGTTATTCCCTTTTATCTCAAAGGCAGAGCACTATCCTGGCATACTGAAGCACCAGAAACCTGCAGGACATGATGCCCGATAGCCTGGATCATTAGTATAAGGAGTTGCATTGGGAGTTCAACGCCAGCCGTTGGAAGCCAGACAAGATGCCCGACAGCTAAAACTCCGATTCAAGTGATCCAACGAGGTATTCCTGGACTTTAAAACCTCGCCAGTTCAGTCACTGCCAACGAAACACACCAGCGCTGAGTGAAATGAATATAAGCAAGCATTTCACATTTTAGCATGCGTTTGGTTCCATATCTTTGGTTTCCTCGTGCTCTGTTGATCTACTTGGGTTATTAATATACATCGTACGATCTAAACCCCATATAGACTCAGGTATGAGGTGGTATATACAACATAGAAATCAAAAGCCACGAAGAATTAAATCTCATCCATGTGTTCTCAACAAGCATTATATCTTTCCGCTGATGAAACCTAAAGGGTATACGACAAACGGTTCATTTCGTGCTGGATGCGATAAAACCATAAAAGAAACCGAACTAGCACAGGTTCCCTGTATAGGGTTGTTCCATACTGCTCAAACTGGGGTTATGAATACTCTGAATGACATCGAGAGTGTGGCTAAACACTCGTCGTGAGGCACTGCGGTGATGGAGGTGTCTCGCTTAGTGGCGCATTATTGGGAGAATATTTCATTCTCGTTCGGGGCGGTATGTAGGTGAGTGTGGAAGGGTCACTCGTGGTGAATCATCTGGTTTGGATGGGATCTTGCGGTGCTATTCCAACGCTGTTGAGAATGATGGTTCCTTTATACAACTGGCTGCATGCCATATTCCACTCAGATTATCAAAAGAGCGAGGGGCTTGGTGATCAATTGTCCTAAAGCGAGGGCGTCGAAAGAAAGTGAGTGAAAGGCTACAAATAGGGCGTTCTTTTGAACTCGGGACTACGGATCTACCTTTCCAATTTTGGGGTTTGCCATTTAAAATGGCGATGCTGCGGTATTCGAGATAAAGCATCATGCCATGTATGGAATGCTTTAGGCCGAATTCAGTCCTGAAGATGATATTCGCCTTGACCATTTCGCTGTGGGAATTGGCTGGTCTATGGGATAGCGGAGTGTGATTCAGACTCTCGTTATGGTCGGGAACGAAGAGAGCAAATTATTTGATGCTATGGCAATCGAATTGAACTTCAGCATCATTTTTAACATCATTTTGAATGAATAAAATGAAGACAAGGATTTCAGTAATCGAGGAATCAACCCCTGCCCCACTGAGGAAGGTCTCGGATACACCTACTCTGGGCAAAGACAGATCATCATGAAGCCCCATGACAGAAAGTCTGCTATCTATTGTATCGCATATCTGGACACAAAATCAAGACCTGACTCACAATGTGCCTAATAACATACCTCCAGAGAGACATAATTCTGGGCGAGAAACAATGCCCCTACTGGCCTCCCCCCAGGTGTGGTGCTGGTTCGGTTCTTCGGCATTACGTTGTGAAGACCTGCCTTGGGCAGATACATCCCATCCCGTCTTTGTTTTTTCTCGGGTCTCGTTTTTACCTCAGAAGAGTCTAAGTGTTGCTGCGGTTATTACGATGGGTTTGTTACTATCGGACATAAACATCGTCACCATCTGTCTTTGATCATGGTACAACAAAGTTCAGTTATGGTCATATGCCCCTTATGTAACTCTCGTCCGCCTATCTGAAGAGATCTCTTTAGTCTATGAGAAGACGTGGTTTGATGGTATGTGAGAATGAGTTGGCTGCCTGTTTCTCGTCACAACGATTGGGCAAACGCTATTGTGGCAAACCTTTCACCGGGAAGAGTGACTCGGCTGTGCTACAGACCACTGTACTGAAGTTGTCATGAGTGGGACCGACAAGACAAACGCCGAATTGAACACTGGGGGGCTGTAGCTTCTCCTGAGGGGATCATCCAAGCTCCGGAGTATTTTACCGACCAGGTTCTCCTCAAAGGAAAAGGCGATAGTGTGGACAAAGTTCCCTGGTGAAGAAACGCCGCCCTCACAGAGGCCGGTCTTTACAACAATATTCTGTACACCGGGGTGGATGCGAAGGAGCGCAAGGTCCACAAACGAGCCAAAGCAGTGCATAATTCTGATCATGATGTGTCTCGTTAAGGTAGCTTTTCAGAAGCTCGGCTGATTTAGCCCTCACAGCCATCAAGTCTGCTCATGTTTCTCCAGCATTGATAGAAAAGCAGCTTGATGTTATAGAGAACTGAATAGCCAGAGATTGTTCTGCACAGGCTGATTTCAATCTGCTGGCGGCAAAAAACCGTCCAGAGAGCCAAAGAAGAAAACGATCGCGTACTCTATACCCGTATTCGTCGTGATTCTGGTCGATCGGTTGTTCATACTTGATGGGAGGGCGTGTATATCCTCCTGAGGATCGTCCTGTTAGTCCTCCTCATCAATATTCATGGAAGGGGTCTCAGTATGGGGATGAAATCTCGAAGAACAGTCACATCGACTTCTCAACAAGTCTCGTCCTACAACCACCACCACCACCACCAACAATCAAGCTAATGCCCTTCTGAACGAGACGAAATAACTTTCGGAGATTTAAGGTCTATCCTAGCGAATGAATACACGAAAGTCCCATACTCAGTTTTGCGGATCGAGGCTGGGACTTCAATCGCGGTGTGTGGTGGTTTGTTTGCTTTTGCGAGAACCAAGTCTGTGGATACTACTGAGTTGGGGAGGTTCTTTCGAGGTGCTGGTTCGGGTTCAAATGGGTATTTGGGGGCGTGTTGGGCAATGGAGTTAAAACTGTTGACAGTATTGTTGCTTAGACGGGGGGTTTCTCGAAATCAGGGGAGGTGGATGAGAAGAAAGCTGATTGTGGAGTGTCTATGGGGTTGGTCATTGAATAGGGTCGGAGATGGGAGGCCAGAAATCTCGTTTGAGGTTGATGGTACTAGTGGTGGTGATGATATACTAATGTTCATGATTTGGACGATGATTTTTGCCAATATCTCTAAGTCATGATCAATTTACTTTCCTGGTCTGTGGCACCAGGTTAGAGATTAATATCTTATAACGAGACAGTGTCGTACCTTTATTATAGATAACTAACTATAGAAAAAAGATAAAAAAAGAGAAAAAAACTCCGGGTAGAAGGGCATGCTCCACCCTCACCAAGAATTAAAAAAACGTCAGCGACAGGACTCGAACCTGTGCGGGCGAACCCAATAGATTTCTAGTCTATCGCCTTAACCACTCGGCCACACTGACTAATTGATAAAATTAGTTATCTGAGTTTACGATACAAGTATGGGCCATAGTGTCATTGCTATGCTACTGCATCGGAAATAGAACATAGCTTTATGTATCTAGTCTATACTAATACAATCATGTACTCATATCAAGGCTAATTCTTAACAAACGTTGCGGTCGCCTTGGCCCGGAAATCCCGACTGCTAAAGCCGGCCTTGAAGGTAAACTGTCCAGCAGGAATGCGCCAATCCTGCGCCACCACATCCCAGTAACTGACGTCCCGACGCATCAATTCGAATGTGACTGTCTTTGTCTCACCCGCCTCGAGCCAGATCTTGTCGAAGCCGCGCAGCTGGCTGGGAGGGGTCCCTGCAGGCGCGGTGTCGGGGAATCCGACATACAATTGCGGGATGGCATAACCATCCACGCTGCCGCTGTTGCTCACCTGCGCGGTGAGCGTGTATACCGTGTCCCAGAGAGCAGGATTCCCACCGGGCTGAGTAGGACGCTGCTCAGGAAACGCAGTCAGATTCGTAGCCACTGGAGCGGTGGCCGCCAGTCTGCTGAGATTGAAGGTGGTGTAGCTGAGACCGAAGCCAAACTCGTAGCGCACGGGAATATCGTGGGCATCAAAGTAGCGGTATCCGACTTCGAGCTCCTCATCGAACCAGCTCTGCCAGTCGTAGGTGCCGTTGGTCTGCACGTCTGTGGTGAGGGGGGCGTTGTAGTCCGACTCGTTGTAGGCGATCACATAAGGGAGCTTCGCAGACGGGTTAACGTCGCCGTAAAGGATATCCACGAGAGAGTTGCCGGCCTCTTCACCCGGGTAGTGAGCAGCAAGGATGGCGGTGACGTTGGGGTGATCAGCAAACGGGAGAACGTTAACTCCTGCTGAGTGAGTCACCACCACAGTGTTGCTGCAGTATTTAGCAACAGCCTCAACAACCGCGTTGCCGTTCCAGTCGAGGTCCAGGAACCGGCGATCGACATTCTCCTCAGACCAGCCCTTGAGGAAGATGAGACAGACGTCAGGCTGCTCCGGGTTCCACAGATCGGGCATGGCCTTCTCAGTGATCAGGGTGTTGTTGAGCCAGGTTTGCACGAGAGCACCGTCCTGACGGGCTCGAGCGGTGATGGCATTTAGCGGAGTAGACAAAAAGCTGAACCGACAGGTTCCGGAGCCACCGGCGTTGGCCAGAGTACCGTACTCGAAGTTGTTCTGGTTATACGCACCCTGAGTGACAGGGCCGGCATCGTTGCCGACGATGACAATGTTGCGGGGCTTGCGCAGCGGGAGAGCGTTGCGCACGTTCTTCAGCAAGACCGTCGAGGCGGCACCGTGCTCACGAATCATCTGGCTGTGGTTGCTGCGGACGTCACGGTTGCTGGGACCGGTGAAATTCCAGGGGTAGAGCCAGGTGTCTGGCGGGGAATCCGTGTTCAAGGCGCCAACTGAGGCATCCACGCTAGGGTAATCCTGGTCCTGGCCTAGCCAGAAGTATGGAGTCATTATGCGCACAATCATATCATCAATACGGTCAGTAGACACCGTGCCATTGTTGATGGCGTCTGTGAGATTCTGGCCAAAGTAGGAGCCTTCGGTCCAGAGCTCCCCGTAAAGGGTGAAACCACCGGGCATGGTCATGTCCATACCACTTTCGACTGAGGCGACGCCACTGTGAGTGGCACCCCAGTCAGACATGACGTAGCCTTGGAAACCGAGCTCGGTCTTGAGGAGATGGTTGAGGAGGTAAGAGTTCTGGCACGAGTGGGACCCGTTGAGACGGTTGTAGGAGCACATGAAGCTTGAGACACGAGCGCGGGCAGCGTTGGCAAATGGCCACATGTAGATCTCGTGGAGGGTGCGATCATTCACATTCGAGGACACCGAATCTTGAATGTAGGTGGTTTCGTTCGCATCTGGTGCGTAAGTAGGATTACGCTGGGTCTCTTGTTCGTTGGCAATAAAGTGCTTGGCATTTGCTTGCACACCGGCGTCTTGCATTCCGATGATGGTCTCCTCCATGCAGACTCCGGTCAGATAAGGGTCAGCAGCGAAGCCCTCCCAGGTGCGCCCATCGTAGGGACTGCGGCCGAGAGGACCGGCGATGGGCCCGAGGACAACGTGTGTGCCCTTGCCCTTGTGCTCTGTGGCCATGGCATAGCCTCGATCGTAGAGTAGCTTGCGATCCCAACTGGCCGCAGCGGACACACCGCTGACAAAGACACTCGAATAGTCACCCTGCTGGAGGCACTGAGGACCGTTCTGGAGACAGAGGCCGGTGAAATTGAGGCGCGGAATAGGAAGGATATTTCCGACACAGGGACCTGGCTGACCGGTGGTCATCCAGGCTTTCTCCTCGACCGTGAGCTGCGACAGCCAGTCCTTGGCCTGAGCCATTGCCTTTTCCCAGCCGCCATTACCATTCGTTTTGGCTATGCGAGTTAGCAGTGCTTAAACATTGTGCAGACACGAACTCACGCGACGGAAACACGGCCGGAGAATGGCCATAGGGACTGTAGATGGTGGTGTTAAGAGGCTGCACAAAGCTGAAGGCCGTCCCCGGATGGTCAACCGGGGTCTGACAAGTGCTGGCACCCACAGAAGGGGCCAGCAGTAGCCCTGAAAGCAGCGCAGTATAGTCGGCCGGGACCTTCATGGCGATTGCAGCTGGCTTGGGATACCCTTGTGTGGCCGACGAGATGGACCCTTAAATACCCCTGTCGGCAGGACCATTCCCGGGATGTGTTGCTGCGGAGAATGCGGAGGCCCGCAATGACGGCGGTTGGAGAAGCCAAGAAACCGGGGTCGGCCTCGTGCCGAGCAGACTCCACCGCCGGAAAATGATGCCCATCGTGAGCACTGAACGGCCCGTGTTGGCTTGGTTGGGAAAATGGCTTCGTTTGCTTTCCTCAGTCCGGCAGTTCAGGCCTCTGCCGGAGTTTTGCCGGGGAGATCCTCCAACGTGAATGGTGCCATCTGGTGATCCTGCGCTGAGGGATTTAGCAACCATTCTCGGAGGAACCCCGTTGTAGTGACGTCGGGTGGGCTTCTCCTCTTCTTTTTCCCGGCCGGGATGGTTGGGGTGTGAGACCGGTAGTTGAATGGAGTCAATGGGTTGGCATGGCTGCCCGAGCATTCCAATGGTCTCAATCTGCTGAATGCCATTCGAGTCCGAGCCCAAGGAGCTGCCAAGCCCGTCGGCTCCATCGAGGTCGGCATTGTCCTGGACATTCTTCTGTGTCAAAGGGCAGTTCTTGTGAAATGAACGGAGCAACTAAGTGATGGATGCTTGGTGGCAGTTGAGAAGAGGAGAAGCGGGGGAGGATGCCATCCCCATGTCACGTGGACAGTGACTGCTGCGCAGCATCACGTGGATTATGGTCTGGTGGTAGCCTTAGGCACAAACGGTTACCCGGGAGCCGGCATTCCCGAGGCATGCTGCAGGTATCGGAATGACAGCCGCATGGGAGGGGATGGGAGCTGGAAAGAATTGGGCCCGGAATCTTCAGAGTTATTCTCCAGTGTCTTATCTCGATTCAGTTCCTGTAGATGGAGTCTTGTCGTCATTACGGTGTACTTCCCGTGGCACTGTACTCACCTTGACAAAGAGCATTCTCCCATCGTCAAGGCCAGTCGATGATGGCTCTTTGAAAGTGATTGTTCCCGGCAAGCAATCACAAGTGGCAGCCTATCATCTCCGCGTTGGAAAGTCAATCGACAAGGTCCCATCCACGGGCCGGCAAACTCTCTGCGGCCTCCCTGTCTATCGACACGCCCAGCCAGACTCATGAGGTATCGGTGACCTCATGTGATGCTACTGTTCTCCCATCCCGATGCTATAAGAGAAGAGCTACTCAGGTTCGATCCCGGAGTATCGATTCCTGAAGTACTGATCTCAACATTCTGTCTTATAGCATCCACATCGCATCACCGAATCACAATGAAGGACCTAGTTAGTATTTCAACCTGGCACGGATTGAGCTGACACAAACCAATGCAGACCTTTGACGTCCGCTACGACAATGAGCTCGCCCATGAATACTATGGGGACGGGAGCAAGCTCTCCGCCAAGTACAATAGACCTTCCACTGGACCTGTCGAGTGAGACTAACCATGCGACCAGCCTCCGGGAGATCTACAAGGACAGCCATCTGGAAATCCCCGACCAATTCGATTCCACGCTGACAACGCCCCCCATCCATTTCATGACGTACGTATCGTGGTGTCCTTTGGAACATGGCTGATTTCCCCAGGGTGGCTGCGCCCGACGACGTGAATACCGATGACCTGAGACAGGTCAGCGTGCCTCCGGGTCTGAACATTGATATTCTAGACTTTTCCATGTAGAGGCTTGAGGCTTGAGGCATGTATGGTTGGCATCTTTATGACTTGTATCTATTCAGATAGATGATGGTGATGTAGCGAAATTAATAATCCCATGGCTTAGTCATGTCAAGGCCACTTCCCCGCCTTCTCCCATCTTTCACTCTTCTTACTACTCTCAACCTCCAAATGTCCACCACTCCATCATCATCGGATTTGGACCATCCGGCGTCTAAACGACGCAAAATCCGGAAAGGCACCTTTTCCTGCTGGGAATGTAAACATCGGAAGAGACGTTGCGCGTTCGACCCCGACCGCGCCGCCTGTGCTTATTGCCAATCCCGTGGCATCCCATGTGTCGGCCAGGACCGTCCGGATCCGAGAGGCTGTGACAGCAATCATGAAAATGTGCAGGCGCAGATTCTTTACGTCGAAAGGTTGGTGGGCCAGCTGGTCCATCAGCGCGACCGCCACTTCCTACCTCAGCAAGTTCCAATGACTCGGCAGCTGAGCGGTTCGCTCGTATCATTGCTTCCACATCCAAGCATGGCCCTGCTCATCCTGACCAAGGGACGCTTCTTCAGTCTGCCTTTCCAGACGATCACTACTGCGGATCAGCTGGACGTATCCACGCTACCTGTGTCCACAGCTCACCCGATTCAATTTGCTCAAAAGCTCATCCAGCTCGCACTTGGCTTACAGCAACTTGATCTCACTACATCCCAGCCAGGACTGCAACTGAACCAGAACACGAAAAGCTCGGCACGACACTATCTCGATCTAGCTACCAGTCATGTAACATCCCAGGATGCGCTCGTAGACTCCCTCGATGGTCTCGATACCCTGTCACTCGAAGCCCGCTACCACATCAACTCGGGCAACCTGCGCACAGCCTGGCTTATATTCCGCCGGGCTCTAAGTATCGCCCAGATGATAGGGCTTCCTTGGGATGACAAAGCGAGCAGCCGGGCGGAATCCGTCTGGGTCCAACTGGTATACAACGATCGGTTCCTGTCCCTCATGCTAGGTCTTCCTTTTGCCGTCAAGGATCATGGTTTCCCAAGTGAAGCCATGGATACATACTCCCCTCTTAGGAAACTCTATCGGATCCACGGGGCCATCGCAGGCCGGGTTATTGCTCGGAATATGCGCATGCAGCGCCGCGGTCGGCCATCACAAGGAGAAGCATACGATCATTATGGAGTGACGCGAAGCATAGACGATGAACTTAAGAAGACAGCCCGATCAGTACCTGTCGAATGCTGGGAAAGCCCAACCCTAGACAGCACACTCTCGGACACGGACAAGATGGAGCGAGTTTCCATGCTCATTACGCAAATGCACCAGTATTACCTCCTGATCCTCCTTCACCAGCCGTACATCTTATCTCAAAATCCTCACATCACCGAGTCCGCCACCTTACCTCTCGTACTAGATCATACATACAGCAAACAAGTTGTTGTTCCTGCTAGTCGCGAAGTACTTAATCGCTGTCTCGCGTTCCGCAACATCCGACCCATCATTTCCTATCGCGGAATTGAACACAAAGCCTTCACCGCAGCCGTGACACTTCTTTTGTCCCACATCATGGGACACCGCTTGGGTTCTGCGAATATTCTGGAACACCAACGACCTCAAGATCTAGCGACGATCCAAAAGGTAATCCGGACCTTAGATGAGCTGTGCTCTACGAACGATCCGAACCGAGAGTCTGCGGTGGAGACAAGACGTCTGCTGACTAGGCTTGTGGGCATCGAGGCCGAGGCAGCAAACGGTGTCAATCACATTGCATATCTAGACGGTGTCGACACAGATGTCATATGCAGTGCCTCGCATAATAGCCTGAGGTTACCCGTACCATACTTTGGGGCCATCTGCATCATGCCTGAGCCGGTAGAACCGCAAGTTGATGACCTTGGCTCAGAATTTCCATGGGTAGCACCTTCTGATGATTACTTGGATTGCCTGACCTCCGATGCTATCCTTTTTCCAAGTTCTTTTTGCCATGATGCATTAGCGGGCCCCACACCTGATTCTCACGATTTTACCCCAGCCCTTGCGAGTTTGGACGTTGAGCTGCAGTCTCTGGATCCCGGATACGTGGTGTCGGAGCAGCCGTGTTGAATATTTTGGGGTGTTTGAAATAATATCAAAAGGAGTTGTCTTTCAACAAATGGGGCTGTGGTTTAGTGGTATAATATTCCCTTAGCATGGGAGAGGTCCGGGGTTCGATTCCCCGCAGCTCCATTTTTTGATTTTTTGGCTACGGCTAGCGATGGACTGCTGACAGGAGTCTCGTGTTTCTGGTGGGTCGTGTCCACGCTTGCAGCGCTGGTGCAATCGACAGCTCCTGTGTGTGGGGTCTATTATGTAGAATCAACAATTACTTACCCTGGGAGTGTGAAACAGGACGGACGGCAATCTTCATTGTTATATTGGACGACAACTCATTCAATTCTCAGTCTAACCACTAGCTACGCTCTACAACTGCGGAGTATTGCCAAAGTCATATCCGGTCAAGGCCTGGAAGCGCCCACCCGCAACAGTCTGCGCCAACCGACGGATTGCCTGGTCCTCCTCCGTCGACAAGTCAAAACTGAGACTGGCCAGGTTTTCCTCCAGCCGATGGATCTTGCGTGTCCCAGGAATGGCAAAGATATCATCTCCTTGAGCGAACAACCACGCCAGCGCCAGTTGGGCCGTGGTGACCCCCTTTCCTTTGGCGATCTCGGTAAGCTGGTCCACCACGGCTATGTTCTTCTCGATATTTCCCTCTCTGAGCCACGGCAGCACGCCTCGGACATCCCCTGGCTTACTCACGTCATCCCGCGACCGAATCGCCCCGCTGAGGATGCCGTTTCCGAGCGGACTGTACGCCACGATGGCAACCCCTAGCTCGCGCGCAACCTGCAGCAGCTGGAACTTCGGGGACTCAATATCCAGGCAGAAGATGCTATATTCCACCTGTACGCACGTGATTGGGTGCACGGCATGCGCCCGGCGCAGCGAGTCGGCACTGCACTCGCTCAGACCAAGGTACTTGATCTTGCCCTCCTGCTTGAGGGCGACCATGGCTTCCATGGTCTTTTCAATCGGCGTGACCTTGTCTAAGCGGTGGACGTAGTACAAATCCACATACGGCAGTCCCAGGCGCTCCAATGATTTGTCCAGCGCCGCGCGGCAGTATTCGGGGGATGAGTCCATCCGGAACTTCCAACCGTCGTTTGCGTCGGTGTTGGCAAGGATACCAAACTTGGTGGCTAGGAAGATGTCCTTGCGCTTGTCAGGGTTCTGGGCAAACCATTTGCCCAGCAGACTTTCGGATCCGTCGTATTTGTCCGCTGCGATCGTCAGACGATGCTCTGTTGGGCATGTATCATGTATCAAGCGTACCTGTGTCCCAAAAAGTTTCTCCTCTTTTGTATGCCTCGTCCAGAAAGGCTAGGTGTTCAGCGTCCGGGAGGGCCTGGCCATATGTACCACTGGCGCCCATGAGTCCGAGGCCGATGCGCGGCAGGAGAGGACCATTTTTACCCAGTGGGCGAGTCGGGAGTTTGAGGGCGGCCATTGTTTGCTTTCAGTGAAGTGATTGAATTGATAAGTAAATGCTGTAGTTTGTATGAAGAACCACCTGAAAAACACTGCATTGGACTCATTTTATGTCCTGTGAAGCCGGAATTTGCGGTGGGAGTAACTGTTGTAGATGTCTGTTGGCCCGCCGCGGTGAGATTCCGCCGCTAATTCCGCCGCTATCTCCGATCCTCTGCTTGAGTCCCGGCAGCTGATTGGTCGTCGACTGCAGCTGCGGCGGACCAATACGGCGGGCATTAGCGGCCATCAGGCAATAATGATTTTTTGTGTTGAAGTACGCTTACCGCTGACCTCACTGCTAGATGATGCTTATTATTACTCTATGTATAGTGCTTTATTTGAAAATCATGGTGTTGATTATGGTATGTCTAATCATTGATCTTGAGCTGTATAAGGCTGAAATTATTAATCTGTTTTATTAGGATTAATCTATAAGTAGTTGGGGATTAGCAAATATGATTATATAGTTATTATTAATTCTTTTTTATATAGTCAGATTAAGGAGTTGTTCTTTGTTAGATACGTAAAGGTAAAAAATAAAGTAATATTAGTAATTAACTAGAAGGGCTTTTATTAGAAGGGCTTCTGTCTATATGGGATAAAAAGGATAATAATATAGTAATCTATATAATTAGGCACGTGATGTGCTTGTTTACTAATTAACTAATTATTTAGATATAATATTTACTATATGATTATATCTAAGATTATATAATAATAAAAACATAATATACAATGAAGTTATAGCTTGTGATCTTAAGTCTATATTATATCTAGTCTGTGGATGGTTATATAAAGTTGAAGCTGTATAATCTTTAAATTTATATAGATTTTGATGTGTATTTTTGTTATATTATCTGGATATATATTAGTATTAATACTTATATATTAGTTAGTATTATATGGTAGGCTAGGACAGATTGAAAAGGGTCAGACCCTGTCAGCCATCTGGAACCGGAATATCCTATGTTCCGGCCCGTCTGGCCTTATAACTCTAAATTGATGATATCTGAAGAAGTACAGAAATTATTTAATAGAAAAGAAGGAATCTGAAAAGCTTTTTAAAAGTTATAGAGAAACTGGCTGAAAGATATAGAGATTTCTTGATACTATATAGAAAGTCTTTAAAAAATATTAACTATAAAAAGGATTATTTAATCTGTATTTAGACAATTTTTTAGAAAATTTAACTTTTACTTATCTTTATATATCTTGAGTAGTTTTTGGACTCTTAAGTCTATTATAGTTTTAAATTCTTTTTCTTTAAAAATTACTTATCAGATTGGTATTAATTATATATTATAATTATAATATATTAATAGATTTAGTAAGCTAATCTGGCAGTACTTCTTATAATAATATTATAAAATAATTAATTAAATAAATTAAAAAGTTAACTCTTTAAAATGCTTAGATACAGTATACTCTCTTTTAACAGGACTTTATAATAGATAATAAGATTTAAACTAGTTTCTGATAAATTAAATAATTTATTAATAACTGATTTTATTTCTTCAAGTGCTTATTATATTAGTTCCTGTACTAGTATTAAAATTTTCTTAAAAATTAATTGAAATAAAAAAGTTTAAGCCGCTAATCTCTGTTAGCTTTAATAGAAAAAATAAGAATCGGTTTCTTAGTTAGTTTGATACTATACAGGTAAAGATTAGAATTAATTAATAATTTATTAAATTACCGGCTGCATAGGCTTGATATATATTTAGATTTCTAGATAGAAAAGCTAAAGTAAAGATTAATCTATAGGTTAAGACTAATTAGAAAAGTCTTATCTTATTAGCCATAACTTTAATTAATTATTTTAAATTAATTTATAAGAATCCTGTCTGTTGAAAGAAAGTTATCAGCAAGTTATCTATACTTTACTAAGAAAATTAAATAATTAATAATCTTCTTATAGAGGTTAACAGTCTATTAATCAAGATTAATAATTATAATTAAAAGGATATAAATAAAAAACCTCCTATATTAAGTTTTAAATAACAATATTTACTAGCAGATAGTAGATATTACATAAAAGACTGACTTGAAAGACTTTTGTTAATAGATTAAGTGAGTAATAAATAAATTAATAAAGATTAACTAATTTTTGAAGTAATCTAGATATTTTAATATTTAGATAAGTAATTTTACTAAGAAGATAAGCTTAGACAGTATTATAAACTGGGAACTAATTATAGTTAGTATTAAACTTGTTTAATAAGTTTAGTAGATATTTAAAGAAGATCCTAAACTAATATAGAGAATAAAAATTATATTTTTATTATAGAGTCTTAAATTATTATATTATTAAATATTTTTATCTGTTTTTTTAATGTATTTCAAATAAAAAAAATCTAAAAAGTAAGATTTTTTAGACTTTATTCAAAGAAGATCTTATAAAGAAAATTAGTTAGAAAATCTTGATAATCCTGCAGATCTTTTAAAAAAAAAGTAGGGTTTTTCTAGATTAGTATTCAAAGAAGTGTTTATTAGTAGATTATAATTATAAGAAGTTTAAAAATAAAGTATAAAGATTTAAAGACTATATATTTTTTTATATTAAGATTAATTAATGAAATTTATTTTATAAATATCTTGATTAATACTAGTTGTATGCTGTACGGGATGATCAATTAGAACTTTATAATTGAATATAAATTAAAGTATTTATTAATTAAATTATAAAGCATTAAAAAATTTAAAGAAAAGAAGGCTTTTATAACTGAACTTGCAAGAATATTTTTAAATATTAATAAGAATTTGTAGAAATATATATATCTGTATATTTTATTATATATTTATAAGTATAATATTATATTTGGATTCTTATAGATAAAGTATCAAGATATCGTGCTTTAAATTAAGAACTTAATTCTTTATATTTAAAGTATAGAAATTGAGATTTAGTATAGATAGAAATAAAACTGGATCTTAATATTTGATAAGATCTTTGTTAATGTATAATATATATAAAAGAATTGAAAGAAGAAAAAAAACTTTATAAAATTATATATAGTAAGCTTAGTAAATATTAATAAAGGCTTTTATAAGCTTAATTAATTAAAGAAGTTAATAAAAATTAGATATAAACTGTCTGAATCTTATCATCAATATTTAAATATTTTTAATAAGATTATAGTAGATATCCTGTTATTTTATTACTTAAGTATTGATTATATTATTAAATTAATTAAAAATATAGAGAATAAGAAATAAGAGGTTTTCTAGAGGTCTCTGTACTGGATAAATTAATTAAAGCTTTTAATATTATAAAAGATCTTGATTGATTTGTTAGAAAAGGGGTTTGTATATATTAATAATTTTTTAATAATTATTTTTATATTATTTATTTTAAACTTTAATAGAGATTTATACTTTCATATAAATTATTAAGCTTTTAACTAGATAATTATAAAGAATTACTATTTTTTATCTTTATTTAAAAAGTCTGTAATATATTTCTAAGACTTATTATTCTATTAAACTAGATATAATCTAAGCCTTTTACTGTATATAGATTAAGAAAAATAATAAGTAGAAAACTACTTTTTATACCTGTTTTAGACTGTTTAAATAGTTAGTAATTTTATTTAATTTTTCTAATTATCTAAGTAATTTTTAATAGTATATTAACTAGATTTTATAAGAGTTTCTTAATAAATTTTATTTTATATATATAGATAATATCTTTATCTTTATAAATAATATATTAGCTTAATATTAGATTTAAGTATAGTAAGTTTTAGAGTATCTATACAGTGTAAATTTTAAAGTAAATATTAATAAATATTAATTTAAGATTATCTTTATTAAATATTTAGAGTTTATTATTAAAGTAAAGATGAGAATCTGTATAAATCTTGTTAAATTTTAAATTATAAAGATCTAGAAGGTCCTGAAGATTACTTATAATATTCAGATATTTTTGAGATTTATTAATTTTTATTAATAGTTTTTTAATAATTAAGAGGTCTACTTAGATGTCAAACCCTAGGATCGCTTCTCCCTGTTCCTGTTAGCTTGGCTTCACTGGTATACGTATCTTCGAACTGAATCGAGGATGTATCAGACTGATGACTATTCTAGGAATGACTGATCTTGAACAAGAGAAGAGAAGTAAGGTGTTACAGACCCCTGCTAGCTGAACGACTAGTGAGGCGGACACGTCAGGCAGAAGGCTACGCCCGGACAGATGAAGACTCTTATCGAGTAGAATCCTGATCTGAGTAACCGACAACCGGAGCCGTTACACGGCACGTGACCATGATGGACATATTACTGATAAGTTATAATGTATCAGTGTTATGACAGGATGTATCAGTGCTACGACAGAACGTATCAGCGCTATAACAGGACGTATCAGTGTTATGATATGGTATAGTGATGCTATAACAAAGGATAGGATATAAGGACATTCTTTTATATACTTAGTTGGTTCTGTTCTTCGTGTTCAATTCAATTGTCTTTAAGTAACCATATGTTTAATAAAGCTTAGCAATAATACTCATCTGTACTTACTTACGGATAGCTGCGCGGCACTATCTGGCCTTACTTCTCTTCTTCTGTTTAGAACCAGTCATCTCTTAGATAGTCATCAGTCTAACCTATCTTGACTCAGTTCAAGGTATGTATTGAAACGGGAGCTAAGCTAACAGGAACAGGAAGAAGCAATCCTAGGATTTAACATATTGAGTACCAGTCAGTACGAGTATTATCTAGTAATAATTATTCATTATATTAACTACTTTAAACTCATCGCGCGCCCCACAGCAGCAGGGCCTAATAATATAAGAACTGATGGATATAGTTAGTTAATTATAAGAAAGCATCACTGTCTTAGAATAATAAAATCAGTTACTTGAAGGTTGCTTAGTAGTTAAATCTGTTAAGGTCTGATCATCAGAGCCATTCAACGGCAATTGAGCGAAGCTCAGGGCTTTCTTGACCCAGTTAGACTTGTATCTCAGCATGAATAGAGAAAGGCTTAAGAGCAAGATTAACAAGATTCTTTTTATATCTATCTACCTAATTAGATTAATATTTAATTAG